TACTCTTACATTGCAGTTTTTGCATTTTTTTCTCAGAAATTAGATATTTTCCCGGAGAAAAAGTATCCTATATGTTGACCCGGATGATCAGCTAACATCATATCAAATTTCATCAAAATCCTTCCAGTGGTTTCTCCGTGATGCGGTAACAGACAGACAGACAAAAATTCTAAAAACTGTAGATTCGGCCTCTGTATCCATAATAATGTCTATTTCAATAAGATTTCCCAAAAAATATTTAATGTACAGATTCGACTCAGTTAGAATTTTATTATACAAATGTATAGATTATAGCATACGAAAAGTACCTAATGAAAAAAGCTTATGTGACAAAGCTACGTTAAAACTTTAAGTGTCAGGTTCGCATCTTAAAATATATTTTTCATCGTTCTTGATATCTCAGTATAGTATTAGCGCAGTATACCATTTCCAGGATAAAAATGTACCTACTCTGCAAAACAAGTAACATTTTAAAACATAAGCATCAGTGATAACGTCGACTAAAAGCCTCTTTATATTTTTCTGTCATAATTGAAAGCGACTTTATCGATATTAATGAAACTTTTATATGAACAAAGAATTGTTACTAAAGAATGATGGATAATGAGATTTTATTTTGTTAGAAAATGATAAATGGTTTGTTAAAAATGTATAGTAATTTAAGATTCTGGTTAAAAATTCATATGTACCTTAACACCGTCTGGCTTCTTTTCTTCAAACTCTACACCGGGTACAAATGTAATATCGTAATTAATCAGCTTGGATTTGAAACTATATGTATATGTTCCATCTTCATTCTTCCTCAAACTTTGTATTGGCTTCAAGTTTATCGCAAGCTTTCTAGCCACGTAGCCTATATCTGAAAAGTACAATTAATAAATAATCTACAGTAGGTACACATTTCTTTACGTCTAATGACTTATAAAAATCAAACTTGTACATTTATTGTATTAGAAAGATTAAAATGTAAAAAGGATCCGTAGCCCAACAACAAAAATAAAACCCGTATTATTTCATCGTACTGGTATATTACCACCATTTTACTTGGGGACTATACCACATAACTTGCTTTAGTCAAATTAACAACAAAAATGAATTAAGCAAATACTCTTATCACTGAGAAATAGGGATGCCAGAGAGGCGAAAAAAATCCTATACATATTAATTACTAGCTCACCCTCGCCTCGCTCGGGTTCGTCTCTAGAAAAACAAAGACAAATCTTTCGGGAACCGTATATTTTTCCGGGATAAAAATGTGTTATTCCAGTTTATAATCTATCTCTGTGCCCATTCAGATCCGTTCAGCCGTTCTGACGTGAAAGAGTAACAAACATCCATACATACATACTCACAAACTATCACATTTATAATATTTATTATTATATTATACAGATAAAGTAAGTGCTGTACAGTGTGGCTTTCATAATTTAATCAATAATTAATTTTATCGATGAGCTATGCGCTTCTAAAGTCGTCAGTAGTCTGTGGTGGCTTGGTTGTGTTCTACGCCTTCCTATTTATAGCGGGGGTCATATAAACTAAATAACAATGAACATTCAGAAAATGCTGCTTGTGATAGGTTCTTATAAAAGTACTAGTGTTTTCTCGCGACTCCGCCTGCGTCCTATACGAGTAACTTTGTAGAACTTCTTCGCTCTCGTGTGTCGTAGTGTTATGTTAAATAACTTATAACGTTCTTCAATGAATAGGTATAAAACCAAAAGAATTAAAACCATAAGGTTAGATTATTCAAATAAACAAACAAACTTTTTATCTTTATAATAATACCCAGAAGACTTTCAATGATTTTATTCTGTAAAAATGCTTAATATTTTGAATTAAAACAATTAAAATTAACTGTTTCTTTTTAAATGGATTTGGATGGATTTTAATGTTTGATTCCCGACGTTTGGAATATACGTACATCGGTGCCACTTGTCTATTTCTTCCAAATTATTGTATAAAACGTTGTTTGTAGATGATGTCTGTGACCATGTTTGCTGTAAAGCTTTCGAAATATCGGAAACCAAAATATGATATAAAAACGCAACAAAATCCGAAAAGGTAGTAAAATCTAAAAAACCTCAGTTTTATTTTAATCGGTCTAGTACCTAAATCAAATATACCTACTAGTTCACATACAAATAAATACACGGATAAAGCTGCAAGTAACTAGCACTTAATAAAAATATTCTTAAACAATTTATATTTATTATAAGTTCAATAGGTTATAACACATTGTTGCATATCGCCACAAAAAAAACTAAGAGCATATAAAAATATTGATAATAATGTTCTCCTGATCGATTTCGGTCACGGTGGCCAATCTCACTGAGATTAGTCAGATGGAGGAGATATTATAGTGCAGTATCTACTTTTCCTTTTACTTTCACAGTCCGATGGGACGATACTTCGACACGATCGGAGAAAATTAAGGCGTAGGACCGACGGTTTTACGTGCTCTCAGGCACAAGGGTGAAAAACCGCCAATTTCCCAACTTCCTGTTACTGAGATTTTTTGACACTAAACTCAGTAACTAAACCTTTTTTTTTTAACGTTGGGAAATGCATTTACGCACGACGTGTGGGACTCACCGGCGTAATACAGCCAGTACTACCCACTAAAACCCAACAAAACCTTCCCCCGTCTTAATGGGGCGTCGCAGGATCGCTTACGCATTCAACTACGACGCCCCGACGGCAGGTCTGCCGAAGCAGACCACCACAACCATGGGGTTGCTCCACAGTCCACTCTGCTATCAGAAAAGTACCAGGAGCAACCCGCATGGTACACCGCCCCCCGAAGAGGGCCACCTCCCACCGCCCACCGAAGTGGGCAACCTCTCTGTGCGTTTCTTAGCTTCGCGCCCGGTTGGATTGCCGGGCACTACTGAGCCCCCCCACCACGACAAGGTGAACGCACGTTGGGGGGGTCAGTAACTAAACCTGGCCCGACCCGGGACTCGAACCCAAGAGCTCTGGATCTGTGGGCATACATGCTAGCCACTGAACCTAAACCACCTAGACAAGAATATAATACCAGGAATGATATACAGAATACTGTGGATAGTTGACTCAGTTTATATCTTAATGATTAAATAAATAAATATATTATAAAAATAAAAACCCCGACCGCGTAAAAGCTAACTAAAAATATGAAAACAAGCTTTCGAAGGAATATAGTGTTATGCAGTCGGAGACATACACGTTTCTTCCTTGCCGCGAGATGTATATACTCGTATGTATGACCAAAAACCAAATTCTTAGGTTTTATATATTAGTGTACTCTTACATTGCAGTTTTTGTATTTTTTTCTCAGAAATGAGACATTTTCCCGTGGTAAAAAGTATACTATATGTTGACCCGGATAATCAGCCATAACCATACCAAAAATCAAAATCTCTCCAGTGGTTTTTCTATGATGCGCTAACAGAGAGACAGACAAAAATTTCATAAAAAGTAAAGACTCGGCCTCTGTATTAATAATAACGTCTATTTCAATAAGATTTTCCAAAAAATATTTAATGTACAGATTCGGCCAAGTTACAATTTTCACTAAGTACATATAATGATGCTTATCGAATTATCATAATAATTTTATGTTTTATATATATATATATATATATATATATATATATATGTTTAAATATATATATCTGTAACTACTTTAATTAAGAGTTTATATTTAATTATAAAAATAAATTAAAATATTTTTATAATTTTAGTAATTAAATAATGATAACGGGATTGACTGTGTGCAGCATCCCAATAAAAATGTACAATCCCATCTTACTTCCTTATTTCATAAATTAAAAATTAATATCACTAAAAAACACTTGCTTCAGCGGAGTCGTGCTTCGTACAATTTTGGGCTGCCGCTAAGTATTCTCTACTGTTATTGAGATTCGAATTCGAAAAACTCATAATAATAACAATTTTAGCAATTAATCTTGTAAAACCCATCTTTATATCCAACAATGCCTCGCTTGATTATTGTGAAATGTTTCAAATATAATTAATATAAATTATAAAAATAATAATAATTGTTTATGATAATAAACTTATAACTAAATATAAATTGAAATTACGTATGAATATAGTTTTAACATAATTAAATAATTCTCAAAAATCATACCTATAAACGCTAAATATTCTTCGAAGTTTTCAGCTGAAACCAAAACATATTGCTTATCAAGAAATTCGTCCATTTTATAACAACCACACGCGATAGAACTTCACTACTAAATGAGTTTATCTGAAAGGTCTACGTTACAAGATATCGTCTCGCTATCTATTGATAAAAGTAATTCTTTTACCCATCGTAATTACTAGACTACTAGATTGGCGAGATGTAAGTGGCATCAGTGCGAGTGCACTTTCTTTTTTAGTTTTGAAAATGCATATACGCATATCACCTGTATTCATATAAATGGTTCTGTGGGATTCACCGGCTAGAAAAACCAGTACTACCCACTAAAACCTAACAGGACCTCCCCCGTCGGCGCCCCGACGGCAGGCCTGCTGAAGCAAACCACACAACCAAGGAGTTGCCCCCACGGTCCAGTCTAGTGTCAGAGAAGTACCAGGAGCAACGCGCATGGTACACTGCCCACCAAAGTGGGCCATCTACCAGCGTATCTCTTGGCTTCACGTCTGGCTTAATTTCCGATTATACGAGTGTACTGTCATGCTACTTTAACCCCAAACAATAATAAAACTTTTCATTATAAATAAAATTTCTTTGTATATACTGTTACAACCTTTCCAGGACACAAGTCCCATAAATATAACCTGAAGTTCCATCATTTTATCTAGACGTAGCAATTAGTTTGTCTAGGAAATTTTAAAATAAAAAATGCATATAGCTAGTAGACATCAACTAAAAAGTTATATTGTTAAAGATAAACTATAATTTTAAAACAATATGTAACTTAACGAGATAATATAGTATGAGAGAAATGTTATCTGTAAATTAATTAATCAATGTATTTTATTTTCAGGTGGTAAAAGTATATATGACAACAGTATAGAAGATATAGGAAAACCATTTCTTAACGTTATCCAAAACCAACCAGGCCCATCAACAGCAACATCAGACAATGGTAAGAAATTGATTATATTTATAATTGTTTCTAGTTTGTTTTCACATATGTACTAAAAACTTTATGATTTTATTTTAATAAGAACGATACAGATGACTTTTTTATTCATTTATTATTAAATTCTTTGATCTGTAGACGCAGATGCGAAGCCGCATCAACTTTGCGTTCGCATCCATTTAGATTGTACTTAGTGACTAAACAATCATGACCAACTTTTATATAAAATGGTTCAATAAAAAGTACTTGTACAAGAATAAAATTATTCGTTGTGCTATAATAATAATTATAAAAATCGCGCCATCTGATAAAGCGTTCAAAAACTGATTTCAATTTTATATACCTACCTTACTATATCTACGTACCTATACCGAAATTATATTGAAGCATCTGTCATTTCAAAATTGCCACACAATATTAAGATTGTCTTCGCATATTCATTATTAAAAAAAAGGCAGCGTTAGCCCAGTGGTAACGTGCTCGCTTGGGAAACCGAGTGATGCGGGTTCAAATTCCGGGACTCGCACCTCTGATATTTTCATGTGCGAATCATTTCTAACATGATTACCACTTGCCTTACGGTGAAGGAAAACATCGTGAGGAAACCTGCATGTCTGAGGGAACTTAGCAAGTTTTCGAAAGATATCTGAAGTTCGCCAATCCGCACTTGGCCAGCGTGGTGGGCTATGGCCTGATCTCTCTCGTATTGAAGGGAGGCCCGTGCCCAGCAGTTGGACGTTAAAAAGGGCATATTTATTAGCTTGGCCAAATAAGGATGTAAAAATATTGATTGTGTATACGTACTTGTCTCTGGAACGGCTAAATATCTTAATAGAGTTTTACTGCCGCATAGGAGGAACCGGGTAAGAGTATTGATTTATTTATTTTGGACAATTTTTATTATAGATATTTATTTAGATACTCGCGTTTCTCTTCCACATTAAATATTACATATATCAGTCAGTCAATAATAATTATGTTTTATATAAGTACATATAGCACATCCATACATATAATAAAATTGTAACTAAGTAGAATCTGTACATTAAATATTTTTTGGAAAATCTTATTGAAATAGGCATTATTATCGATACATCCGAATCGAAATCGAACAAGCCGAATCTATAGTTTTTAGAATTTTTGTCTGTCTGTCTGTTACCGCATCATGGAAAAACCGCTGGAGGCATTTGGATGAAATTTAGTATGATGGTAGTTGGTCTGGTCCTGGTGGATCCGGGTCAACATATGGAATACTTTTTACTGCGGGAAAATATTTTATCTCTGAGAAATCTATACTAAACTTTAAAACCTAAGTAGGGACGAACCCAAGCGGAGTGAGAGTGAGTCGCTAGTTATATATAACAATCAATTTATAAAAATAAAAGCTATTGTGCCAGACAAAACGCAGAGAGCATCAGGTGAACATTTCTATGAGACGAACAGTTCGGTTGCCATAGACAAGCTACCTTTTCATTGTACCTAAGTATTTAAAAAAGTAAAATTTTTGCAATGACTGCACTAATTCAAAATGGCGACGTGCGATGACAATGACGCCATTACGGAGATTACGACTCGCCCTAATGAAAGTATACAAATCGACCCCCTTATATAGGGTTGCTATGAAAATCATTGAAAACCTATATTATTTGTTTTGAATATATACATAGTCTGGCCATAAATACTGTTACAATTAAAAATAAACAAAATATTACATTTGAATTTGGAATCTGTCATTTTTATATGATTGTTCATTGTGTTTTCTCATTTTCGCGCCAATACATTGTAAAATATTTTGTGATATTAAAATGGAGTGGGATGATAAAGAGAACGCTGTGATTGTATTACACGAAGTAGGTATGGAGCCAAATACAATTTTTAAAATTCTCCATACGCTTGGTATTAGTCAAATGTTTGTGTACCGGGCTATTAATAGGTACAATGAAACCTCCTCTGTTGACAGAAAAAGATCTAGCCGTCCACGTAGTGCTCGTACGATAAAGGCGATCAAAGCGGTAAGGGAAAGAATTCGAAGAAATCCTGTCCGAAAGCAAAAGATTTTATCTCGAAAGATGAACATAGCACCTAGAACTATGTCGCGTACCTATTTTAAAAGATGACTTAGGACTTGCAACCTATAAGGTTATACTGGTAATTTCTTAACTAATAATTTAAAAAAGAATAGAGTTGTAAATACAAAACAACTACTTAAGCGATACCCAAAGGAAGATCACAGAAAAAAATTGTTTACGGATGAGATTTTTTTACATTTGAGCAATATTTAAACAAACAAAATGACCGTATATATGCTCAAAGCTCTAAGGTAGCTTCCCAACTAATCAACAGAGTACAACGTGGGCATTATCCGATTTCAGCAATTATTTGGTGGGGTGTTAGCTATGAAAGAGTGACTGAGCAATAGGTTTGTGAAAAAGGTTTCAAAACATCGGCACAAGTGTATCATGATACCATTCTTGAGAAGGTAGTTAAGCCCCTTAACAACACCGTGTTCAATAACCAAGAATGGTCCTTTCTGCAAGACTCGGCGCCGGGTCATAAAGCTCGATCCACGCAATCGGTTAAAAACCCACGTTCCGGACTTCATCAGAGCTGAAGACTGGCCGTCATCTAGTCCCGATATTAATTCTCTGGATTATGATTTATGGTCAGTTTTAGAGAGTATGGCTTGCTCTAAATGCGATGATCATTTGGAGTCCTTAAGACAATCCATACGATTAGCAGTGAAAAATTTTCCCATGGAAAGAGTGCGTGCTTCTATTGATAACTGGCCTCGGCGTTAAAAGGACTGTATTGCAACCAATAGAGACCATTCCGAATAAGCATTATATATTTTTAATGGTTTTATATTATGTATTAAACTAACACACTGTTATAGTGATAAATGTTACGTGCAATAGAAAAAAATGTTTTTTTCTTTGTAACAATATTTAGGGCAAGACTATGTATAACAGATAGAACTATCTGCATATTTGTTATCAAGAGTAACAATATCGTTGTAAACCGATGTATGTACGTTTTCAGTATGTGCGTGTTATAATAACACTTGCTAGTCATATTTTATGGCCATACATCTTAAACAAATAATAGTCTACGTTATACATTGATAGTCAGTGATTTCGCCCACGTTCAGTTCTTACAAATAGTAACTTTAAATTATTATGATTAATTAGATGCTAATAATCATAAATAGTCTAATCGACTCCAAACCAAAAATAACCATATTTAACAAAAGTCAGACAAAAAATTTAGCTCTAGTATACAGTTAATGCCAATTTACACTTTAGTTTTTTTAGACCATGTCCTGTCTGGAGAAGTACTTAACCCAAGGCGCAATATTAACTAGTTCTGAAATAAAGTAAAAAATGTTTCAATAATAATATAAGAGACATCCCCTTCTATCCCCACCTCCCAGTCAGTCCTCTTTTGTGCCAACCCTACCGTAACGTCTCTTACACTTCTGTTCAAATAATCGCAACGTGAACATTGAAGTGTATATTTTTGAAATTATATTTTTTCTAATTTTATTCTTTGAACTTTTATTCAGATATGACGTTGTATTTGCTTGGTCCGTCCTGCGTTTTTGTGTTACGATGGCGCCTATATTTAAGAAAAATGTTATCAACTTCATCTGAAAAATTAAATATTTATTTACTATACTACATTATAATTATTCCAAATAGTTTAATACTTCTGCCTATCTAAACATTTACATTGTACTGAAAATTTATAGTGATTTATATTTATGAAACATTAAATTTTATAGCTAAAATGACCATAAACAGTTCACGTCGCCTCAACTGCAATAAATCATAAGCGACTTTTACTAACTGATGTGTTTAATAAAATTTTCATTATTTTCTACATACAAACGTGTCTAATTATACTAGATAGTAACAGATATAGTTAGGTTTCTCTTGAGTAGTAATCTGGTCTTCAAAATAGATTTAGGTACAGACCTAATGTTAAATTATAAATAGATTCCCCACACAAACTTTCATCCCCATTTTCACCCACTTAAGGGATGATTTCCGGGATAAAAAGTATGTCTATGTCCTTCCCAGGGTCTCAAACTATCTTCTTACCAAATTTCATCTAAATCGGTTCAGTAGATCCAGAGATTACCCCCTACAACGTCACAAACTCACAATCTCATAAATGTATAGATATGCAGTATTTTCGATTCAATATTATTTATTTAGTTTAAATTATGAAGGTAATAGATCTCCGAAATTACTAAATACAACATTTATTTAGACGTTAATTAATAAAAACTAATAAAATATTTATAAATAAACACGAGTCTTGCTGTGATAAATTATGTTTTTATTATAGCTACAAGTCACAACCAACAGTGTATATAATAGACGTTTTAACTATACATAGATTCATCTGAAGACAACTTGGTAAGGTTACATAAGAAGCCGCGCTACGATACTAGTTATGTAGATCTAACAAGCTCACATTGTCCTACAAAGCTTGAAAAAAAAGTAGTTCCAGAACCAACGACGCCAGAAAAGAACACGTAAGTTGATTTCTTATTCATATTCACGCATATTCTCATGCGGGCTTATAGCCGTTCTATACAATATACTTGATGATACGACATTCAAATGGCATACACAAACTTTAATGGGCTTAAGCGATTGAATCTCAGCTAGACCCAATACATCATACACAGTACATACAACATGGTTCTCTATAAAAATCATTTTATAACCCAAAATATTGTTTATATTTTTTGAATAATACTTACTACATACATATATCTATATTAATAATATTATAAACGTGAAGATAATGTTCTGTCTGTCGGTTGTTGAAGATTTTTTGATAGAATTACTTTCTCATTGTTCACATGATACGAGCCAAGCCATTCATATAAACTTGTTTCTGATAAACGTATAAAAGGTGTTTTTTAGCATTCAAAATTTGTATTTATTGCATGTTGAGTTTGAATTATTAAATAAATTGAGTGTTTATATATTATGCGTATGTGTGTTTATATAATACCCGTATCTACTTGCACGATTGACTTTTTTATTAATATTTGTAATTATGGATTTAGATTATAATATAAATAATATGTAGATTTATATTAAGATATATAATAAAATTAGTATAAAGTATGTGTGTGTGTGTCTTTCCGACTATATATATTGTATACAAGGCATATAAATAGTTTTAAAATTATGTTTTTGTAGTAATAAGTACGTATTTATTCTTAAATCATATTGAGAAAGTTTCAAATTATCATATTATTTTATTTTAGTTAGTAGTATATAATTTATGTAGTGTAGACTATAAGGTGTTGGTGCTGCTACCTTTCCTTACAGGAAAACTTCATTGGCATTGCAAGAGTCCCTGCGTAATACGAAAGAGATACATGTTGCTTGCAGGCTTCCCGTTATTTTTTATGGAGCCCGAACCCATAAGCAATTAGAACAGGTGGTCCAGGAGTATGCTAAAACGATGTATTGCGATCAAGCAACTATGACAATTTTGTCCAGTAGGGAAAACAGTTGCATTCGTAGCTACGATAGTCACCAATGGTCATCCAAGAAGGAAATGTGCAAGAGCTGTACCAAGGTTGGTAAGGGTTCCTTAACAAGAAAACACAATATATGAGAAATTATATATTTAACTAGGTTTACCGAACAATAATAACATTCATAACCGAACTTGAGCGTGTCAGTCGTTCTTGAAGATCTGAACGCAAGAAATCTGCGTTTTTTAAGTTTACTTAACGTAGAATATGCGGAGACGACGTGATTCAGAAACGTAATGTGTATAGGCCTTAAATACAATAAATACAACCTATACTCTTAACACTACAATGTATGTCAACATAGAGTCAGTAAACAATTAAAATAATTTATTTTCATGCTCTAGCTGTATCTAAAGGCACTCCATTTACAGCTATTTTTAATATCGAGATGTAGGAGGCGTCTTACAGTAGAGTTCATTTTTAAAAAATGCCTTAGGGACAACATATACGATACGATAATTTAAGAAAAAATTATCTAAGCTCTATTTTCAAATATTTATTTTGTAGATATCATTTACGTTAGTGTTCAAAAAGATTTAAATGAAACAATTTCTAACATTTTTTGTACTCTAACTTCTTTACAGCTTTGGCATAACTCTTAATCCATACATTAGAATGACTTAACAGAATTTATAGAAATAGAAGCGAATTGAAAGTTCAAGACTGACAGACCGCGTGTACCTTTGTACCTTTGCCACCCTATGTGCTGAAGGTTAAGATGCAATAATGAAACTTTAAATATTATTAATAAGTTTTATATCATTTTTTGTGTACGACAGATATACTCTAACTTCACTCGCGTGTATCCTGAGGTGCCTTTGCTATCTTTAGGTATATCTATATTTTAAACTAGCGATTCACCCTCGCTCCGCTCGGGTTTGTCCCCACTTACGCTTTAATGTTTAGTATAGATTTCTCAGCGATATTTTCCCGCAGTAAAAAGTATCCTTTAAGTTGTCCCGTATAACCAGCTATAATCATACCAAATTTCACCAAAATCCCTCCAGTGGTTTTTCCGTGATGCGTTCCCAGACAGACAGACAAAAATTCTTAAAACTATAAATTCCGCCTCTGTATCGATAATAATGCCTATTTCAATAAGATTACCCAAAAAATATTTCGGCTTAGTTACAATTTTATTATATGTATAGATTGCATTTGCATCCAAATCAATCGAGCTATTTTAGACAAACGTACAAACTTTCACAATTATAAAACTATTCGGATCTATATTATAATCAATATTTTATCATTTCAGTCAGCCTCATCCAATAACAATAAAACGTGCTGTGAATACTACAATAATAGGAAAAAATTGGATCATAAATCGTTGCCGTCTGCTTTCGATTTAAATATTTTAAGAAAGAAGGGAGAAGAACTAAGAGCTTGCCCTTATTATGCAGCCAGGTACATGAAGGCAAACGCGAATATTGTCTTCTGTCCCTATAACTTCCTTATCGACCCTTCAATTAGGAGTAGTGTAAGTATATCATATCTTTAAACGAGCAATTCATGTATATATTTACCTATATATATAATCTGAATCTTTTAAAAAAAAGAAAATTGTACTTTAGGCCAAAAACTCCGAGCGAAGCTCGGTAGCCCAGGTACTGCTATATTATGTTAGTACAAGCGACTCTCCAACTAAGCTCAAACCTTACCGCAATAGACAGGGTTGCGACTAAAAATGTCATTGGGTGATCCATTTTTCTTTCTAAGAAGTCGCGCAAGCACTTTATAGTAGACTTGCCACGAATATTCGGCTATTATTCCGTGTTCGGCCTATTCGGCTACTTTTTTCCTATTTGGCCGAATATCGAATATCTAGATACTGCTCAGCCGAATACTGAATACTTAAGTAATATGTTTTCTTGTAATCAGATAATTGGTTAAATGAAAATATTGATTTATTATATAATTATTATTTTTTCTTATAATCATTAAATCAGTCCTAGGTACATAATCAATGTCTGTATTACAAAATTAAAAAAAAAACATATAGCCTTATCTTACAACCAAGTGACAAGTTGTTAAGGGCAAATTTTATTTCTACTGTACAGTACTAGTTATGATGAAATAATAATAATAAATATGTTGGGACATGAACACACAGCACCATCTAGTTCCATGGTAAGCTCCGAGGCTTGTGTCATGGATACCAGATAGTTGACACATATATAAATAACTTTAAGTACGTACATATTATACATATAGTACTCATGACTGGATTACAAACATTCGTGTTCATCGCACAAATTAATGCCCCCAGCGGGGCTCGAACCCGCGAGCGCTGGCACAGTAAGTAGGGTCACAAAAAACAATTTCACTACAAACTGAGCCAAACATGTCGTCGAATGAAATGTCGATAAAATGATTCATTTGTATAAAATATTAATATTTTGTATATCAAAGAGGTACGTTATACCATTACATAATATAACATTGCTTAGCCAAATATATTTTTAATCGATAATTCGCTTTTTGACAGTTACTGTACTTAATAAATTTTAATGTAATTTACGTAACATCAGACTACAGTTTTTCTTTTTTAGTTATTCGTATCTTATATCGAATTGTGATAATATCTCGTACTTTTTAGATGCAAATCGATTTTAAAAATGACATTATAATTATTGACGAGGGTCACAACATTGAAGACATATGTCGAGAAACAGCCACATTCAGTTTCACAACTGCCGATGTTCAAGCAGCTCTTAAGGTAAATACATTGTGGGTTAAATGAAAACGTAAATTATAAAGAATATGTGTGATCATCAAAGGTTAAATACTCGTATAGTCTTACTTGAGACTTTAGAGTCCCAGATATCTGAGTGTACTCTAAATAAAATGTTAACCGGGAATAGAAGCTGCGACCTCCTTTATAAAAAACGTATTTTATAGAGCGTGTATGTGCACGATACCAAAGCCCAAACAATGATTAAAACATCTATATTTCTAACTGTTTGTATCCACTTCTCTTTCTCTATAGTTTATACTATTAACTCACTCGGTCCACTCGGGTTTGTCCCTACTTACGTTTTAACGTTTAGTATAGATTTGTCAGAGATGAGATATTTTCCTATTATCATACCAAATTTCGTCAAAATCCCTCCAGTAGATTTTCCGTGATGCGTTTACAGACAGACAGACAAAAATTCTAAAAACTATAGATTCAGCCTCTGTATCTATAATAATGTCTATTTAAATAAGATTTTCCAAAAAATATTTATTGGACAGATTCGGCTTAGTTACAATTTTATCATACAAGATAAATCCAGTTCAAGTAAAACATTAATTACTTACTAGAAACGGTAAACTAGCCTATGCCCAACAATTCTACATTTGCCAAATTTCATGGATATCTGTTCAGCAATTTTGGTAACCGAAAGGTAATACACAAGTAAAAAAGGTACAAATTTGTAATATTAATATAGATAACCCTGCACAGAAATTAAACCTAAAACCATACATTATTAAGCGTACTCTTACTACCATTGTGCAATTGTGCAGATTTTATGAATATTTTCCTTTCTTTCAAGGAGCTAAACTACGCTTTGTCGTTTCGATTTGCCAATCAAGACGTTGAAACATTCATCGAACACTTAATACAAGTTTTGAATAATTGGGACCAATGGTAAGTATATGCATATTTGATACTAAATAAATAAATTTCAAATTTCAAATATGCATGAGTATATTTTTTTTATATCATACGGTTGATTCGCTATACAAACTTACATTCCAATTTTCATCCCCTTAAGGGATGATTTCCAGGATAAAAAGTATCCTATGTCCTTCCCAGGTTCTCAAACTATCTTCATACCAAATTTCATCTAAGTCGGTTCAGTATATCCAGAGATTACCCCCTACAACGTCACAAACTCACAATTTACAAACTTTACCTCTTTATAATATTAGTATAGATTATAACAACCAATCTGTCTCTTTATAATATTAGTATAGATTAGCAGAGCCGCGGTAAAAACTAGTGAAATATTTTCTGTATATACATATATTTATTTAATACGTATTTATGTTGCAGGTTTGGAAACCAAATCCCACTTCTGGAAAAAAAAGCAATTAACGAAAATGTTGTGGTCTACGACTGGGATGTGAGGGACTTCATACAAACCTTAGGCTATCACAATATTGGACAAGGCCAATATCTAGGTAACTATTGCTTGATCTATTTAATTACATTTTCTAAGTATACTAAAAAGATATCAGATAGAACAAATGTGCTCAAAATAAATAGAAATTTCGTATATCGTTTTTTTTTTATAGGTGATATTCTCAGATATTTGTCCGATTCACTTTTTGTTTCCTCATTTATTACATAAGTCATGTATTCATATTATTTTCGTTTTGAGAACGATATATAAATATAATTTAATATTACTTGAAATAAATCTTTACGCTATATTGTTTAACTTTAAGTTTAAATACGAAATGGAAATAGCTATAATAATTAATTCTTATTCTTCTTGCTGGAGAAACCATCATCTGATGGGTGGGTCCCTGCCGGCCTGTGAGACTCTTAGCCACTAAAACCTACAGTAGAATCCTATATCTGCACTGCACTGCACTATACTCCAACACATCATATGCTACTTAATAATGTAAACGCCCAAGTTTGTGAGGATGAATGATGAATGTAATGATGAATGTAATACTTGATACCTCGAAAAGTCCGGGCCCTGATAATATTCATCCTTTCTTTATCTTCCAATGTGCCAAAGAATTATCTTTTCCCCTATACTTAATTTATAATGCATCCTTGCGAACTGGAGTTTTTCCGGCAAAATGGAAGGAGGCTAGAATAGTGCCTGTGCTTAAAGGTGAAAACCCCTCCGTAGTTGAAAACTATCGCCCGATTTCGATTTTATCAGCTATGTCAAAAGTCTTTGAGAGTATTGTGTACCAATTAATATTTACTAAAGTTAAACCTAACATCATCGAATCTCAACATGGATTTATATCTGGCAGATCCACTAATACAAATCTCATCACTTATGTCAATGAAATTATAAAAGTAGTAGATGAAGGTGATCAAATTGACGCCATTTATACTGACTTTTCAAAGGCTTTTGACAAAGTTAACCACACATTATTAATCAAACAACTGGAGTCCCTTGGTATAACTGGTAATTTGTTAAGTTGGTGTAGGTCTTATCTCCTTTTGAGATCATCCAGTGTCGTAATTGATGGACACCAATCTAACTCGTTTACTGCATATTCTGGAGTTCCTCAGGGATCTATTCTGGGTCCTGTCTTTTTTAACATTTTTATTAATAGTATTGCGTCTATATTTAAATATTCTAAAGTCTTTATGTACGCAGATGATCTTAAATTGATACGCAAGATTAAAACGTACTCAGACGTCATGTGTCTGCAGAAAGATTTGGACGAACTATGTAATTGGTGCAATAACAATAATATGTATTTGAATGCGAAAAAATGCTATCATATTCAGTTCACACGAAAAAAACATAAGATAAAAAGCGAATATTATATATCTGGTGCTCCTATTTGTAAAGTTGATGTTATTCGTGATCTGGGTGTCTTTTTGGATTCCAAATTACAATTTGCTGCTCACATTGAGCATATAGCGAGTGCTGCGCTCAAATCATGGGGGTTTGTTCTTAGAAATGCAAGAGAGTTTAAAAAAATCTCAACTGTCATAACACTCTTTAATTGCTTTGTGAGAAGTAAGTTGGAGTATTGCTCTGTAGTCTGGTCACCTCATTACAGTGTTCATATAAACAGAATTGAGAAAATACAAAAAAGATTCGTAAAATTTATGACATACCACTTTAAAATTCCTCAGTCATACTGTAGTTATGAAAACAAATTGCAATCTTTGGGTCTACTCTCGTTACAGTCGCGACGTAAGGTACTGGATATGATGTTTTTACATAAAGTTTTAAATAATGTAATTGACTGCCCGCCGTTGCTCGCTTTAATCGACTTTAACATACCCGTAAGGATTCCAAGGAAACATGCCCCTCTGCAAGCTTTCGTACTAAGAGGCATAGGACCATCTTAGGAAAAAATACGCCTCTAAATAGGTTAGCACGCACATACAATGATATATCGTTAAAAAAGGGAATTGACATCTTGCATGATAGCCCCGGTAGTTTTAAAAATAAAATTTGAAGTATACTTAATTGAATGGAATGTAATGAATTTTTCATACTCTTTCTTTATTCCTCAATTATATAAATCACATTCATCGTATCGCCCTATATGTAATATAATAAATTCACAATTTAATCTATAGTATATTTAATTTTCATTAATTGTTCAATTTTATTTGTCACAAAAATTTATTAACTGTGTGTAATTGTATATATTTTTATTGTCCTTTAAGATGTTAATGTTGTACTAATTTAATAGCATGCTGTAATTACCTCTAATTAAAAGTGCAATCATCATGTTTCTATAGTAACGAAATTATATGTAATTTATTATTGTAACTTTTGTTGGTAATTCTAAATAAATAAATAAATAAATAAATGAATGGATGCATGAATGTTTGTTACTCTTTCTCGTAAAAACCACCGAACGGATTTTGGTGACACTTTACAGTAACATAGCTTATACATCACAGTAACGTATAGGTTATATTTTTTTAAGATGTAGTTATATATAATTTAACTACGCATGTGGATCTGCGGGAAAAACGCTAGTAGTTTATATCCTTTTTTCTAACGTTGAGAAATGCACTTACATATACCACCTCCATTCACACAGGTGATTATGTGAGAACTCACCTGCTAGAAATCAATATAATCCAATAAAACCATAGCAAAAAATACGGTTCATTCGTTAATTCAAGGTGATTGTGCATTGACGACACGTTTGGCTCAGTTGGTAGTGACCCTACTTGCTATTCCAGCGCTCGCGGGTTCGAGTCCCGCTGGGAGCATTCATTTGTGTGATGAGCACGAATTTTTCTCCAGTCATGGGTGTTTATATTTATAATATGTATGTATTTAAAGTTATATATGTGTAGTGTATCAACTATCTGGTATCCATAACACAAGCCTCGTAGCTTACCATGGAACTAGATGGCGCTGTGTATTATTGTCCCAACATTTATTTATTTATTATTTATTTATTGCGTAAGTGATCTTGGGACGTCCCATAAAAGCGGGGCAGGTTCCGTTGAGTTTTAGTGGGTAATACTGGCTTTGCCGGTGAGTCGTAACCACCTGTATGTATGCAGGTGGTATGCGTGAATGCATTTCCCAAAATAAAAAATAAATAATACACAGTCTAATTTATATTAAGATTGTTAAAACGAATTTCATTACCATTTATGGTGTGCTATCAATTTCAGATTTTAAGAAAAACGTAACGCTGTTAAGTGATAAGATTAGGAACAATCCGGACACATTGAAGCAAGTGACGACACCTACTGTTAGTTTGCTTGAGTCCCTTAATAATATACTAGGTGAGTAAAAATTATTTATAATTCTGTTGTATCATTTTTATTTGGTTTTAAGGGTTCCATTTATTACTGTGTATTATTACAGTAATAATTTGTGTACTAAATTTTATCCAAATCCGGCCAGATGTGTCAGCGTCAAGTAACAAAAAACATAACAAACTTTCGCATTTTTAATAATGATACGTATAATATGAAAATTATGTTGATGTTTTTGTTCAATGCACAGGAAAATGGTCTGAAGTAAAAAGATTTTTTTAATTAATTATAATGAATTCCATAGTGTATTTCGGTTTTTTTTAACATAACCCGTATCAATTCCCGTTGGTATCAGTCTCTTGCAAGTTGCAAAAGGAAGGGTTATCAATAAATAATTATATTATTTTACAGGTTACATTTTCGGCAAATATTTAGACAGTTATAAACCAAAACTGGAACTGAAGTTCAAGCCTTTCTTGTTTGAAAACAACGAGTGGACAAACACGCCATTTAGAAATGTATGTCTTACTCATATTATCTATTTTATTTTATTTTGAAATCCAGCAATTTTTCTTTAAAAAAAAGTTTTTTTTGTACATAATGTATGGGGTGTTCCAAAAAGGTGGTATATAAATGTAAATTTTGATTCAAATTCCAAAATTATCTCCTTCCTAATTTTTTTCTATCTCCAAAAAAATATGTTACGCGCAATTTTTTCACTATGACATATGAACGGATTTTTATAATTATATTTTTTGAATGGGACACATTTAGTCATCATCATATAAATATTAAAAAAAAATCATCCCTAAGGATGAAAATATACTTTAAAATTGATATTAAATTTGAAAAGTGTAAAGAAGTCATGTGACATATATACTCTACTCCCTGCTTTTGTAATCTACACTTTAAATCACATATGCTTAGGGTCTATACACACGCCGACTTTTTAACACGTTGTCGGCGCGCGTGCACGCGTTTGTCGCAAATTTATATCGATACAAACACAAGTTATCTACATTTTTAAAGTTTGCTTTGGAAAACATACAGCCGTCGATCCTGTGTCTGGTGTCTCACCGGTCACGTCAAAATGTCTATCTAACAAAATATGTGACTTTAATTGTAAAGCAAAAAAGAATAGAGGGCACTTGTTTGTTGTTTGTGTGTATACTTGTGCACTATAATCTTTACTATGTAATATTATAAAGAGGCAGAGTGTGTTTGTGTGTTTGTTTGAACGCGCTAATATGAAGAACTAAGTACTGATCCGATTCAAAAAAAAAATTGCATTCGATAGCCTATTTATTGAGGAAGGCTATTATAGGCTATATATTATCATGCTACTACCCAAGGGAGCGGAGCATAAATATATATAAATATGATGATGATGATGATGATGTTCTCCTAGCCGATTCCCGGCCACGGCGGCCAATCTCATTGAGATTAGCCAACTGCGCAGGAGATATTATAGTGCTCAAGTGTACGCGCAGACACAAGTGCACTCTCTATTCCTATCACTCTCATACTCCGGTGGGACGACCACTCGACACGACCGGTGAGAGTTAAGGCGCAGGACCGACGGCTTTACGTGCTCTCCGAGGCACGGGGGTGTAACACCGCCAACTTCCCAACTCCGGGCTGTTACTGAGACTTACTATACAGAAAGACTCAATAACTAAACTTGGCCCGAGCCGGGACTTGAACCCAGGACCTCCAGATGTGCAGCCGTACATGCTAGCCACTACACCACCGAGGCAGTCAGTCATAAATATATGTATGTCATAAATAGTATACCATAAGTCCAAAAAGTTTTTTGTAGATAGAACGCGGGCGAAGCCGCGGGTTCTGCTAGTATTTTATATATATATATATATATATATATATATATATATATATATATATATATATGCTAACCCTACTGAGATTGACACTATAAGCAAAATTGGTAAGGTATTATCAATATACTCGTATTAAATACCAACAGAAATCAAACTGGGAGTACCTCAAGCTGCATCTGTACTGCCTGAACCCTGCCGTGGTGTTCTCTGGGCTGTGCGCGGCGCGCACGGTGGTGCTCGCGTCCGGCACGCTCACGCCCGTCGCCAGCCTCGAGTCCGAATTAGATACCGCATTCCCATTCAAAGTCAGCGCGAAACACATCATACCTGATGATAGGGTGAGTTGGACTACTATTTAATTTTAATATATATTGGGACATTTAGCACCATCTAGTTCCATGGTAAGTTTGTGGCTTGTGTTATGAATACCAGATAGTTGATACACTACATATATAACTTTAAATACATATTATAAATATAAACACCCATGACTGTAGTACAAATATTCGTGCTCACCACACAAATGAATGCCCTCAGCAGGACTCAAATCCGCAACTACTGGTACAGCAAGTAGTGTTACTACAAACTGAGCTAAACGTGTCAACACAAGCCTCGTAGCTTACCATGGAACTAGATGGTGCTGTGTGTTAATGTCCCAACATAAATTATATATATATAATTTCATTTGTCCCCTACATGGCGACGGTTAGGTGTGGGATCAATCTTATAATATAAATGTATAATATATGAATACTTTAATTTAATACGTAAACTACGGTCAGGTGTGGGTGGGCACGTTGGGGTTGCACGAGGACGGCAGCGAGCTGGTGTGCCGCAGCGCGGAGCTGCGGCGCGCGGGCACGCGGCGCGCGCTGGGCCGCGCGCTGCGCTGCGTGTGCGACGTCACGCCGCACGGCGTGCTCTGCTTCCTGCCCTCCTACACCGTGCTCAAGGCGCTCGTGAAGGAGTGAGTACGCAGAGAGAGAGAGAGAGAAAGAGAGAGAGAGAGATACACACACGGATATACCTAGATCAGACACACACAGTGCCAAGTGAAAGCAACGAGTTAGTACTCTGTAACAAGGACGCTCGTGTAATATTAATAGCAACCTGCCCACGCATCGCTAAGTGCATCTTAAGTATCTTTTATATTTATAATAGTAGTAGCTGTTACTCGGTTACTCGGTGGCGGTCGAGTTCGTCCCTAGGTACGTTTTAACGATTGTTAGTATGGAATAGAATAATTTAGAAAGATGCATATAAAATTAACATGACAAATACGTTATAAATTATTCTTTTTATTTTAATTCAATGCTAAATAAAAACGTGTTAAAATTTATTAAAAATTATATAGTAAAATAAACTTTGATCTTTTAAGAAGACTATTAAAAGATTCTCAGGTTCAAGGGACCAAAAATGAATACGTTTTGGAAACAGTAAACATTATGGGAACATCCCCGAATATGTGTGTCATTTAAAGAAGTAGCTCTTCAAGTATTAAGTTATGAGTAACGTAAGCAATTGGCTATGCCAGTGAAAGTAGTGAAAAAATGGCTGAATTTTGGTGCACATTGTGGTTTGATATGAAATTGAATGATTACATATTTAACAAAATTAACTCTAAATTGGATATTGAAACGTCGCGGCAAATAAAATTAAGATAAAAACTGCAATCGTCGTAGAAGACGATCTTGTGCTGGTTATCGCACCTCGGGTCTTCTGCACGACGTTGGTAAACAACAGCATTCCCAAAGAGGGTTGATGTCAGGCAGGCGGCCGGTCGTAAAACTTTTGCCAAAACCGATCAGCAGTATGGTAGACGTACTGCGCCAACCCCTAATAATTTGGAAATGGGCAGGAAAAAGAAGAAGATTTTAATTCAATGCTATTTTAATCTTCCATGTGTGTTTTAGATGGAATGCTTCGGGGATTTTGAAAGAAATAGAAAGGACTAAAGAGATATTTCAAGAATCAAATAATGTCAAGGACCACGAAATAGTTATGAAGGTAAATCCATACTCATAATATTATAAATGTTAACTGTACGTTTGTTGCCTTTTCACGCTTAAATCTATGTACCAATTTCTATGAAATTTGACGAGGACGTAGGTTCCGTCCCGATGGAAATAGGCTACCATCCATATGTTTCATCTATTTAAGGGGTAGCACTCTTCTATAAAAAAATCTGTCGAACTTCGACAAAGAAGGCTGGCTTTTTTAGAGGTTACTCCATCAATGACTGCCTCGAGTGTCACAAACCTCCTTTTTTTTAACGTTTAGGCACGAAGTGTGGTACTCACCGGCAAAGCCAACAGAACCTTCCCCCGTCTTAATGGGGCGTCGCAGGATCTGTTGGTTGTTGTGGTCTGCCGAAGCAGACCACAACAACCATGGGGTTACTCCACAGTCCTCTCTGCTATCTATTTGACACTTTAAATAAAACTAGCTTTTCGTGTTTTTTTTCGCCGATTCATTTTGATTTTTGGGTCCCGTGTTTCGTATGAAGCAATCATAGTATTGAATATTTGTAAGAATGTGGCAACATTAATATTTTAATTGAATTTTTTGTATGGCAATATTCTCTCTGTGTACGCCGGTCAGAACAATCATCCATGTTATTTGTATCGTCTAAAGAGAAAAATAAAACAACGCAATTAATCCAACATTACACCTTTTATCTCGCTCCATCCGCTGCTAATATACCTGAAAAGGTTATGGGCCCAGTCTCCCGGAGCGAAAAATAGGAGTATTGTATTGCGGTACAGCTGTGGTAAAACGGCGGTGTGGTACTGCGGTCAAGCAGTCACGTTCGGTGCAAAAATGGACGGCGAGGGCGATATCTTTGGGGCGAACAATCGCTTCTTACTAGAAAATGCCAGTAACTGGCATACATGGAAATTCCAAGTAAAAGTCATACTAAAGGCGGTGAATGCCTATGACTTGGTGGACGGCTTATTAAAATGCCCAGAAAATGACGACACAAAGTTAGCCACGTGGAAGGCTCAAGCAGTCATCGTAGGCAGACTAGGCAGCACAGCTATGCTGCATATACAGAATTGTGAAACAGCCAGAGAGATATGGGACAAATTAAATACAATTTATGAACAAAAATCTGATGTGTCACTCCACATATTGCAGCAGCGTTTCTTTGAAGAAAAATACATCGGTTCAGAAGATGTATCAACATTCATAGCCAAAATAGAAGCAATCGTGACACAAGTAAGGCAAGCAAAAGGTGAGATTGCTGAAAACATGATTGTTACAAAAATTATAAGTTCGCTAGGTGAAAACTTTCGACACTTTGTCTCTGCATGGGACTCCGTTCAAATAGAAAAGTGAACCCTGTCTGAGTTGACAGCTAGGCTCATTATAGAAGAGCAAAGAAACAAAATGTACCAAGAGAGTGGAAGCAGTAGTTCCACAGCATTCAAGACTGACACAAAAACAAGAAAGTGCTTTATCTGCGGTAAAGCGGGGCATTATAAAAAAGACTGTAAAGCTAAAAAGGTTGAAAACAGCTACAAGTCTGAAAACATTCCATTTTGTAAACAATGTAAAAAACGTGGACATACAAAAGAAAAATGTTGGTTCAACAAGGACAAAAAACAAGAAAATATAAATAATAAACAAAACGCGTTTGTCATGTCAGCGTGTGGACTTGCGTCAAAAAGTATAAACAATGAGTGGTTCTTAGATAGTGGTGCTTCCGAACATATGTGCTCTACTACTGTAGAGTATTGTCTACTGACAATTTTATAAACTATAAAAAGTTGTTAGTGCCTAAAGACGTTGTTATTGGGGATGGGACAATAATAAAAGCATTAGGTTATGGTGACATTGACCTTGAAGCATATGATGGTCAACAATGGATCAAAACGTTAATAAACAATGTTTTGTATGTGCCGAGCATCAAGGTAAACCTATTTTCCATGAGTGCTGCTCTGGATAAAGGCTACAAGCTGGAATCAACTGCTACTGAGTGCCAGTTTATAAAAAACAATAGTGTCTATGCTATAGCGAAGAGACATGGTAAAATGTACACAATGTTATTCAAAAAGCCCGATGCTTGTGCCATGGTTGGAAAAGTGATGTCAAATTTAAGGGAATGGCATACTAAACTAGCTCACCAAGACATTAACCAAGTGAAAAGCATCTTGATGAAACAAAATATAAAGTTTGAAAATAGTAAAGAAGAAACCTGTTTGCCATGTTTGAAAGGAAAACAACATAAGTTTCCCTTCCCATTGAGTACCCATAGAGCAACAAAACCAGGAGAGGTTATCCATATAGATATTGGAGGTCCAATAGAAGAAACTTCACTAGGAGGGGCAAAGTTCTTTTTACTTATTAAGGATGATTATTCCAAATATAGAAAGGTGTATTTTCTGAAGAACAAAAGTCAGTCTATAGAATATTTAAAACAGTATTTGAAAGAAGTGCTAGTGAACCCCGGTCACACAGTGAAATATTTAAGAAGTGATAATGCAAAAGAATTTATCAGTAAAGAAATGGAGAACTTGCTAAATTCATACGGAATACAACACCAACAAAGTGTAGCCTACACTCCACAACAAAATGGTTGTGTAGAGCGCGAGATGAGAACAGTGGTTGAGTCAGCACGAACTATGCTTCTAGAGAGCGGCCTTAACAAGAATCTGTGGGCTGAAGCAATTAATACCGCTGTCTATGTCATCAACAGAACTGGTTCAAGTCGCGTGAAGGATGTAACTCCATATGAACTTTGGTGGAATAAAGATTTTGATGTAAATAATCTACAAGTCTTCGGTAGTCAAGTATCTGTACATATTCCGGATCAGAAACGGTTAAAATTTGATAGCTAAGCAGAATTAGGCTATTTCATTGGATATGGAGAAAATACAAAAGGCTACAGAATATACTTTCCTGAAAGAAACATAGTAGACATTAAGAGAGATGTAATATTTATAAAAAAGTCTGAAGAATACAAAGAAAGAGACAGAGGACAAGAAAAAGAAAATTACATAGCTTTTGACACTCAAGAAGACACAGAACAAGTATTAGAACTAGAACAAAGCCAGTACGAAGATATTGAGGACCCTGAAACAATAGAAAGTGAAAAAGAAGAGAACTCAATTCATTCCTTTCATGAGGAGTCCGCAATATTAGAGGAAGAGATAGAAGAAGAACAGGAAACATCACAACAGACAGAAGAGGTAACCGAAAGACCTAGAAGGGCGAGGAAAAAGCCAAGCTGGTTTAAAGACTATGAACAAGGAGATGAAAATATATTCCTGAGTTACAGCTGTGATGAACCTATTTCCTACCAACAAGCTATGAAGAGACCCGATAAAAGAAAATGGGAAGAAGCCATAAATAAAGAATTGCAAACACTGGAGGAAAATAATACATGGGAGGAAGTGGCAGAAGTTCCTGACGGAGAAAACATAGTAAGTAGCAAGTGGGTTTTTAAAGTCAAGGAGGTAGAAGGAAAAGCTTTGTATAAAGCTCGCTTAGTGGCCCGAGGATTCGAGCAGAAAAACTGTGATGACCAGATATACTCACCTGTTGCTAAATTAACTACTTTCAAAACCATGATGGCTGTAGCTACCCAGAAAAGCCAACCAGTGTATCAGATGGACGTTACTGGGGCATTTCTTTATGGTGACATAAATGAGACAGTTTTTATGAGATTACCAGACAATAAGGTATGTAAATTAAAAAAGTCAATCTATGGTCTTAAAAAATCACCTAAATATTGGAACACAAAATTTAATAGTTTTATGACAAAAGAAAGTTTTCTAAGATCAAAGAATGACCCTTGTTTATATGTTAAACATATTGGAAATGATTTTATTTATGTGCTATTATTTGTGGATGACTTGTTGTATTTTGGTAATAATAAAAACCAAGTAAATGATTTTAAAAATTCAATATGTAAAAACTTTAAAATGAAAGATTTGGGTCTGGCCAGTAATTATTTGGGAATAAATATTAAACAGGATCTTAGAAATAATGTAACTGTAATTAATCAGAAAAAGTATTTATTAAAGTTGTTGGATTTATATCAAATGTCAAATTGTAAATCTGTATGTACTCCAATGGAACATAACTTTAATTTTGAATTATTACAGAGAGATAAAAGTGAAAGTATTGAAATAGAAAAAGCATGTAGAAGTTTAGTAGGCAGTCTTTTATATGCTACTTGTACTAGACCAGACTTATGTGTTGCAGTAGGATTTCTTAGTAGGTATGTGCATTGTGCTAGTGTAGTTTTGTTTAAATGTTTAAAGAGGATATTGAGATACATAAATGGTACTATACTATTGATTTATCTTTAACATACAAATATGATAAGGAAAGTAAAAATGTATGTAAACTGCAAGGTTACAGTGATGCAGACTGGGCCGGTGATGTATCAGACCGGAAGTCAACATCAGGACAAATATTTTATATTTTTAATTCTCCAGTTTCTTGGTATAGCAAGAAACAATCTTGTGTATCAATGTCATCTTGTGAAGCTGAATATGTAGCTCTTAGTATGAGTATTATGGAAGGATATTTTTTGAAAAAGTTACTCAAAGACTTTGGATATGATAATGTATATTTTGAAATACTTGAAGACAATCAAAGTGTAATTAATATAGCAAACAACAATGACAGTAATAAGAGATTAACACATATAGACATAAAGTATCAATACATAGTAGAAAATGTATCAGCAGGTTTAGTTAAAATAAAATTTGTTTGTAGTACTAACAATGTTGCTGATTTGTTTACCAAACCATTAGGAAAAATACTTTTTGTTAAACTTAGGGATATGATATTGTCATAATTTTGTAAACTAACTTTATAAGTAGAAACATGCATAGGAAAGTGTTGAGTTAGTATCTTATGACTAAAAGATGTTTGTTATTCTTAAGTTGAGGGCTCTGACTCTTGAGTATTTGTTTTGAGGTTATTGTTGTGTTATTAAGGGGGTGCACTAGTGTTTCAAAATTGTTAAGGGGTTAATAAGTGTACTTTAAATTAAAATATCATATTGAGGGGTGTATTGAATATTTGTAAGAATGTGGCAACATTAATATTTTAATTGAATTTTTTGTATGGCAACATTCTCTCTGTGTACGCCGGTCAGAACAATCATCCATGTTATTTGTATCGTCTAAAGAGAAAAATAAAACAACGCAATTAATCCAACATTACACCTTTTATTTCGCTCCATCCGCTGCTAATATACCTGAAAACATAGATAATAAAAATCGCCAAAAATTAAAATAAATCCGCGAAAAAATCGAAAGTTAATTTAATTTAAAAAGAATCGGTCTAGAAGATCCTAATTTTTATTCTATCCCTATGTATCTAAACCTGCAGAACTACACGAAAGCGGCGACCACCTCCGGCGCGCTGCTGCTGGCCGTGTACCGCGGCAAGGCGGCCGAGGGCGTGGACTTCCGCGACCGCCAGGCGCGGGCCGTCGTGCTCGTACGTATAAGCTACGGTCACAGACTAAACAGTTATAAAATTGCAAACTTCTTTTTGTTTCTTTTTTATTTATTATTTTTTTTTATTATATACAGGGTATTCCAAAATTCACGAAAGTTTTAATTTTTTTATAGAAACTAAAAATTGAAAGAAATGCAATTGTGTTAAATCACATAATCTAGGAGCCCAACTCAAATCACCGAAACGAGGAGTACACAACCAGAAAATATCTCATGCAATTACTCTCTTTACAGTTGACGAAGTTAAATTAAAATTCCTTTTATATTTTCTAAGAAATCATTATTTTTGAAATACTGTTCATCAATGAAAACGCGTTGTTCTTTGGTGAAATGCTCCATTTTTATTAACCCTATTCTCTCAGTTGCTCAAATTGTTCTTTTTTTGTGGTTGCAGACAATTACTGCGTGAATGGTAGCAAATTGAAATCTTGCGTGAATTTTGAGACTCCTTTATATATTACCTATTTGAATCAGATTTTTTCACAATTTCATGGGTTTTAAATTTTTTGCGCCGAACACTAATTGTTTTTTTCTTTTAATAAAAGTAGCCTACGTTACTCCTCTACCATCAGCTATCTGCTAATGAAAGTCCAGTCAAAATCGATCCAGTGGTTTCGGAGATTAGCCGAAACTAACAGATAATACAAAAAAATTAATCTCATTTCCTTATACGTAAAAAGCTGTTATTTTGACATTACAAGCAGACACTTTGGTTTTATTTATTCGTATAGAATATAGATTAATAATATTTTTTTTCATCATTTAAACCTTTTATTTATTCACAAAGGTAGGCGTACCGTTTCCGAACATTAAAGACGAAGCAGTCCGCAGCAAAATGGAATATAATGACAACAATGCACTTAAGATGAAACTTCTCTCCGGAAGCGACTGGCTCTACGTACAAGCATTCAGGTATTGTACTATATAATCATTGTATTCAGCCCTTTTTAACGTCCCACTGCTGAGCACGGGTCTCCCTTACATACGAGGGGGATCAGGTCATAGTCCACCACGCTGGCCAAGTGCGGGTTGGCGGACTTCACAAGTCTTTTGAAAACTTGCTAGGTTCTCTCAGACATGCAGGTTTCCTCACGATGTTTTCCTTCACCGTAAGGCAAGTGGTAATCATGTTAGAAATGATTCGCACATGAAAATATCAGAGATGCGAGACCCGGGATTTGAACCCGCTTAACTCGGTTTCCCACGCGAGCGCGTTACCACTGGGCTACCACTGCCTATAACGTAATATGAATACCTATAATCATATAATTAGATATTCATATAATCGTCTTAGTTTTAACTGATTTGGTTTAGTGGTTAACATATACGGGCTACAGGTTCAGAGGTCCTGGGTTCTAGTTCCGGGTCGGGTCAAGTTTTGTTATTTTTTCTGTATAGTAAGCCTCAGTAACAACCCGGAGTTGGGAAGTTGTCGGTGTTTTACCCCCGTGCCGAGGCAGAGCAAATGTAAAATTGGATACGAAAATTGTAAAATATGGTTATTTTATGTATGTTTCATTTTCAGTTATAACGTTTTTTTATTGATTTTTTAATTCATCACAGACTATTTCTCAACGGTTTTGTTAATTTGTAAGTGTATTGTTTATTGCACATTAAATTTGTACTATTTATTCGTCCTTTTTAACATCCCACTCAGCAGTGGGATGTTAAAAAGGGCGTCCCTTCAATACGAATGAAACTTCGTATAAACTAATAAAATCTTAAACAACTGTGACCCAAACAGATTTGGCCAAGATTTTCTTAGTACCGTTATTCTCTGTCTCTATCTACTTGTCGTTGTCTCTATCTATTGGGATGTCACATGTTTCGTCGACTGGCTTACTCTATGTGTATATGTTTGGTACACCCTGTGCGTGCAGGGCGCTGAACCAGGCGGTGGGGCGCAGCGTGCGGCACGCGCGCGACTGGGGCGCCGTGCTGCTGCTGGACGCGCGCTACCGCCGCCCCAACTACACGCGCCACATCTCCGAGTGGGCGCGCCGACGCGTGAGTACACACACACACACACACAATCTTTTTCGATTATGACCACAGAAATTATATACCAATTGTGAGGTGGGAGGTCGAGAAGAGCGCGGGTTCTGTTAAAGTCACACTATTACTGTAAATGCTACTATATATGTACAATTTTAATTAATATTATAGTAATACATAAATTAAGCAATTTTTTATCGACGTAATATGTGTCTATCTATCACGGAGTCAGAGTCGCGGGCAAGAACTAGTTTTATTCAATATTATGTATCTACCTACCAACTAAACATACATAAGAAAAATGATTGACCGAGCGAGCGAAGCGTCTCTGCTTCAAGACTGGCAAAATTTGCTTTCCTTCGTCAGTTTGTTGGTACTTCTCTACAGGTGCTATTTTACAACCGATTTGGAAGAAACTTGGTATAAGTAGTTTTTACGACTTTATCGATTTTTTGTCGTGCGGAATTTTTGGTTGAAGGAGTACTTCCTCCAAAAGGGGCAAAAAGGGTGCTACTGGATATCTCCGCCTTATGAGATCTGATTTCGATGGTCCATTTTTTATTTGAAAGCTAGTAACTTTAAGTTGGTCTCATAAATATTTAATGAAAATCTGATGAGGATCTTCGCCGTGATCCGTGGAACAGCTCCTCAAAACGGAGTTTTTGCTCGCGAGGTCTACTGTCACAGAACTCCTAGTTATTAATCGTATGATGTTATTTTGTCATACTAATATTATAAACGCAAAAGTTTGTAGGGGTGTACATATGTATGTAAGTATACTGAACGGATTATGATAAAATTTTGCAGTAATATAGTTTATATAATGTCATTAGTAAAATAAAAATGAATTTTCAAGCTAAGTCGCAGTTATTAATTGGTATATATAAGGAAATTAAATGTTTTTTTTAGTTGGAGCAAAAACAAAATCATAACTTCAGCAGCTTGATAAACCATCCAAGTGGCATTAAAGCGTTTATGGAAATAATGACTCAAAAGGAAGCAGGAGAAGAAACGGAAAACGAAAATTGAAAAATAAAAGAAAGCTGATAATGAAAAATTGGCAATATTTTTATAAGTACGTTTTTAGTTTAATATAAACATACATAAATAGTTAAAATATACTATATTATGTCGGTATAAGAGCATATAGCTGTCTACGGGAGTCGAACTCGTGACCATGAACTTGATGAGCTGCGGTTTCTTTTTGGTTGAAAAAGTAAAAATCAACATATACTTAATTCATGTACTTACTGGATGGAAAGTATATACATATAAACATATTAATTTAAAGTCCAAAGTATGGGAAAGCATTTCTTAAATAATAACCAGGATTTAAAATTCAATAACAAAAAAGTATAGATGAACGACGAGAATATTTATGCATAATTCTTAAGTGGCATGCTTACTTAATTTTAAATGTTCTGGTTTTTAGTTAGATTTTTAGTAGGTGATTACTTAGTCATAATAGTTCAGTAGGTAGTTAGTGTTATGTTCCAAATGAAATTTTGTATGAGTTATTTTTTATGTATTTTTTAAAATACTCCAAAAAAATGTTGTTTTGACCGATTGATCTCTGTAAATATTTTTTAGAAATCATTGTTTTAAATCTTACTATTAATTAACATTTAAAATTCTAAATAACAATATAAATTATATTTTTATTTCATTCTGTTTTACCATTTAACTGCCTGATGTCAACCCTCTACAAAAGACTGAAAAAAGGTCGAAATATTAAGCATAAATTAATTCAAGCAGCTTAATTTCGGCATAATTTAAAACATCCATAGAACGTAAAATCTATGCATTTTATATTCCTACAATTTTTTTTTTAAATATTTCTCTTTAGCTGTTGCTGTTTTTTCTCAAATATCATTTTAGATCAAAATAAAGATGAAAATCTGTCAACATGTCTAAGTAGTTGTTTTTTAGAGCTAAGTACCTATATTAGGAATACAAATAATATAAAGCATCACAAATAATTAATGCCCCGTTTTCCTTCTTTCCAAGGGGTTGCCATATTTGATATTACATATATCGATATAAGAATAGTTACTAAACTAGGTAAATCTCCAATTTCAGGCGGCCATATTCAATCTAATTAACTAACATAAGATAGAAAGTTAAATAGATAAATACTTTATTGCGTACATAAAAGAAGAGAGACATCTATACATATAAATAAAATAGAAATGTCTGTTTGTAATGTCAAAATAACAGCGTTTTACTAAATGCTTATGAAAGTGTAAATGGTACTTATATGTTTTTTTTTTAAATTGTGTGGTGAGCACAAATGCTTGAACTCCAGGCATGGGTGTTTGTATTTATAATATGTATGTATTTAAAGGTATATATGTGTAGTGTATCAACTATCTGGTATCCATAACACAGGCCTCGTAGCTTACCATGGAACTAGATGGTGATGTGTGTTAATGTGCCGACATATTTATTACAAATGTCTAATTATACACATACATATATGTTATTATAATGTCTTGTTTTGTATTATAATGGAATAAATATATATAAATTCAAATTTATATTAGCATAATATGTACATATATTTTTAAAGCTTGAATTGAGTGTGATTATCGTCTCGACATTTAGTAAATGCATTATATCGTACATTCAGGATGATTGGTTAAAATGAAAAGTAATAATGAGTAAATATTTTTATATTATTTAGTCTTAATAGCTTAAGTTGTTTTTAGATTAACATCCTTTAAAGCGCGTACAAAATTTTATGTTCTTTAAAGTTCATTTCATTCATTCATTTTTAGTTTATTTTTATAGAGACATAGGTATAAAAACACGAACTTTTATTATTAGGTGCCATAACATACCAATATATTATTTCTATGGCAGGTAGGCTCTACTTTACCATTTTTATGTTGTCGTCTATGATTTTAAAAATGGACGCTGCTATTCGCACGATCAACAGGAAGCTTTCCTTGCCCGCTTGCCCCATGGATCGATTAAATTTAGCTCTAGCTTTCAGATCCAAAAATTTCCCATATTTTTCAGAAACAAGAAAGATTCCCAGCTACGGGAAAGTTTCCCGTAACTTAATTATTAATGAGAGTATTTTTATAAAGTCATAATTTCGTTAAGTGCCTTGTATAATAAAAAACATTTAATGTAATCAAAGTTGTTTTATTTACATTCTCTATTATCTTCTCTATTACTGTTCTTGTTTGCGTTGCTGTCGTTGCACCCTGCAACAATAAAATAGTAATTTTCTAAAATAGTAAAAATGGTAGTTCTCTATTTCTGTCTCTCTCAAAGATTGGACGATAGTTCGACACTCACGGTGAGATATCAGGTAACTTTGATGAAACACCACCTCCTTCTCCAGACTGTTACTATACTCAACTGAACCCAGGACCTCCTGAAGTGCAGTCGTGCAGCTATAACCTATAAAAAGGAGGTTACCTGCGCGCGCAGTCCACGAGCCGCGCGTGACGGCGCAGGTGCGACACGTGCAGGAACGCGAACTGGCACACCTCGCACACGAACGGCCGCTCGCCCGTGTGGTACCTGCGATAAGGTAAATTGTAATAAATAATATTTTCCTGACCGATTCCGACCACGGCGGCCAATCTCATTGAGACTAGCCAACTGCGCAGGAGATATTTTAGTGCACTATACGTGCACTCTCTATTCCTGTCGCTCTCATACTCCGGTGAGGCGACTGCTCGACACGACCAGTGAGAATGTCGGCGCAGGACCGACGGCTTTACATGCTCTGCCTCGGCACGGGGGTAAAACACCGCCAACTTCCCAACACCGGGCTGTTACTGAGGTTTACTATACAGAAAGACTCAATAACTAAACTTGGCCCGACCCGAGACTCGAACCCAGGACCTCCGGGTGTGTATCTACTGCACCACCGAGGCAGTTACATTATAATAATCAGTACTTAATCGGCATTTATCGGAGAAGATATAAAAAAAATTTTTTTTTCATATATATAATATATATAAGTTAAAAAAGCAAAACCTTATCTAAATACAAAACTTGATCCAAATCGTTAGCCCCGAGTATTGCAAATTTTATATTGTACTTTACACTTTTAAAATACTAAACAAAAACACTTATGTGTAACAGTTGAAGTAAAAGTCGCAAGTGTTAGTATTATACATTGACGCACTTGGCAATATCATCAGATCGGTTCTGATTGCGCGTTGTATGAATCTTTACCTCTGCAGTACTTTATTAGATTCAAGTGAATACTTAACATCTAGCACGTGAGTGCAAAAAAAAGGCTGAATACAATAGAGATAATAAAATAAATCTATTCGGATTTTTTCGCGGATTTATTTGGATTTTTGGTTTCCCTTAACCATGATTGCTGTAAAGCATTCGAAACGTCGGAAAGAAAAGACCAGAAAGTTTATTAACCTCTATTGGTACTCATGTGCTAGTTACTGTTGAATATTTGGATCGCCATCGCAAAAGTGGATCAACTAAAATATTACTCGTAGAAACTAAACAATCTTAGCTTTAAGGTGAAGTCAACAGACGGACGGACATTTTAAAATTATTATTTATGTATGAAATCAAACCTTTTATGCACTACAAGATCGCATTTCTTATAGAACTTTCTGGAACACCCGGGCGCGTCGCACGCGTGCGGCGTGAGGCGCTCGTGGTCACGCTCTATGTGGTTTTTTAACTGTATCAAATTACATTACAAAATCAAATCAAAATATACTTTATTCAAATAAACTTTCACAAGCAATTTTGAATCGTGAATAACTTTAAAATTACATATTAAAATTAAATTAAATGTCAGTGTAGTCAGTCCGTGAGGAATCTACCACCGGCTCCGGAAGGCAGTTCTGCTGAGAAGAGCCGGATTAAAAGGATACAATATTTAAGCTCTTTAAAAAGTATTTTAAAAATTTCTACGTACAAATAATTTTATTTTATAATTTGTAACCACTTAATCAAATCATATTAATGTACTTTGTGATGTCTTTCTGATGCTTTTGGTAATGTAGTTAAAAAACTTGAAAGATTCGTTTTGCACAAATGTTTACTTTTTTTCTCTTAATAGTATTTAATTATTTAAACTTATTATATAATATTAAAGTCACCAAATACATAACAAGCTTTTAGTTTTATATAATAAATGAAATCGTAGAGAAAAAAATTATTCTCTCGATAATATTTTTTTATTATGTATGAAAAAAACTATTTATAAATTGTCTAATACCTGCAACTGTCGTATCATATTGGTTATACACAAAATAATAATTAAAAAAGATTTGAAAAAAATTGAGGAGACTTTATTTACACTGCATTTATTCATTTTTGACGTTTGAAGATTATCCATGCAGTGTTCAATAAACTTTCGGGGAAACGATAAAATTTTAATTGTGTATTATTTTTATACGGCATATTTGAACAGCCACGAATACAGCAAGATACTTTTGATGAAGACATCACAAACACTTTTAACTTACAAAAAATAATTAAAAAACGCTGATAATGCAAAACTAATATTGTTTACCATCACTTTGTGTATTTTCCGAGCAGATGGCATAATCGTCATCTTTCTCACTCCATATAGTGTAAATAGCAAAGTGTATGATAAAATAGTGCGTAGGATATAGTGTATAGTGTACACTGTCTCACCATCCAAGCGGCGGGGAAGGCGCGCCCGCAGCGCCGCGCGGCGCAGCGGTGCGCGGGGGGCGCGGGGCGCGCGGGCGCGGCGGGCGGGTGCCGCGCGCGCGCGTGCTTCACCAGCGTGGAGCGGTAGCTGAAGCGCGCGCCGCACTCCCGGCACGCGTGGCGGCGCAGCGCCGCGCTGTGCGTCGCTGCGTAATACGCATGGTTAAAAGCATAATAATTGGACCCAGTTATGCAATAAACAGCCATGTGCGTAAAAGTACCAACAGAGTTATAAGGATTTTATTATAAATAAAAGAGTGTGTGCAATTCACACATCATAGAAGTGAAACTTCAGAAAATGATATGAATATAGAGTATCAGGAGTAGGATAATCATAAGGATTTTTTTATATTATTTTTACCAAGTTTAAAAGTTATTTTACATTTCATTTGACATAAATATAAACATTGCATAATAATCAGTAATGAATTTTATTATTTTTCACTTCCTGTGTAATGTATTCTATCAAATAACAACGGTTACCATGGCATCATCGCAATGTATTCTATCTCATTCTATCGCCGGCTTAATCCTATATATTTATATGTTTGTCTCTTTTTACTGTCGCATTTCCGTTGCATCGAGTTTCAAATCACAACGATTCTAAAGAAGTTTCACTTCAAAAATAAAATAATTATAAAAAATAAACAATACTTATATAAATATTGTTCAATTTTAAAATAACCAGAAAAACAAAACATAACCCAAGTGCAACTATCGACAGAAAAATGCTTTCTTAGATTTACGCGAATATTTGACATTTTAAATAAAACTATCTTTTCGGATTTTGTCGCGGATTTATTTGTATTTTTGTTTCCCGAATATATCGCCTATATAATAATATCGCCCTAGAATGATTCGAGAAGCCATAGAAATTAAAAAACATCCTAATTTCAATAGGGAAGATGGCTGGGTACTACCATCGTCATGGGATCCTGTTATTAATATAATAAAATCTAATAATAAATCTAAACATAACAGACAGGTAGATGTAGTAAGTTCTTACTGTGTAGATCAAAATGATAGCATTTCTGATTAATAATATTTTTCACTTTTTTCACTTTTTCATTTGTAAATGTATGTAGTAATGTGTTGCTTAATAATTTGTTTTTTAAATAATAGCAAATTTAAATTTAAATTATAATTTTTAATTAATCTTAACTTTTTCAAATTACACAGATCAATTGTGGCTTAAATAATTAATACTATATTTTATATTTTTCTTATGGTTATAAATATAATAATGGCAACACTAAATATAGATTACTAATTAATATTTTTAAAATTGTAATAATTATAAAAATAATAGCAAAAATTAAATAAATAATTTTCCATATTCAATTATAATTAAAATTATAAAAATATTTAAAGTTAAAATATTGTAATGTAATTGGTGCCATTTTCATTTTGTTAATTGTGGGTAGGCTGTCTGTAACAACTATATCTTTAAGACATGTAACACCTCAGTGTCTCCCGTGACCATGGATGCTGTAAAGCATTCGAAACGTCGGGAAACAAAAATACAAATAAATCCGCGACAAAATCCGAAAAGATAGTTTTATTTAAAAGAAAAATGCTTATAACTCTGTTGGTACTTTTACACACATGGCTGTTTTTTACATAACTGGGTCCAATTTTTATAATAAGCCTTTATTCAGACATGGTTTACGATAAAGATTACAAACTATATCCAATTATTTCCTTTTTTTTCTTTATTAGGTTCACCAACAACTTTTCATTTCATACATACACAAGAAACCATATTAAGGATACAAATCTAAAATGCAAAGCCACTTACAGGTAAACACAACATGCATCATTTAAATATAATAATTAGACGGTAAAAATACATATGTATGACAAATTAATTAAGATACATAGTTGGTTGCGTTTTACTTATTCTATTATTTTATCTATTTATTTATTTCTTTTTTTACGCAACGCATAGTTATAGCACGGTATAAAAATCCATATTGGGACTTCGACGACAAGTTTGGCTCAGTTTGTAGTGACCCTACTTGCTATTTATTATTACTTGATATTTATTTACTCAGCGGTCGCGGGTTCGAATCCCGCTAAGGGCATTAATTTGTATATTTAATGTACTATAGTTATGGGTGTTTATATTTATAACATGTATGTATTTAAAATTATATATATATGTAGTGTAATAACTATCTAGTATCCATAACACAAGCCTCGTAGCTTACCATGGAATTAGATGGTGCTGTGTGTTAATGTCCCAACATATTTATGATTTTATTATTGATCATTATTTATTCATATAAAACCACTTACCTATATGAGATTTATAATTATCCTTTTTTTTAAATATCTTATCACAAGTTGTGCACACATAGAGTACCTGCTTCTTACATTTACTCTTGATCTGTTTAGGCATTTTATCTTTTACCTCTGTATTTTCCAAACTCTTCTCAATTTGCCTATCCCTTATATCTTCTATTTTAATAACTATTGGAGGTGGCATACTTTCATTATTAGAATCATTATTGACAGCATTATTTTCTTCCTCCTTACTCGGTTTATCATCAGCATTCGTATTAACTACCTCTACACCTATATTCAACATGTCTGTCAGTTGTTCTGCATCAATCTCACTGTTCAATCTAATTATAAACATATCGTCATCCTCAGTAGATATATATTGTACTGTATTTTCGCCAATCAACTGATTTAAATTGGCCGCTAAATTAGTACTCGCTTCTAAGTCTACATCACTTTCGAATATAGTCGCGCATTCGTTAACAGATACTGGGTTTTGTGTTTCAATTGCTTTAGGGGGTTCCACATTCAATAGCTCATCAGGTAGGTCGGCTTTGACTTGGTATAGTGCATTCATTATATCTTGATCTACACTTTTATTTGACATGTCATCGAATAGTATCCCATGCTTATCTCCCATATAATCAATATCACTGGTACTAATATGGTTGCTGTGGAATGAGTCGAAGTCTATATCGTTGTATAGCAGATCCTCCTCTTCATCTAAAATGTGAAGCTGGTTCATTTCTTTAAGAAATTCTATTTGCATGAGGTTATCGTAAGTGTTAGTATCTGGTAGGGTCGGTGGGTTGAAGTGTTGAAGTGCTTGCTGTGTGGGCATGGTCATGTAATCATCTTCGGCTGACAGGATATCATCCACGATGTTGTCTTCAGTTCTGTTTGTGTCAATATTGGTTTGGCTCATTTGTAATTTTTGTTCTTCATTGTCACCAGTGTTGCTATGTTGTCTAGAAAATAAAATTTTATTAAATAATGTAACCAAAATTATAGAGAAGTGTTAAAGATTTCAATATCTATTATAATATTTGTTTTACATTTGAAGTGAACATATAATTCACATACATTACTATCTATATCTAGAGATTTTTTTATATATTTGTTTGTAATAGATAAACTAAATACCATATTTTATAATTACCATATTTTATTTTCAAAAAAATTAGAGATCGCTATGAACATTGCAATAATGTAACCTAGCTTGGGTGCAATCAAAAAATTGCCTATAATAGTAATTTTATTTGACATGCGCAACGAAAACTAGGGACGAACCGGAGCGAAGCGAGGGTGAGTCGCTATTCCGAAATAAATGTGTCTCTTAAATATTGTACCATATTTTTTTGAATACTAGAAAAACAATTACTGGATTAGATTTTAATTTGACATGAAAATGGGACTAGGAAATGATGTATAAAACACAAAATGTCTAGATATTTACCTAACACAATGTTCCAATAATGCACTTTTGTATTGAAACGACTCTCCACAGGCTCGACAGTAGTTCTTTCTGGTTTGATCCTCATTTTCGTTACGATTCTTATATAGAGCACAGTTCTTTTGGTGACGTTTTAGTGACGCTATCTGAAACAACATTTTAGAACAAAAGGTTTGAACATTTTTCTTTAGAAGCTGGTATTAACCCGCCCTCTGTCATTTTTTTAAGGCAATAAAAAAAAACAAATCTGCATTATGAGATGTACTCTAATGTAAGGTGTAACATTTCTGAGACATTTATGTACCTCCTCAGCTGATTGAAAAGGAATCTTATATCATGTTTTTAATTCAGTCTACTTATATATCCAAAGAACACACAAAAATGGCAACGAAATTTCATACAAGTTTTAAAATTGTACTTTGGGAGAGACAAATCGAAAAGAATTATACTATCTATACATGTATAACTTTTTGTAATACATTTTCATTTCAACCATGCATCATAATGGTATGAAACTTTTGTAACTTTTTATATTTGTTTTTGTAATGAGTTCTAAGAAAAAAAAATCTATAACTGCACATTAGGGAAAATGCGTGTGATTTCATTTATTTCAATATTTATTAAAGTAATTTCTTTTTTATTAAGAAAATAATTATCAAAAATGCAAATATAGGTGGGAAATTCAAAGTAGTCGTAACACAAGCGATTGGTCAGACTGAATATGACCTCAAAGTATTATCATAACAGAGCGATTAGCGATTTTGCCACTTATAAATTGAGTTGTCATTTCTCTGTGTATATCATACTGTGACGTCACGCCAAGCGCGCGAAATGGCGAAATTTTAAAGTATCCATATCAGTATGATATTTAAAAAAACTTTTACTAAATTTTAGTTTTTTGGAGCTGGCTTTTTTTTCAAGTATATAAAGATATAAGCTATTGTATAAAAAAATCATGCGTATTCCCTATTGTAATGAGATAATGACCTGAAAGATGTATTGGATCATTTTAATTCAATGAAATTCTCTTGTTAATGGCTTTAAAACATTGCATCAGTTAGCGTTCGTCTGATCAAGTACAGTGCGATCATTCACTTACGACTACCCGCGAAACAAAAAAAAAATTAAAATGGTCAAATGTATAAAATGTACTAAAACAATTACAAAGAAACTACCTGGATTGCAGTGTGGCAAATGTAATAAGTGGTTACATGCGTTATGTGCCGGTCTTACTTCTGATAAATAGATCACCCTGAACTCCACCGAGGCTATCGACTGGAAGTGTAGAACTTGCGCGGAAGGAACTAAATCCAGGCGTCTGTCATGTATCATGCCTGATATCGAGGATGAAGGCGACGATAATACCGACCCTGAGTTTCTGATCCCAGACAACAACATGACGCAGCAAATTTTACGGGAAATAAGGAACGAAATTAAGGACATTGTTCAGTTTGAATTACAACGTTCGCTTAAGTACTACTCCGACAAGATAAACGACTATGAGGAGCGCATGAAATTATATGAAACCAGGATCAAAACGGTCGAAAATCAGTGCGTTGATTTGAAAAATAATCTCAAAAACATGTCATTAAAATATGACGTCCTTGAAGGGAAGTGTAACCAATTAGAGCAAGCACAACTATCCCAACAGCTGGAAGTCTGCGGAGTCAAGGAAGTGGAACGGGAAGACACGATGGAAATAATAAAGAACGTGGCATCTAAAATTAACACCGACATCTCCGACGTCATCAAAGCATATAGAAAGAAGGTACCAGCCCACAAGCGTACCGAATCTAAAAGGATTGAATCTCCACACAACCCCATTACCGTTATTCTGAGGAACGGTATGCGTAGTGCTTGGCTGGAAGCAGGGCCGTGCCTGACGGGCGTTCATTGCGTGCACCGCACGCAGGCGGCCGAAATTAAGAGGCGGCCAAATCGTTACAAGTTGTTTACTGGGCAAAAATACAATTGGTTTGTTTTCATTAAGATACGAAGTAAAAACAGTTTCTCTAATCTAATCTATCTAAAAAGAGTTTCTCAGAAATAAGAAATATATAAAAACTGATTAGGTCGTTGTAGTATTTATATACCTAGTCCATGAACGAATTAACCACTGGACCAGACATATAAGCGGACCTTTAACGGTCATGTCTGTAACCAGGGAATTTTAGCCTAGGTCGTTTGTTTTTTGTGTCAGTCTCAAGCACTTACTTGTCAACAAAACATCTCCCAAAAATGACTAAATGTTCTGTTAAATGGTGTAAAAACTATAACGGCGGAAGCAGCACTATTTCTTTTTACTTGTAAATACATTATTTTATTACATTTATTGTTATTTATCACAAAATTTTTGGTTTTGGGAACAAAACCAATATTTTTTTTCGTTCTCGATTTCGGTTAACCAAAAACTGATTTTTTTCCCGGTTTGATGCCCTGTGTATAATAATAAACATTAAAAATTAAAGTAGTTTTTTTTAATGTTATCCTGGGGGCGGCCATACAGACTGGCACGCAGGCGGCCATATACCCAGGCACGGCCCTGGCTGGAAGCGAGTAAGAAGGTAAAGTTCTCAGCTCGTGATATAGGAGCGGAAGGTGAACAAAATCTATACCTACGTGAGTCTTTAACACCGGCTACTGCATACCTCCTGTGGAAGACAAAATCAGAACTAAAGGTACGTCATGGTTTTAAATATGTATGGTGCAAGAATGGAACTGTCTTAGCGAGGAAATCCGAAAATGAGAAAATCATTTCTTTTCACTCCTTACAACAGCTGGAAGTGCATACTCGTAAACTAGAATAGTTAAATTAAATTTTTTATACTCTAATATTTGTACTATCAATATGTATATACTTTTGTTTAAAAAATGGATGACACAATTTGTGACTCTAAAGAATTAACTTGTATTAACTTAAACGATTTTACAAATAAATTGCCGAATTACGACAAACCGCTATTGCTATTTCATGTAAACATAAGATCTACTCTCAAAAACTTCGCTGAACTCGAATACATATTATTTAATTCCGATAAAACCATTCATTTGTTGATTTTAACTGAAGCTAACATAAAAGAAGACTGTGTTAATATGTACGAACTCCCAGACTACACAATGTACTACGAACTTAGGCAATACAGAAAAGGTGGAAGTTTATTACTTTATGTTCATAATTCATTATCCTTCATTAGACATAGTTCTTCCTTTAAATACTTCGAATGTATTACCGGAGAGTTAATTCTAGACTTTAGTTATAAATTAGGAATCTGTGCAATCTATAGACCACCGGATTATAGTAAAGAAGGATTTATTCATGAACTTCTATCCTTTGTCTCAAAATATAACTCAAAAAATAATTATGTTATTATTGGAGATATAAACTTAGACATTAAAAAAAGTAGCCCTATTACAAATCTTTACTTAAACTCCCTATCCGAAATAGGCTTTTACTCGGGTATAAATCAATATACACGAATAGAAAAACGCATGGACATAATTTGTAAATCTTGTGTTGATCATGTATTTATTAGAAATATCACTAATTGTGAAATATATACCGGCGTTGTAAAAATCGTCCTAGCCGATCATTGTATAACATGTTGTGCGATCTTCGACGCGCGGCTCGGTACCGATGACTCACGCCTGCCTCAGCTGATTACGAGAATAAATAATAACAATCTGCGAAACAAGTTATGCAGTGTTGACTGGAGCGAACCGTTTAGTCTTAGTGACCCTAACGATATTTATAATTTTATTTACAAGCAATTTAAAAATGCATATGAAACGAGTAAATATTGTGTAGAATATAAAAGTAAAAGAAAAATTTGTATATGGGCAAACAAAAAGTTAAAGTATATGTGTAAAAAACGGGACGAACTTTATAATATTTGGCGTGCCGATGAAAAAAATTCTGAAAAGAGATTGTTATATAATTCGTATAGAAACAAAACAAACAAGTATACTCAATTCTTAAATAATCGTAAAATTAAGAATGATATCTGTAAAAACTTTAAAAATCAACGAGAAATTTGGAAAATAGTTAACAATCTTACCGGAAAAATTGCTAAATGTATTGACGATGTAATTATTAAGCATTTTAAGCAGGATCCGCTTAGTCTATCAAATAATTTTGCGACAGAATTCGACAATAATGTGAAAAGTATATGTATCGATTGTGATTTGAAAATGTTAAATTCTACCTCGTATGAAAATATATCAGAAACTTCAATCAGACTAGAGCGAGCACGTGAAGAGGATGTCAAACGTATAATTTTGCGTATAAGTGACAAAAAAAGTCCAGGTTATGACGGAATTAGGGCAAGCGATATAAAATATACCTCCTCACATCTAGTACCAGTCATTACTCACCTCATAAACCAGTGCATAGCTACATCAATTGAAAAAAAATTGGCGTAATTCGGCCGATTTATAAGAAGGGAAAGCATGACGATTATAATAATTACCGTTCCATCACTATTTTGTCATGTGTAGATAAAATTATAGAAAGGTACCTAGGGGATAAAATAAATAAATATTTAGCTCAACATTCAATCATTAATAATAAACAATATGGTTTTCAGAAAAATAAAAGCACCACTGAATTACTAAGAAAATTTACTAACGAAGTTAACACGCATTTGGACAAAAAACTTCACGTGCTCGTTTTACTCATAGATTTTAGCAAAGCCTTTGATGTATTAAATTACAATATTTTATTCGATAAACTTTCGCGGGGTGGTATACAGGGTCCTTTACTGAAATTATTAAAAAATTATCATCTTAACAGAAAAACCACAGTAAGCCTATCCAAACAATGTAGTAACTTAATATCAACCAAACGGGGCACAGCACAGGGCTCAATTATCGGCCCTACTGAGTACTTGTTATATGTGAACGACATGGTTAATATTATAAATGAGGGCACTGTATACCAGTTCGCGGACGACACATGTTTAGTGGTAGCTCAAAGAACGGTCAAACATGCCCAGGAAAAACTACAAAATAATTTTAATCAATTATGTAAATGGGCACACGATGTAGGTCTGATAATAAACGCACACAAAACGAAGTTTATACATATTCACTCGTCGCACAATCAGACAGACATCAGACCTACCATCGTGGCTCACAACCACTCTTGTTTGCACTCTTCATGCAGTCTGAATTGTTCGTGTGTAGCTGTTGAGCAAGTGAAAACACATATGTACATAGGCTTAATGATCGATGACAGATTTACCTGGGGCCCGCATACAGATCACGTTTGCTCAAAATTAAGATCATTATTAAGTAAACTAAGTATACTCAAAGCCAAATTACCATACCAGACACTAAGGCTCCTGTACGTGGCCTTGGGTGACTCGGTTATCGATTATGGTGTTAGTAGTTACGGCAGATCCTGCAAATCAAACTTGGAAAATATTTACAATTTACAGTTAAGTTTATTAAAAACAATTGTACCTAAACGCATACTTAATAATTATAAGAACAACTATATTCAGCTATTTCGGCATTGTAATGTTATGAACATATATGATAAAGTTAAATTTTCTATTCTAACTCAAATTAATAATACAACCTTGTTAAATGAAAAACTTAGACCTTTAGGCTTACGTCAACTTGATTTAAACCATAAATACCACTTACCAAAAACTAACAATAAGTATGGAAAGAGAACTGATAACTACTTAATACCTGAATATGTTAACGAACTGCCCAGAGAATTGCAAGAAATGTATAAAAGTACCACGAAAAACAAATCACTTTTTAAAAAATATTTTTTACAAAAACAAACCGAATAAACTGAATGACTCTCTGTACCCAGATAAACCCGCGAGGTTTTCGTGGTACTTAAATTGCAAATTATAATGTATTTGTTATGTATTGGCCAATAAATAAAAAAAAAAAAAAAAGTTGACTTGGCCAATGTTGCATAGAATTGAGAATATAAAAGAAAGGGAGTGGATAATTTTTAGTTGTTTCTTCTAAATTCATCAAGTGTTACAACAAGACTGTGTGTTGACACTACTGTATAACATTAATATTAACAATAAGTTACCTGTGTAAACCTGCTATTGCAACTTGTGCAACTGAAAGGTTTCTCATTGGTATGTGTCAACATGTGCCTCTTCAAATTCGATTTATGTCCAAACTGTCTTTCACAACATGGACAACAATGTTGTTTTGTGTCTGCAAAAGAACATACTCTGTTTATATTGAACAGTTTTGCTTATATGTGGAAGCCTTTGTGTACCAAGAAATAGTAGACTTGCACAAAAGTACAATTTAATAACATAGGTGAGTATACTGTGGTGCTTTATATCAGATTTTCCTCAATCAAAATATTTTTTTTGTAGAGTAAGATTGAGTACAGGAATATAACTTTTACCAAAGTCAAGATCACCAAAAATGGACACTATGTAGTTAAATAACTTCGTGATCAATAAACTGGTGTTTTTTTTTGATATATTTTTTTACTGTTACTCTTTTGCTGAATCACCTCTCTCCCTTCTGTGTGATACACTATTCAACTAATACATAGTTGTAGCATCATGTGGCCACCCCCCCAACGTGCGTTCACCTTGTCGTGGTGGGGGGGCTCAGTAGTGCCCGGCAACCCAACCGGGCGCGAAGCCAAGAAACGCACAGGGAGGTGGCCCACTTCGGTGGGCGGTGGGAGGTGGCCCTCTTCGGAGGGCAGTGTACCATGCGGGTTGCTCCTGGTACTTCTCTGATAGCAGAGTGGACTGTGGAGCAACCCCGTGGTTGTTGTGGTCTGCTTCGGCAGACCTGCCGTCGGGGCGTCGTAGTTGAATGCGTAAGCGATCCTGCGACGCCCCATTAAGACGGGGGAAGGTTTTGTTGGGTTTTAGTGGGTAGTACTGGCTGTATTACGCCGGTGAGTCCCACAAGTCGTGCGTAAATGCATTTCCCAACATTAAAAAAAAAAAAAAAAAAGCATCATGTGGCCAGATACAGTTAGTATTATATCAAAATAATTGTTTATATACTTACTATTATGTAAATCTTTATGTTTTTTAAGATCTGAAGATTTCTGGAATGATTTTTCACATTGATCACATTTGTGTGGCCTAAAATAGTTAAATGTAAAATAATTAAAATTAGATACCAGAAGAGATCAACGTTAATAAATTTTTATATTCATACCTATAATCAAAGTGTTTGGCAAAAACATGTTGTTGAAGGCGCCATAATGATTCAAATGCCATTGGACACTGTGGACACTTCCAGACTCTTGCAAGTGGCTTATGAGTAAGGCTATGCTTCATCAGCTGTTGTTTCGTAGAAAATTTCTGATTTGGGCATTTATCTAAAATATATAGTAAATACATATATTATTGGTGTTATTTCGGAATATCTAAATGTAGCTGAATATTCATACATATTTCTATATCATCTGCTAAAATATTTTTTATTAAGACATCATTGATTAATGAATGAATAAAGAATTTATTAAGTACATAGTAATCATAAATATTATTTAGTTCTGAAAGAAACGCAAATAACTCTCACAGAACAAAATTCATACAAACATATTAATGACAGCTAGAGAAGAATAGGTAATTAAGATACTGTTTTTCTTAAAATATAGTAATAGCAACTTAAATATCATATCGTAATTGCAACCCACCACAAATCCAAAGGTTATCCTTAGAATGTACTCGTAAATGTCCATAGTACTTCTTTGCATTATCAAATCTTTTATGACATATCTCACAATGCAAAGTAGCTGGTCCATTTAAGTCTGGTTCTTCTAAAGGACCATCAGCTGTCAAAAATTGAGCTAGTACATCATCTGTACCCAACAAAGCACTTTGTGAAGGCAATTCACTTTGAAAATCATAATCACACTCATCAACCTTTTTATTAAACACGAGATCTGAAGTTTCCGAGTCCACAAACTAGAAAAAGTTAATGATAATTAGAATAATTTGCACATGTATATAAAAATTTGTATTAATGAAAATATAATGTTAAATTATGTATCTTACGGGTAAACTGAAGAAAGACATATTGGGCTCCATTATTAATAAACAAAAAATATTTAAATATATCCTACTATTAAGTATCCTATAAATAACAATAAGAACATGTTATATTTTTATTTATATTTCACAACTAAGTATTTAAAACAAATTTGATTGAGTCGATCCATAATTTTACAGTTCAAATTCAATTGATTTATTGAACAATTCACTAACACAGAACACTATTCACAATTGACATTGACATAAATAACGTCATGAAGTATGGATGACAAATAAAGTCATGAAGCTTAGAACAGCGGCTGTTACGCATCGGCCCGCAGGCTATTTGCAAATCTCCGATTTGTACACTTTTAACTATGCAAAAAAAATGTTTATAATATTACAGAAAAATCTAAGGTATTGCACATTACAGTTGCATTTTTCAAAGAATTGAACAATTTAATTTGAAACAATGAGTCCAATATACGATGATTTTGATTGAGCTAACAAAAAAACATTTTTATAATGTGATATTTCCGTTCCGTTATTATTTCTTCTTTAGAAAAATTACAAAAAATTACCTACATAAGGTACAAATAGTAAAGTAAATATTTCATAAGATTAACATCTTAAGATCTTTGATTTACTCCTTTACCTTTTACATCTTATTTAATTGAACAATTATTAAGAGATTCATAATTTTTAGAATTTGATTACAGTTTTTAATTTATTTCAATACTGAGTTACAATATTGTTCCTTGCAACATGGAAAAATGAATATTGATTAATAAACTTGCAACTGTCAACTTCAAATTTCAATGTTTTCGTTTTGTAATTTGTAAACAATAAATATATTCACAACTCTAAGCCATTAAAGAAAAAAAATATATAGTGCAATATATGAAAAAAAAATTAAATAAGAGAAAAATAAGTTAATCAATTATTGTGAAATAAAATATATCCTATCTTGAATAATCATAGGCTTATTGTTAATTATAATAAAAAGTAATTACGTATTGTCACTCTAGTCTCTACAACAAGGAACATACTACTCTCTGAAGTTCCCAGTTTATAACTATACTCTTTGCTCTGAAGTCTGACGACAGCGGAGAGAGAGCTCTACAATCAGTGTTAAAATAATAATTGAAGTCTTGTATCACCTGAATTTGACAAAAATACGTAAAATTAATAATATTACATAACGTTTATTTTGAAATATTTTTAGTCTGGTAAATATAATTGCCCCTTTTGTCGTTATTTTTTATATATAAATTAGGTTTATAATATAAAAATATCGTAAATTATAATTTAGGGTGATAAAAAAGTTCTAAAATCTGCGTGTAGCATCGATAACTACTTTTCTTATATACACAAATTATGTGTATAACTTTTATATATAATGGAAGCAGTGAAGTCGAAAGCGACTATAGTCTTATTCTCATTTCTAATAGAGATGAATTTTATGACCGACCAGCACAATGTATGGAACTTTGGAAGGAGGACCCGACCATTTATGGAGGTAAATTTTTTTTATATATTTTTATATATATTGCATTTTTTAGAATTCTGTAACCTTTAAAGACAATGCTTTATATCATACTTATCCATAATCCGTCTGTCAAAGCTTTTAATTTACTTGGAACCTATTGGTATATATATAATACTGCACTTTGGAAAGTAGTTGTTAAGTGCTAAACAATCAGGTAGTCAAATTACCCCCCCAACATGCGTTCACCTTGTCGTGGTGGGGGGGCTCAGTAGTGCCCGGCAATCCAACCGGGCGCGAAGCTAAGAAACGCACAGGGAGGTTGCCCACTTCGGTGGGCGGTGGGAGGTGGCCCTCTTCGGGGGGCGGTGTACCATGCGGGTTGCTCCTGGTACTTCTCTGACAGCAGAGTGGACTGTGGAGCAACCCCATGGTTGTGGTGGTCTGCTTCGGCAGACCTGCCGTCGGGGCGTCGTAGTTGAATGCGTAAGCGATCCTGCGACGCCCCATTAAGACGGGGGAAGGTTTTGTTGGGTTTTAGTGGGTAGTACTGGCTGTATTACGCCGGTGAGTCCCACACGTCGTGCGTAAATGCATTTCCCAACGTTAAAAAAAAAAAAAAAGGTAGTCAAATTACAAATTAGGCCTGGCATTCCACACATGTGAAAAAATTTAAGCAAATAATGAATTCAATATCAATTTCTAAATATGTATTTACTTTTAAACTTACCCTTGGTGCGAGAGCAAACTCACAGTTGTCCGAATTTAACGTTTTTTATTAATCTGCTTTTGATTTTTTATATTTTTCAGGTCGCGACTTAGAAAGTAATTTTGAAGGAGGCACATGGTTAGCTGTAGCTCCAACACGCAAAAAAATTGGAGTTTTGTTAAATATTCCAGGAGTCAAAAAAGAAAATGCAAAAGGTAATGCTTTGCTTTGTTCTTTTGATAAATAAGATTTTTTTTAATTACTTAATTTTATTTTACAGGTAGAGGTAAAATAGTAGAAGATTATGTAAAAAATGCATTAAGTATTTCAGATTACATAAGTAGTATTCAAAAATATTGTAAAGATTGCAATGAATTTATATTTATTTCTGTAGAATTTAGGTAAGAAATATGAATTAAATATTTTAAGCACATTTAAATTTGAAAAAAATAAATAAATCATGAAGTACATTAAAAGAATATAATATATTTTAAAATTTCAGCAACTCAATTCCAATAATAAAAACATATAACAATGCCACAGACACATTAAGTCAATGGTCAGATCAGTATATAGGATTTGGGAATAGTTTACCAGAGAAGCCTCTGAAAAAAGTGGAAAATGGAAAAAAACTTCTTAAAGACATTTGTTCTAAATTTAATAAAATAAATACTAAAGAACAACTAGTAGAAGAATTAATAAAACTATTAAAAAATGAGTGCAGGTATATTGTTATTTTATTTACATCATTTATATTGGTCATGAAGAGTAATAACAATATAATATTTTTCAGAAATTTACCTGATGCTCAGTTAGAAAGTAGGGAACCTAAAATATATAAAGAATTAAGTTCAATATTTGTAAAAGTACCTGAAGAAAGATATGGTACAAGGTAGGTGGCTGTAAAGACTATGAATGTTTTTAATATAGATTGTAATGCTTAAAATATAATATTTTACCTTATTTATTTAAATAACATTTATATATTTCAGAACTCATACTATCTTACTTGTGACAAAATTGAAAAATGTTGATTTAGTGGAAATAACCATGAAATCACCAATAAATACAGAAGAACCTGTTTGGGAGAGAAATGAATTTCAATTTAATATTTAACTGAAATGTCAAGTTTTGACAAATATATATTAAAAATTGTTATAATATATTTAAAGTTAAAATATCATATTAAACATTACAAAATTATCTATTTATTACACAATTGTTGTGATACTTTATTTACCTTGAACTAAATGCAGATTTATTGAAGCCACCTCACTCCAGTTTCCCACTTTAATGTTATATTGCAGAGGATTCATTATACATTAAATTACCTTCAAAGTAATAAATTATTGAAGCTAGTTGACAAGTATTTAATATTAATGTGTAGGTTGTAAAATTACATTCTAGATTCAATAGACCAATTCTCAACTTTAAATTGTTCAGGTAATACAAAATCATTATCTTGCTCTAAAACACATGCTAAAAGTTTTGGTACATTCAAAATTGTACCAGATAATAAATATGGAAAATGGCTTTGTTTCTCTTCAGTATAAGTAAGCATGAGTCTTTTGCTCATGTAATCACCACTTAGGGAAATGTTTCCAACTTCTACATAACTTTTTAAAGAACTAGAGTACATTTCTATAGCCAATCTTAATGACTCCCATATATTTAGTCTATTTGCAGGAACAAAGCTCAATCTATAATGGTAACCTAAATGATTATATATATCTTTAGCCATATCAATCACATCACCAAGAATTTGGTCAAGTTCCAAATTATTCTTAGCCACAACAAATATCTGAGCAGCAGAGCTTTGACTGACATGAAATAAACTGTCTTCTTCTATTGGTGATGGTATATACTGTCTCCCCATAGAAAAATATTTCAATGGAAAAACTTTGTTATGCAACACATTCTTAGTGTGGTAAGCCAAAAAAGAATATATAGAACTAGCTCCAGTTAAATGCAACCTGTTATCTATGTTAGGCTTCGTGTCCTCATTGTGATGGAGTATAAATGTTGAATCAGAATCTGTATGATCTTCTCCACACCCCTCTATTACGAGACTTTTAACAAAATCAGGATTAGAAAACTGAATGAATTTATTTTGCTTCAATTTATGACTGATATAAAATTTTGCACCTAGCTCAAATATGGCTGCATCACCTCGAAGGTAATAATTTTCATTTTTGATAAAATGAATCAAATTGTATGTTTTGCCTATAATTAAATGATCTTTATTGTTGGATGGTGGTAAACCCAATTCATGAATTATGTGATTTTTATGTTCAGGAGTTAAATTGTGCAATCTATTTGGTAATTTCAGAAATTCAGTAATAGCAGCTTCTTCAGCAGACCACAAAGGGACTTTTAATTTATTTATATTCTCTTTTAATAAATTTCCTTGTATTTTTAATTTTTCTACATGGTTATCTTCTTTGTTATTCTGAAGCAGTTCTCCCAATTCTTTACTTATTGTCTTCCTTTTTGTATCCAATTCATTTTTTCTAGTTTTTATACTTTCATACACAGACCAAAGATTTTGGAGTTTATCTAAGTCAAATTTTACTTGTCGTTTATTTAATTCAGACTTAATAACATCTGTATGCTTCATTTGCTCATGAAAATCAACATGTGGTGTTACAAATGTAAAGTTATCAGTTGCCTTAGGACCATTTATAAACAGTGCAGAGTACCTTTTTAACAATAAAAATTTGAATGCCTTATTAGAAAGAAATCTTAAATTAGTTTTAAGTAGCATTATCACTAACTTTTTTCTTTTTACTTGGACTTTCTTCCTCTAATTCTTCACTATCTTTTTCAGTAATGTCAGTGTTACCTGTATTTTGAGTTGTAATTTTTCTTTTGTTAGGTAGCTTAAAATTACCGTGTCCACCTGCTCTTTCAGATTCTTCTATTGTATAAGGTTCCAACTCTAAAGCTTTTAATCTTCTTTTGTGTACTTTTGTTTTAAAATGTTCCAAAAGAGCATGATTATCAATAAAGTATCTCGCACAATGTAGGCAATAATGTTGTGCAGCGCCTGGTAAATCAAGATCTACAGCTTGATTAAGTAACTTTTCAGCATTTTCTGAAAATAGTTAAAAAGTAAATATACATAATGCATGTAACCTAAAACATTTACCATGTGACACTCTTGCTAAAAACTAGTTATACCTTCTTTTATGTCCTTATCAATTTGATCAAGATCCTTCTTCCGATTGCGCACTCTCCAACGCTTTTTTAGATGAGTATCACCAACATGATACTTTTTACGCTTATAGGTCATAATATTTTAAAAATCAAAACGTTTTTACAATATGTTAATGTCAAATGACAAATACAGTGTGTGACAACTGACAAGTGACACACAGATAAAGGAGACTACAAAGTACAAAGTGACAACTGACATCTAATAACAAGATTTAAAAATAAAAAAATAAAAAATAAAAGTGATTAGGAGTGCACGATATATATCGATATATGTACGCAATATATCGCTTCAACCCGATATTATCGAATCATCTAGTATCGATATTATTAATATATCGATATATTTCATCCGTTTTATAAAATGTCGTGAGAAATTAAAGCACATTTCTTTTTTTTATATTGATTCGTTTATTTATGGATGGCAATTTGAGTAAGAATAAAATGTAAAACCCCGAATTATTGAAAAACTAGCCTTCGCAATAACGGAACGCAAAGACCCGACAATCGAAAACTATTCTTCTAAGTCCTACTCTTCGTGAAGGCAGACTAGTAGTAGTAAAAGTTTCATAATCTGTGACTGTAGTCATAACTCGTAGTGTGTCTGTGCCTTGAGTCTCACTCGCTTCCGAAATCCGAGTTCCGACTTACGCTTCATTCATCGTTCTCACTTCTCAGTACAAATTACAAAATAACCTCTATAGTATAAATAAAAGTTATCTGTTTTGTTTAATACAGTTTACGAAATTTAAATACAATTAGTGTGTATAACGATATATAAAAACGGCTATTTTAACTCGGCAGAGAAACAGACTGCATGCCAAAAGTTTTAATAAAATTTTGTATTTGCAAGGTCTAGAGAAAAAGTATTGGGATTGATAAATAAATAAATGTTTTGTTTCTTCACTAACAGTTTTTACTCATATTAACCTGATCCCTAACTAATATCACAGATTAGTTAAATACAAACAAATAACTTAAAACTTACAATATATCGAAAATATCGATATAATTATACGATATATCGCAGAGTATCGATACAACAATACGATATATTATATCGACATTTTTTACATGAACATCCCTACGAGTGACGACAGTCGACTTATGCTTGTAATTTAACCTGAAACCACAAATATTTTATTTACATAAATTCAATTTATTAAGAACAATTTAAATATTTAACAAATCGTTATTCATAAACATTAGCTTTCTTTAGTGACTGATTTTGGATGTTTTTTACACATTAAACCACCACCCTAATTTAACGCTTTTCGATGGACACTTCATCACGAAGATAGTTCTTCTTACCTTTATCTTCCATACCTTATTGGTAATTGGTATTGTGATTTTTACCATCCATAGAGTATGTAATGTTACCATCGAACGTAACGTTGAACAAGACTATCGGTTCATATTTTGTTTATCCGAGTTTAATATTTACCGCCTTGGTGGCTAGCATGTTCGGCAGCAGATCCGGAGGTCCTGGGTTCGAGTCCCAAGGGTCGGGCCAAGTTTAATTACTGAGTTTATCTGTTACCGTATTCACCCCGTGCCTAGAAGAGCACGTAAAGTTGTTGGGTCCTGCGCCTTAATTCTCACCAGTCGTGTCGAAATATCGCCCATCGGACTTTGATAGTAAAAGGAAATAGGAGTGCAGTTGTGTCTGCGCGTTCACGTGCTGCACTATAATATCTCCTGAGCATCTGGCTAGTCTCAATGAGATTCGTTCGATTCGAGACATTATTATTATTTAATGAATACCTCATAGATTGGGTATCAAATCAACACGTCATTTGTTGTTTCGTCAATTGACAACATTTCAGAAATATGAAGACCCTAAAATAAAAATACCGTTTCTTTATTTTCCTATTTTGAGTACAAATATATTTTTTTGGGATTTTTTTAATGCTTGGTTTTGGAGAAAAAAAAATAAAATCTGAAAATATTGTGGTGACGTCACAAATAAGGTTGAATGAGATGATTGCCTTTGCCTACTAAAGATTAAGATGAAGTTATGAAGATTTCAAAATAATTTTTCCCCCACAGTTCTTTTTATTAAGTTGAAGATTAAACAATGTAGTAGATAATAGGTAATTACCCCCCCAACGTGCGTTCACCTTGTCGTGGTGGGGGGGCTCAGTAGTGCCCGGCAATCCAACCGGGCGCGAAGCTAAGAAACGCACAGGGAGGTTGCCCACTTCGGTGGGCGGTGGGAGGTGGCCCTCTTCGGGGGGCGGTGTACCATGCGGGTTGCTCCTGGTACTTCTCTGATAGCAGAGTGGACTGTGGAGCAACCCCATGGTTGTGGTGGTCTGCTGCGGCAGACCTGCCGTCGGGGCGTCGTAGTTGAATGCGTAAGCGATCCTGCGACGCCCCAGTAAGACGGAGGACGGTTTTGTTGGGTTTTAGTGGGTAGTACTGGCTGTATTACGCCGGTGAGTCCCCACACGTCGTGCGTAAATGCATTTCCCAACGTTAAAAAAAAAAAAAAGGTAATAGGTAATTAAAGAAACAAGCCACTTTATTCATATTATATAATCTTACTATGATAAAATTCAGGGAAATCGTATCATACATGAATAAATACAATACTAATAATGTATTAATTAAACATTTTCTGGCTTATTTTGTTAATATTTGCTCTATTAAGAAAAACAAACGTTATTTTTTTAATTTAATGACAGGAATGATTTAAATGATATATTTTTTTAATAATCAATAATAAATGTAACTCGCGATCATATTGTTACAAATACTATAACAGTATGTGGAGCCATCAACAGTCTCTAAAAACATTATAAATTTAAATAATCTCGATAAAAAAAATGAATGATAGAAATAAAATAACAAAAGGCTCTGTCGGGCAGCCGGCTAACTATAATTAATATTCTTAAGTATTATCTAGTGAAGGCATACCAAGGTGTGATAGACGCAACGCAAGCAGCACGCGTGACTGATACAAACTCGCACACGCTCGCAAACATAATATTAATTAATTCGAAAAAAAATTACATACCGCCTAAACTAAATCTAATCGTACCTAAAGTTTTCACTTATAACCATTAATTTGCAATTTATAAGTGTTAATTTCCAATGTCTCCCACGCAATAGTTTTCACGAAGCATTATATACATATAACAATAACCAATTCAAATGAACGTTTTATTTTTTGTACATTAAAGAATATGGATGTGTCCTGTGTTCAAACATTGAATATCTTAATGTTAAACCAATTATTGCACCTATTTATAACGAAATTTATTTAACTTATCGACCTTTGCGTATATAGATTTCAGAACATTTTTTTAATCTAATTGTATGTATTGTTTACTATTGAACAACTATATCAAATTAAACTCAAATATTTAATATTATTTAGTTTATTATAATTTTGAATAATTTTCTCACATATCAGATAGTTTATAATTTAAATAGCTAATTATTTAGGTTTCAGGCGACAATGTCGCGATAAATAACCACTATGTACATAAACGTTCAATATTTTATCTATGCACCTAGTGGCGCACCTAAACTTTGAATCTATAATTTGGTTACAGCTGCTCGGGTAACAGTAAAGATTTTTTTTAACTATTAAATTCTTATTAGTTTTCATATGCACACTTAATTTAACGAATTTAAATGATGGATCGATGATGGAATCGGCAATGAAAAACAGACTGCAGCTTTAAGAATTTAAGGCCGTGTGTATGAGTTACTGCTACATACATATATTATGAATTTATTGTAAACCAGTAACGATCAATGGATGATGAGCACGTTATATATTCAAATAAGCCATCCGTTATAGAGATTCAATCTACTTTCAAGTGAAATTAATTTCACGTAACAAACATTATGTTAAATATATAAGTAGGTATCACTTAACGCATCAGCGTATGTAAACATTAAGTCGACTGAATCCCTACACACATCAACGATTAATGACTGATTGAATAACTCTCTACATTGAAAATTTTATTTGAGAGCTATATGATTTTAATACGATTTTTGTACAGACCGATTTCTTTATAGTTACTTGTCGGTCCAACGAGCTAATATAGATTAATTATAGGTCTCCGTGCATTTTCGATTAATAAAACTTATGAGAAACAAAAAAAACTCAATTAGGCCATGCCGCTTACGAAAATAAACCCGTCTTGTAGAAAATCTAGTCTATTTCATATCTTTGATCTCATATAAAAGTATAATGAGAGTTGAATTCGAAAATGCATAGAGAATTTCAGGTTATAACAAACAACAACTGCACCGCGGTGACACGCCGACGTCCATTCGCCCCATAAATGTAAATCACTGGTCTACTATATCCAATATTATTCTATTCTAATCAACATCTAAATTATTAATAATACGATCCACGAGTCATATAAGCATAAGAATATGTACACTATTTAAAGAAATGCCGAAATCTGCCGAATTATATAAATAGCATAAGTTATATTATATTGAATTGTACAAAGTTTATTTGAATGGATGTCGGCATATCAGTGTCGGTATATCGGTGTCGGCATATCGGTGTCGGTGTGTCGGTATGTCGGCATATCGGGTATCGGTATGTCGGCACGTCGCTCAGAAGTGCGCGTAGGTCCCCCATGCAGGGGTGGCGGTTCCCTACATGCCGTACCCGTGGTAGGGCGCGGGGGAGGGAGCTTGCGCCGCGTACGCGTAGGGCGATGCTTGTGCGGGAACGCCGGGGTAAGGCATTGATGGTCCTGTTAAACAATTTTTATGTAAACGTCTTTTATTTTAAATACAAGAAGCATACAATGACAGATAAAGAGACAAACTGATATTAAATCTGTTTGTGAAAATTAATATTTATGTTGTTCTGTAGTATATAAGGATGTAAATTACTGCACTTATTTCATGAAACCTTGTACATATATACTGATATTATAAAGAGGTAAAGTTTGTGAGTTTGTGACGAAAAGTGATTTAGATGAAATTTGGTATTAAGAAGATAATTTAGAGACCCTGGGAAGAAAATCAATCAACATTTTATCCCGGAAATCATCCCTTAAGGGTATAAAAATGGGGATGAAAATTTGTATTGGGAAACAAGTTAGGGACGAACCTCGAGTCGCTAGTATTGAATAAAATAAACATACCAGCAGTAAGCATAAGCTGTGGCTCCATGATCATTGCGGGCTTGGCCTCTTGCTCTGCACTCTCCGTGCTTCGTTTAGCATCAGCCTCTTCCAATTTCTCTACTTTTGTTGTCAACTCGCGAACGGTTTGAATAAGGTACGGCATAGCAAAGTCCATGATGTTATGTCTCCATGCCAATTCAATAACTACATCTGGTTTCAATAGGTCATAGCACTGAAAGAAAATAATATAAATTTAAAAAATGTTTCTTAACGTTTTTACAAATTAATTATTTTTAAAAATGAATCATAGAAATCAGATCAATATATTTAGTTAAGATATCATGAACATACAAAAGCTATATTATTATTTATTATTAATAGTAATAGCTCATTATTGTACACCAAAACAAAGACAAAATATACAATATCCTTGGAGAGTGCACAAGAGGCGGCTTTATCGCTAGCAACGATTTCTTCTAGTCTACACTAAGGCAGAGAAAATGTCTGCTCTTTCCAGAAGAAAGGGATGTGAACTTTACACATTAATAATAATATATTCAAGTCAAAATATCTACACTAATATTATAAATGTTAAAGTGTGTTTGTTTGTTTGTCCTTCTTTCACGTCGAAACGGAGAGATGGATTGGCGTGATTTTTATTTGTGGAGATAGTTGGAGAGCTGGAACTCGCCAGCAACATAGGCTACTTTTTACCGTGGGAAATTATCTCATTCCCACGGGAAAACACGTTGTAATACAACCCAAGAAATATGACCAGAATTACTTGAAACTTTGAATTAATGCTCTTCAATACAATTAAATAAATACGTGTTTCAGCATTTTTCGAAATTCATTCCATAGGGTGGTAAAATAGGTGATGAAAGTTTGTCCATAACCTACCTTTTTTTAAGTTTTTTTTTTGTAGTTTTAGCGGGAGCGAAGCCGGTGGTTCTGCTAGTATATCTATATAACATATTACCTGGTACAAGCAAGCAGAGAAGCACTCATAGTTGTTCCTCTCTAAGAACCAGTCGAGCAACTCCTCAGCCACCTCGGGCTGGCGCGACTCTGATGCGTACTCCATTGCGTCCGCGTACAGCGCGTCCTTCTTGCACAGCTCCACGCTTTGCTTCCATCTGTTGTTGCCTGTTTACACAATATCATATAAACAAATATGTTGGAACATTACCACACAGCACCATCTAGTTTCATGGCAAACATATTCAACGCATTAGGCCACAAGGAGAATAGCTATTATGTCATATTGATATTGCTTATAACATAATTTTCAGTTCTTTAAAACTACTACAACCAACCTAAATATTTAAAATAATATAGTTTACCTTTGTATAAGTAAGCCGCAATTCGTCTAAACTCGGTAAGTTCGTGCTTCTCTAATTGTTGGGCGAGCGCAATAGTGTCAAAGTTGTCGAATGCGTCTATCGATGTCCGCAGACCCTAGAATTTACACAAAACATACAGAATTAACAATTGGGAATATGCGTGCGATTTACATAAAGGTGAATTTTTTTTTTAATCTTTATTGCTTTTGAATGTAGCCTACATTAATATTTTTTAATGTAACTTTTTTTTGATGAAGAAAATGGTTATTAAAAAGTACAAAAAATAGTTGTAACGCAAAGCCATTGGTCAGATCGAATATGACGTCAGAGTATATCATAACAGAGCGATTAGCGATTTTGTCGCTTACAAATTGAGTCGTAATTTCTTTGTGTTACATACTAAGCATTTTTTTTAGTTCGAACATTAGCACCAAAGCGAACCTGATAGTCTTCCTCATCGATGAGCAACGAGTTGAGCGCCTCATTCACGGCCTTATTGTTAAGACTCTGTACAGATCTGAGGTACGCTTTGACGAGTTGCAAGTGGCCCGCCTTGGTGAAGAAAGCTACGGCGCGCGTGTGGTCCATACGAGGCGCCAGCACTAGCAGCAGGTCGTTGAGGAGTAGGGGCTTGTAGTCGAGGTAGAACTGGATCGCTTTGTAGTATAACTCCATATTCGCTACCTGAATGGAAACAATTATGTTATTGTTTGAATCATTTATAATGCCACAGTGTACTGATCGATAGAGTGAGCTAACGAAGAAGTCTATATGATAAGGGAGATGCGAGTGAGGCGCTTCCGACAGTTCAACATACTTTTTTATGGCAGTGGGGAAATAGTTTTAGGTTTGACTGACATAATTGTAATTTGTATTTTTATACTGTGACATGTTCTAATAATATATAAATATGTAGTAAGTAAAGTTTGAAATAAATCATGATATAATTGAAAAAGTCTTTTTAAGTAATATACCTTGGTAACAATATCTTTGAAGTGTCCTTCGCGCCACGCTTCAGTTGGATGCTGCATCATGGTGAGGGCCGCGTTGTCGTATTCCTCATACTTATCATACAGGAACACCAGCTCCGACCAGAGGTGAGCTTGTTCTGCTGCACGGAGGACCTGTTCATTTTGATAATTGATATTTTCAATTAGATAAGTGTCTATTAAAATATTGTTTATATTATTTACGAAAATAACTTCAGATAAGTTTAGCTTAATACTTATTATATTAAAAAGCTTAATACTTATTATATTAAAAAAAAAAGAAAAATAAATTATTGTCAATTTATATAAAGTATAAACTTATTGATTAATTAAAATACATTTAATATATTATAAACATATATTAATGTAATAAATACAATAATATATTAATTTATTAATATAACTTTTTTTATGTGACTCGAGATTTTAATAAATAATTTATTTGTAATTAATTACCTTAGGAATGTTAACACGCGACCAGAAGAGTTCTAAGTGTTCGCGCATCTTGGCGGGCTTGTATTTGGAATAGAGGATCGCCAGTTCTGTGAACATGCCCATGTGAGCCCTCTCCAGACCGAGAGCTGCTTCCAGTAGACTGATCAGTTCGTCGAAGTGACCACGGTCCTGTGAAATAAAATAATATTATGTCGAAATAAAGAATTTATTTTAAAATTATAAATATTCAATTTATATTATAAATCATTTTTGAAATATATATAAATAAGGTCTCAGACCTGTGCATAACATGGCCCAAACTGGAATTTATGTAAAATTTTTTCATAATAATAATTAAAACTAAAGTTTTTTCTTCAGCTTTCGCGTTTCTATTTATATGTTGGAAAAGATCATTATTATTATAACCAATCGGGACGTCAGCGCCATCTATTTGGGCTTGACAGAATCTACGTCGTAACAGCCGACCGACCGGTCTCAGCTCCGTCACTGCTGGATCGGTAACGTGTATGTGTGTACTTATGTACGCACATAAGAAATTATACTTCTTTGGTGTAACAGAACAAAAGTAGCTAAAGATTTCATTCCGTATGTTACAACTCTGTTTGTGAATCGAATGCAGGTAACTCCATCATGTCGCTTTTTGGCTGTCGGTGTGCGCGCGTATGGTAAAAATTTTACTGTCATATTTTTTTCCAAACGTGTTAAAAGAATTATAGTTTCAACAATAAACTGATACCTGTATATTACCTGGTAATAATTAATGAGATCCTCCAGCTCGTCCGCGTGCACTACGATATGAAGCCCGCACATCTGCGCCAGCCGGAACTCGCCCGCGTCCACGCACGCGAAGCACACCTCCTTCCAAGTGCGCGTAGAGTTCGCCTTGCGGGCGCTGTCCACCGCACCTGTTTTGTTGTCATGGTTATAATGTTTGTTAAATGAATATTATATAAATGATTATTTAGTTATTTTTATTCATTTAAGGGAAACAAAGAGTATTACAGAACATACAACAAAAAATACACACATTTACCAATTAAGTTTAAACAAATAAGAAAAAAAAAGATGTATAATAGTTAATTTATATAAGCAATGGCAGCTCAGTGGTAGAGCGCTCGCTTGGGAAACCGAGTAAACCGGGTACAAATCCCGGGTCTCGCACGTCTGATATTTTTATTATCATTTCTAATTATGACCTTTCATATTACGGTGATAGAATACATGCACTCATCCCAGTAGTTTAAAGAGAGGCCCGTCCGCATCAGTGGGACGTTAAAGAGCTGAATACAATATGTTGGATGATGTTAAGCCTTTGTAACTCGAGAATCACTGATTTGTTTTTTTTTGTATATGTAATCTGGCTAGGTTTTACATATTAAATATAATATAGAGCATTTAGTAAATACACACTTTCATAACTAAAGATAAACAGAATGTATGTGTATATAATACTATAAAAATATATTTTTGCAATAGAGATAGCTTCTGAGCCAGAATGTTTCATAAGTTACTTTCACTCTTATCTTTTAAAATAAGTTTTTTAATAACAAAATATTTTTTTAATATATTGACATCAAATCATTTGCTACAAGTACTAACCTTGGAATTCTCTGAGATGAACCAAAGTGATAGCCAAGCGGGCAAAGTTGCTAACATTATTGTAGAGCAGTTTAGCGGCGTTATACATTTTGTCGTCAAAGCATCGGTCACCAATCTTCTGTATATCTGCATGGTTCGGACCAGAAATGAACTCTTCTAGGTCAGCGAGACGGCCGGTACGTGCGTATGCGTAGATAAGCTCAGACTCGATGTACGACTCGCGGGCTTTCTTACGTGCCATCTGTATTGTGAATAATTGTTATTAGTACAACATACTAGCGACTCACCCTCGTATCGTTCGAGTTCGTCCCCAGGTACATTTTTACGGTTAGTATGGATTTCTGAGAAATGAGATATTTTCTTGCAGTAAAAAGTATCCTATATGTTAACCCGGATAAATAGCTATCATCATACTAAATTTCATCAAAATCTGTCCAGTGGTTTTCTCCTGATGCAGTCACAGTGAGACAGGCAGACAAAAATTCTAAATACTATGGATTCGGCCTCCATCGATGATGATGACTATTTCAATAAGATTTTCCAATAAATATGTATAAATTAAAAAAAATAGATTATGTAAGGTATCGCTATTTTAATGTATAATAAAACAGTCATTAATTAACATACTGACGACGCGAATGCACAAATTACAGATACCTTTATAAATATTTCAGACCGTAAAAAAAAGAAATAAGAAAGAAACACAAATGAAAATAGAAAGACTATAAAAACAAAAAAAAAACAGAATTGGTAAAAAAAGGAAATAAGAAATTGTCGAGAATAAGTGTTTACTAATAAAATATAACCAACTTTAGTTAAAATATATAAGTTTTGAAACATGATGCTGATTTTTCCTGAGATATCTTACATCTCAGAAGCGAGATATTAGAGAAATATTTATTTAATACTTACCGATAATGTTATTTTTTGATTATTTATTACTCTTGAAATTTGAATTATTTGCAATTGGAACCCTTAATAATATGTAGTGAGTTCTATTGAAATATAATTTTATCTTTAAGAAACGTTAGTTCTAGGAATAGATTTTCATTTAATAATTTTGTATAATGTAAACTTAAATAGGTAAAAATTTCAAGTAAAAAAAAGTAAATAACAATAATGATAAAATAATAGTTCTAAGATCTATTAACTAAATCAAGTTATTTTAAATAGAAATGATAATTTCGTTTAATTTTTGTATTATTTTGTTCATATATTTAGAATTAATTTAAAAACATAATAGATGATATGAAATATTATAATTTATTTTGAACAATGAACCATTAAAGATTTATTACAAAGGATATTAAAATTTCTTCACCTTGGGGAATAAGATTATTTCACTTATATAGATAATTATTTATCATCTTTTCTTGTCTTTCTATGCATTAATTTTAATATTATTTCATGTTTACTCTCTGTGCGAGACTTTCTCGACTAGAATGCTCGCGTTTTGAGCGCAGCCAAATCGGTATGCGCCAGAGAAGTAGAAGCCGGAGCCACAGCTGCTGCCTGCTAGAGAAGGAACAGGCGCTGATTCGAGAACGGGAGTGTTTCGTCGAATGGAGATGGACCTACAAGAGGAATGTGACCGTGGACAACGTCGGCGCAGTGACCGTCGAGGCTCACCGGCCGCTGGGAGGATCGCTGACGTAGTGGACACCGCAGTCAACGAACACATCGATATATACGTCGCGTCGTCGTTATAGTGGGCTGCCGAGTTGTCACAGCGAAAAGGAAAAAGACTCCACGAGCCCAGAGCAACATAACAAAAGATCATGTAGCCCTACCTTTTCCTCTAGAGATTTGATTCAAATAATTCAATCTATTAAAGATGCCTTACTATCGCAGCCTGTATATCGAAACGTAATACCCAATAGAAACACATTACATCATGCAAATATTATTCCCGAATTTAATCTATCGGAAAATAACCAACGTAATATATGGCTCAAAAGATCAATAAGTATGCAAATATTTACGGCTGGGATGAAAAGGCAGTTAGTACAATTTGCCATGCAAAACTGATTTAGCTAATATAAGACCTGGTATGAAAGCTTTTAAATACAATATTACGTGGTGGTATTTACGACGTGAAGCAGGATTCTTTATCTATACATAGATAATACATGTTTGATAGTTCTAACCGAGTCGAATCTGTACATTAAATATTTTTTGGAAAATCTTATTGAAATAGTAGTAGGTAGAAATCTTATTATCGATTAGTCCAGTCAAATAAGGACTGAAATCAAAATGTTGGCACTCAACTTTGCATTTTTATATTATGTAATTTCAATGATACAAAACCAATGTGTAAAGGTTTCAGTGTCCACAACCCCCGGCAAGGGTTCAAAAAAAAATAGTCAAAAGTATTTTTCGCAGTTACTCGAAAACGGTAAAAGTTAGACAAAAAAGTTTTAGTAAAAATATGTAGAGCTTAAAATTTTACATCAAAAGGTTTTATGTCTTTTTTCCTCCTACTAGTTTTCAGATTTTTTGTGTGATTGTCTGTGTATCTGGGAACGCATCACGAGAAAACCACTGGACATATTTTGATGAAATTTTGTATGATGATAGCTGGTTATCCGGGTCAACATATAGGATACTTTTTACTGCGGGAAAATATCTCATCTCTGAGAAATCTATACTAAACGTTAAAATGTAACTAGTCTATACTACCACTAATTTGTAATTATTAAATACACCATTAACCGTTTTTATTTATTGTTGTAGTGTGTTTACATGTCTATTGTTTGTGTTTTTTCAGGTCAAGTACCTACGAGCAAATGATAGGCTGCCATGAAATGATAGTTCATCTGTTAAGCTGTAACATCATAAAAGACGGATTGGTTTACAAATTTATGGTTGATATGGTTATCTATGGGTTTTATATTGATAGATGGGTGATCCATGCATGATATTGGTTATTGATGGGTTTTATATTAATGGATATTTGGGTAAATTGATAAATGGATAAATTCATAATTAGATAAATAAATTATATAAATAATGATAAATAAATTATAGATAATTAGATAAATAAGATGTTTTTGGGAAAGAAAGAAAGAAAGAAAAACATAAAATCAAAATTGAAGAAGTTTATATCAGACTTGATATCGAATAAATGCATATGTAAAGCTAGCTAAATAAATGGTTTAAATTAAATGTACTCATCAGATAACAGTGTGATATGTAAAATTTTGCCCCGTATATGGTTTCACCAGACGTCTATGAGGGCATACACGTCGTCAGAATGGTAGAATGTAAGGTTTTGGTATTTTAATGTATAACAAAACAGTCATTAATATATTATACTGGCCACACTGACGACACGAATGCACAAAATACAGATACATTTATAATTCAGGCAGTTAAAAGGGGGTGAAAAAAAAAGAAATAAGAAAGAAATAAAAATAGAAAGGCTAGAAAAACAAAAAAACAGGATTGGTTGACGGGGAATCGACATAGGTGGATGCAGTCCGTTATTTTTAACTGAAAAAAAAAGGAAATAAGAAATTGTTGAGAATAAGTGTTCACTAATAAATTGTTATCAAATCTATATAAAATATATAAGTTTTGATACATGATGCTGTCTTTTTCTGATATATCTTACTATATATAGAATGTTTAAGTCACTAATAGATTACAAGTGTTTATAAAATTACAAAATAATGGTTGAGCATAATTTATTTGGTTCTTTTCATGTATGGACATGTTTTGCTCCCAATATCCAAATTTGATTTTCATGATTTATAAAACATACTATGGGTCTTCATTTGCTTTTTACAAAACTTTAGGTATAAAGTTTATTATACTTTAAATGATAATAGATCTTTACCTATGATGTTGCCGTTTTACAATACTATCCCATTTGACTAGTAATTTATGAATGGCCGGCAATAAATTATCAATTTAAATGAATTTTATTTTAAAAGTATAGAGTTCTATTTTCAAATTCAATCATTTGTTTAGTGATTAGTATTTTGTTTTCACTACATTTGTATCTTTGCCGTCAATATGGACACAATATGAATACGAGTAATTATGGAATAAGAGTTCCGTCGCGGTAGCCATGCCGGACTAACGGCTCGCAACATCATTGACTTGTACGGAGTGAACAATACAAATGAATGCACGACTCATTATTGGTCTGAACGCTTCCGATATGTAAATTTTGATCTAAAAAATGAGCTCCGTGGTCGCCCGACAACTAAAATCAACAACGACGAATTAAAGGCGATAGTGGAAGCTGACGATACTCAATTTACAGCTGAGTTAGCAGTACCTTTCAACGTTAGCATCAAAACAATATTGGTCCATTTGCGTCAAATTGGCAAGGTAAAAAAAAATTATAAGCGGGCGCCGCACGAACTGAACGGTCGCAAGCGCGACGAACGCGTTGAGACATGCCTTGCGTTGCTCATCATGTAGGTTAGACGCTGGTTCAGCACCTAGGCAATGCCCTAAACAAAAACGTACCCCTAAAAATTTCCTGGTCATTGTTTGGTGGTCTAGTACCGATATAATTCATCACAGCTTCTTACCAAATGGCACCAGCATTACTGCGGATGTGAACTATGAAGAACTGAACGGAACACAATGATGGAGAAGCTCGCAAATCTCCAGCCAGCCTTGATTAATCCCACGTCCCCGCAGCTCCTACACAACAACGCTCGACCTCATATGACGCAACAGACAGTCTCTAAGCTACAAGAGCAAGAGTTGGAAATTTTGCGTCATCCACAGTATTCACCAAACCTTGCGCTCACAGAATTCTATTTTTTCCAACATTCTTTCAACTTAGACAACTTCTTGGCAGGGCAAAAATTTAATACCCAAGAGGCAGTACAAAATGCCTTTGAAGAGTTTATTGGCTCCTATACACCTCCTGGCTTCTTCAAGAACGGCATTGAAAAATTACCACTGCGCTGGCAGAGATGCATCGATAGCATGGGTGCATATTTTGATTGATAGAAATAAAAAAATATTTATAAAATATCACTAACTTTCTGTATATTTTATTATTGGCCATTTCATAGGTAAAGACCTAATATTTAATATAAAAGAAAACATTTTTTGCATCTAATATAGTAGTAATGGTATCACATCACGATACGTTTGGCTCAGTTTGTAGTGATCCTACTTGCTGATTGGATGCGGTCTAACGATCGGAATACCGGATCGGAATAGCGGTACGGGTACCAGTCCCGTTGGGGGCATTTAGTTCTGTGATGAGCACGAATGTTTGTACTCCAGTCATGGGTGTTTATATTTATAATATGTATGTATTTAAAGTTATATGTGTAGTGTATCAACTATCTGGTATCCATAATACAAGCCTCGTAGCTTAATATGGAACTAGATGGTGCTGTATGTTAATGTCCCAACAAATTTGTTTATTTACTTCATATTTATTATTATCACACAAAATCATGTTAATATTTAAATAAATTTATATATATAAACACTAACCTGTAAATACCGCACAAGATCCTCCCACGACTGTTGCTGTGTAGCCGTATCGACAACGTCCATGTAGGCAGAGGGATCATCAGCTTTGATGTAGGAGTCGATGGCTTCCTTCACTAAGCCTTGCTGTAACTGGGCTTTAGCTAGTTGTGACCACACTCCAGGCTCGTTGCAGCGCTCAGCGAATTCGTATGCACGTTTGAGATCTTTCACTTGATCGATCAGCACCTTTGAACGTAATTTATTGTTAATATTTACTTGTATTATTTGTGGGTAATTTTTGATCAATTTTAGTTTTATATTAACGAAATTTAACGTATTTTGCACACAATTAATTCCTTTAGAAGCATAAACAGAGAATCTAGTAACATGTTGCTGGCTGTATTATTTTTGTCTTGTGAGATTTGCTTTCATTTAAAGCAATATTAACTAATCACATAAAATTTGGAAATAGAATAGTTTAAGAAATAAACTGTGGTTCTTACTTGAATAGCAGAAGTATTGACATCGAACTTCTTGAAAATAGCGAAAGCTTCTTCATACAGTTCATTATTGATAGCAATGTTCGCGATATCCGGTGCGTCGTAGTTGTCAAGACGGTTGATGTACTCCATGACACGAGTGCGGTCCGCCTTTATGGCTATAATAAACAATTGTTTAAATTAATAATCTCATCTATACTAACATTATAAAGAGGTAAAGCTTGTGAGTTTGTGACGTTGTAGGGGGTAATCTCTGGATCTGATGAACCGATTTAGATGACATTTTTTGTAATTGTAAGAAGATAGTTTGAGACCCTGGGAAGGACATAGGATACTTTTTATCCCGGAAATCATCCCTAAAGAGGTTGAAACTGGGAAAGAAAGTTTGTATGAGGAATCATCCTAGGGACGAATCCGAGCGAAGCGAGGGTCAGTCGCTAGTCTTATATATAAATAAAAAGAATGTTCGTATGTTTGTTCTCTATGTGTTCGTAAGCCGATCCGATTGTGATGAAACGCTGGTGGGTTATTCTGTATAAGCCTGTGAAAGTTTAAGTCTAGAAAAAAAATTGTCCTTGGACGTACGTCTTTTATGCGTTCCTAGATTATTCAAGCCTACGGACACGAGCAAAGCGAGGGTAACTTAATAGTTATAAAATAAAACTAATTAACGATCTACAAATATTTTAACGAGATCAATTCATAATATTTAAATTATGAACTTGAGTTCACAAAGATGACGTGAGTGTGAATGGTTAATCAGTCAACCCTATACCATAATGACTCTAAAACCATCTTGTTTATAATAAAATAAATCCAATTCAATTCTCTTATTAATGGCTTCAAAACGCGTTAGTTAAGCGTAGATTACTTCGCCAATGTCACAAAGAATGGAGAAGAGACGAAATATATATTTACCCACCTGTCAAAATAAGCAAGTTCTGCAAGTTTCTGTGATCAGAAAACACAGAGTTATCGAGCACAATCTTCTCAAGTAACTCTATCAACTCATTGGGGAGGTCTGCAGTCATGAAAGCTTTCACCGTGACGGAGATGTCCTCTGGATCTTGGGTCTCGGATAAAGCAGTTTGGACTACCTATAAGATTTTTTTTAACTATGTTAGTGAAATTTTCAACTTATTTTCTTAGATTTAATAAATGACATATTTTGTTACATATATAACAGAAAAAAGAATTAAAAAAAAACTTTTTTAATAATAGCATTCTCATGACCGATTTTGGCCATGGAGACCAATCTCAACGAGACTAACTAGATAATACTACTACTACTGAGTGTCAGCCTGGAAATGCTAAGTCAGAGTTGTGCAGACTCTTGCACTTCAGAGAGTACATTAAGCTGTCAGTCCTACGCCTCATCACTCATCGATTATATCAAATGACAAATTCTCATCAGATCAGACTGACGGACTAAAGGAATAGATAGCTAGTGCACCTGTGTCTACATGTACAATTGTACACTGTATATCCTGCAAAGTGGCTATTCTCGTTGAGATTGGCCGTCGTAACCGAGATATAGGGATAGAAGGATTTAACACATACATATTTGAAAATAAGTTTAGATATAGAAAAATATTGTAGTAATATCGCTAATACTTTAAAAAAATACAATATCTACCTGATCAATAAGCTGCCGTTTGAACGGATTGGACTCGGCCAGCACCTCCAACCAGAGGTCCTGATCACGGCGACGCACCAAGTACCGCGCCTGCGTCTTGAACAGCGAGTTGTCGTTGCACACGGCGATGAGCTCGCGGTCGCACTGGCCGCGCTCGTACGCGACGCACGCGAGGTGCGGGTCGCGCTTCTCGCAGTAGCGGCCTACAACGCGCGAGTCGTACCTGTGGTGGTAATTGAAATTAGTGTATTTGGTGGTTGTTGCGTGACGATAAATCACAATAAAAGAATATGTTACGTCACTGATGAAATTGTAATAATAAAGTCAACTCACACGTAAAAACAGTACAGAAGGAACGTTTAGGGAAATACACTATGACACAAAGAGTTACAGTACAAACATATAAAGTCCACATACAATATCTCACGAAAACGATTAAATTATATAAAGACAAGTAATTAGCATCGAACGGCAAAGCATCGACTGTTTGTTAGAAAAAATGTTATTAGTGGTCGGTAGAAGCAAAACAAATCGCGATCCACTATATACTACCGGTTTCGCGCGGCTATGCTTGTCGATTTAATATCATATGAATAATTGATAATAAATAAATATAAATAATTATGTATACGTGTTGTATGTGTGTATGTAGGTGAGTAGATAATATAAATACGTAAATTAAATATTTAATAAAATATAAATATTATGAAATGAACAGTTTAATATATAAATATGATAAATTAAATAAATTATAGTATAAGTCACCTACATCACTCCCCTCCAGAGGCCGTGTCTACGGACGATAAAAATCAGGGATGTGTACTCTGCGTCCCGAACGTGTCGTTTTTATGGGACATTCCTTAGCAGGAGAAATATTGTCCTGTCGGGGTGAGGATGGTTCAGAGGACAGTATATAGGCCGGTTTCAGGCGGCTATGCTTGTCGATTTAATATCATATGAATAAATGATAATAAATAAATATAAATAATTATGTATACGTGTTGTATGTGTGTATGTAGGTGAGTAGATAATATAAATACGTAAATTAAATATTTAATAAAATATAAATATTATGAAATGAACAGTTTAATATATAAATATGATAAATTAAATAAATTATAGTATAAGTCACCTACAGTGTATATTATAATAATTTAATATTATTTTTATAACACTTTATTGCACACGAAAATGGTACAATAACAAAAAAAAATACAATTAAAGAGATGTGCAAAGGCAGCCTTGTCACTAAAAGTGATCTGTTACAGGCAACCGATAGAAAAGGATACAAGAAAATAAGTGAAAAGAGCGGAAAGGAAATTATTAATTAGTAAAATTTTTGTAAGCAGTGGTAGTCCAATGGCAAGCGAGTTCAAATACTGGATCTCTGATATTTTCATGTGCGAGTCGTTTCCAACATGATTACCAATTGTCTTATGGTGAAGGAAAACATCGTGAGGAATCCAGCATGTCTGAGAGAACCTAGCAAGTTTTCAAAAGATATGGGACTATTCACTATAATAGCCTGATCCCCCTCGTATTGAAGGGAGGCCCGTGCCCAGCAGTGGGACGTTAAAAAAGGCTGAATACACAATACATACAATTTTTTAAGGTGTAATAGTCAACTGGGTTATTAATGGAATCATCAAAAATATAGCAAGGATTGATTTCAATTATAGTAGAATCAAAAATAGCTTCAAGTTCTGCTCCCATATCAAGAATGTATACATTCGTTCTGGATAAATAGATACGCGCACACATAGATGGTCGATAATAAAGCAATAATTTTATAATAACTTTTTAACAAAAATGGTAACTTTCAAAAATTTACCACTACTAAAAAGTACCAAATGTCTATAGGACCACCCTTGAGGTATAAATCTATACATTAAAAAAAATGAAAACTAATTTGCAATTAGAAGGATATCGAATAATCACGTATGTAATCACAAAAAAAAACAACTTACCATTGATTTTCCTTCAAGAATCTTTCAGGATTATTATTGGAGTCGATATATATCTTCGCGAGGGCGTTGTGCGTGGCCGGCTCGTTGCAACCTTCGTGGACGCGAGTTTCCAACCAGGGGAGAAGTAACTTCAGTCTATAACAAATATATTCAACACTTTACAATGTCTTCCCAAAAAATTTTATAGTACAATAGTGCCAATATATCGAATAATTTTATTAATATTATAAACTAGCTTTTGCCCGTTCTATTGGAATATAACGTTTGGAATTTAGAAGGTCATTACTCAATCATGAGCCAAATAAAACGAATTTTGGTAAAACTTTGCACAAAGATAGACAATGTTCTGATTGCATTTCCATACTTTAGTTCTGTACTTTTAAATATGTAAAAAATATTGACAGAGAAATATATTTCTCAATCTGCTGACAAAGATAGAGAGACAGTAATTATTAAAAAAAATATTTGAATGTTTTCATGTATTAACCTGTTTCTCTTCTCGACCTCAGCTACCAGTTCATCAGTTGAGAATTGTCCCCGCACTACTAGGATCAAGTTCTTGATGATATCCTCTGCACAGTCCACATCGAGCAGACCGCCGACGACCACGGGCAGACGAGACGGGTTCACCTGGAGATTTAGTATTTTAGATATTTATTTTTTTAATGTATGTATTCAAGCCTTTTTGATGTCCCACTGCTGGGCACGAGCCTTCCAATAGGATAAGGCCATAAAGTTCACCACACTGGCTATATGCGAGTTGGCGGACATTACATGTGTTTCGAAAACTTGCTAGATTCTTCTTCTTGCTTGTTTTCAGACACGCAGCTTTACTCACGATGTTTTCCTTCACCGTAAGACAAGTGGTAGTCATGTTGGAAATGGTTTGCACATGAGAATATCTGAAGTGTGAGATCCGGGATTTGAACCCGTTCACTCTCTTTCCCAAGTGACGCTACCACTGTTTTAAACAAGTTCTGTATGCAACAGATAAATATAAATTATTTGTATATGATAGACATTCTATTTTTAATGTAAATGACTAATTTCATAACGAATAAAAAAATCACTGTTATTGACCAACAGTAATTTGTTTTATTTTTTCTGTGAATACTTCCATTAAAAATAAATAGTACAATTATTGTATCTACCACTATCAAATTTTCGTAGAAAAAAAGTTGGGCGTGAAGTTAGCGTAGTAAGAAGTTTAGCTTGTTATTAATCAGTACCTGGGCGACCAAGCTTTGCTTGGATTTCTTGGCCAAAAGTACAATTTTCTTTTTTAAAAATAAAACTAAACACTTGAATAAATACAAAAAAACAAAAGTATAAACGATGACCGGGATTCGAACCCGAAAACCTGTGTTTATCAATCTTGCGCCTTGGCCGCTTGACCACGATGCATATGCCCGAACGTGCGAAGTTAGTGACCATATTTTGCGTGCAAGAAAACCGCATGAAAAGTGAAAACTGGAAAACACGCGTTTTCCCAGACATAAGACTAATCTAGATCGATATTTCGCCCCCGAAAACCCCCACATACCAAATTTCAGCGAAATCGCCGGTATATATAAATAAATAAATATAGAAGACTTGCTCGTTCAAAGGCATTAGATTAGGTAGATTTATAAATACTAATACTTTTAAGTTTTAATATATACCTTTTGCACATAAATCTCGATGTATTTCTGCAAGCTGTTTCTGTACAGGTAAAGCACGAGATCGTGCACGAAGTCGAACCGGTCGCACACTATGATAAGTGGCAGTTGATCGGGCAGCTTGGCTTCCTTTAGAAAGTTCTTGACTCTCTCCGCATTGTAGCAGTTGGATTCACGGCAAATGCGTTCCACTTCCTTGATCTGACCGGTCTTACATGCAGCCTGGAATTGAAATACTATGTTATTTATAAAATATTATATAAAAATAAGTAAATAAAAATACCCTTTAATTCTCTGACCAATGTTTACCTTATACCTAGTTACATATATTTTAGTAATGAGCTTATCCCTAATTGCAAATTTTAAGTAAATATACATATTATATTATAATTTATACGATTTTCTAAACCAATTAATTAATTTTGCCAATATATATAACAATAATAACTAATAAAACTTGTAGGTATAAAGAAATTGACATTGGCAGCTATGATGTCAGGTTATCTTGGACATAGGCCTTCTCCAACAATATAATATACATTAAACATAAAAATTAAATACCTAGTTAACAAATTTATTTATATATGCAAATTCATTAAAATTGTTATTATATTCATTTGTATAGTATTTATTATAAGACGATTGGTAAAGACCTTTTTTAATTATACTAGTAATTAAAAAAAAAGAACTACTAACCTGAATGTACTTAAAGTGCACTTCTGAATCCTGGCTAAAGTTGACAATAGAACCTAAGAAGTAGAACAGTCCTTCATATGTCTTGAAGCTTTCAAAAAGTTCGATGAGAGCCTTAGTGGTTAACTGTTCATGATACTTAGTCGCGATTTGCACACAGATTTGTAGATTTTGACGAATATTCGCTTGGAGCATTGCCTTAAGGCACTCGAGGGAATCTTCTACAGATAACGTCCCAAAGTAGCTGACCAGCCAGTCCGCTGATAGTAGATGAGTGTGGACCTAAGAAATAGAAAATTAGTTTAAAGTTAATTATTTTGTTGTATTATTTTAAAAATAAATATCTTAGAAGCTATCCCTCTGGTCATATTAGTTAGAACGTGATTTTCGAGTTCATTAGTGTCGCGTGAAAGAAGAGACCAAAAAATATGTTCTATGACGAATGTACACATTCGTCATAGAACATATTTTTTGGTCTCTTCTCTTATATTTACAAAATAATGATTCAAATGAAATATAATTTTGGTTTGTGATAACAAATATAAAGTTATGAAATAAATATGTATTTTTAGGTGTATATTTGTTACTCTTTCACACCAAATGGCTTGAGAGATTTGGACATCCACACTAATATTATAAAGAGGAAAGATTTGTATTTTTGTACGTAACGAATAAACTGAAAAACTACTGGACCAATATAGAAGAAATTTGGTAAGAAGATAGTTTGAAATCCTGGGAAGGACATAGGAAATTTTTTACTCCGGAAATCGTCCCTTAAGGGGATGAAAATGGGGATAAAATTGTGTATAGGGAATCAATCTAGGGACGAACCCGGGCGAGTAGGTTACCATTTGGCTAGTAAAATAATAAAAGACACATACCACAGCCCGTTTGATATCGTACAGGTCGGTGTAATGCTCGAGCGCGCGCTGCAGCAGGCCCGCCTTCTCGCAGAGCTGCGCGACGTGCGCGCGGTCGTAGTGCGTGAACATGCCGTTGCCGAGTATCGCGTCCGCCACTTGCGGAGCAGACATCAGGTTCATTTCCAGCAACCTGTTAAGACCAGAGGGAATATTATTAATATTAATTGTGAAATGTCTGAGGGAAAATGGGTTTAAACTACTTTTTGTTAAAATGAGATATGTAGGTGCTACAGTTTTATTTTACATTTTGATAAAGTCTTAAAAATATATTTTGACTTATATAATTTTTGGTTATTGATATACATATAATTTTAAATTCAACTTGCACAAACAACACATATATCTATACTAATATTATAAAGAGGAAAAGTTTGTGATCTTGTGAGTTTGTGAGTTTGTGATGTCGTAGGGGGTAATCTCTGGATCTACTGAACCGATTTTCAAAATTCTTTTACCAATAGAAAGCCACGTTATTTCTGAGTGTCATAGGCTATATATCAACCCGAAAAATGAAAAGGCTTTTTCGTGGTAGTCGGATTTGCAAAGTAAGTCGGAAAAAAAACGGTCGAACGAAAACGTTTCTTACGAACGCTGCCTTAACGATGAGAGATATATGATTATGTTCTAGAGAAAAGTTGTAGAGCTTAATAATGCCTACAAAAAAGTCAGCGACAGCATATGTCTAACTTTTATATTTAAGTCACAAAAAGTAGTTTTTTATATTGAAAGAATAATTTAAATCGGTAGGTCATGTTTATTGGTCATATTATCAACAATTATGAATTCTTATCAAAATAAGTAATTTTATCGTCTAAAATTTAAAAAAAAAGAGACTTTTCCCTTTTACTGCATATAATTTGGATTAATGGTTAAAGAGATAATATAACATATTCGTAGGTATGGACGAACCCGAGCGAGCTGTTTGTCTGGTTTTCTCTTTGTACGGGCTAATCTCCGGATCTATTGGACCTATTCAAATGAAATTTTGCATGGTGGTACCTTATATCCCCGGGCAACATCTTCTTCTTTCATCTTTTCATCCCGGAAAATTAAAGAGTTCCCGTGGGATAGTTAAAAGACTATAACAACTTATACAGCTTAGTACACAAAAACTACTGATTGGATTTTAATGAAACTTTACAATAATATACTTCATACATGACAAAAACAAATCAGCTACTTTTCATCCCGGAAAATTAAAGTTTCCGTGGGATAGTCAAAAAACTATAGTAACTTATACAGCTTAGTACACAAAAACCACCGATTGGATTTTTAAGGAAACTTTACAATAATATAGTTCATACATCAGAATAACAAATAGGTAACTGTGTATCCCGGAAATATGTACTTTTCCCGTGGGATAGATATTTTTGTTTATTTGTAACGTATTATGTACACAACATAGACCCCAAAACAATAGTTATTAAAAAAATTGCCTGTTTGTCTGTTTGCCTGTATGTCTGTTTTTGTGTGTGCGTTTCACGCGAAAAGTAATGTACCAATTTCAACGAAATTTGGCGAAATGATAACTTATTACTCGAGTCAACATTTAGGGTACCTTTTGTATGTATGTATGTTTTAATATTTTTATAATTTTAATATGTTTTATAATTAAACATGAAATATTATTTATTATATTTTGGCTGTTATTATTATAATTGTTACAATTAAAAAAAATAATTAAATAGTTATCTTATTTAGTGTTGCCATTATTATATCTATAAACATAAAGAAAATAAAATATCAATTAATGAAAGCAACATTATTGTTTAAATAAAACTATCTTTTCGGATTATTTCGCGGATTTATTTTGATTTTTGGTTCCCGACATTTCGAATGCTTTACAGCATCCATGGTCACGGAAGAGACTGAGGTGTTACATATCTTGAAGGTATAGTTGTTACAGACAGCCTACCCACAATTAACAAAATGAAAATTGCACCAATTACATTACAATATTTTTTAACTTTAAACATTTTTATAATTTTAATTATAATTAAATATGGAGATGATAGTGGAAGATGGCTGGGTACTACCATCGTCATGGGATCCCGTTATTAATATAATAAAATCAAATAATAAATATGACTCGTAAATACAACGAGACTGATGGCCGATTTCACCAACGTCACCTAAGTTTAAGGGATCTCCTTAGCATGGTTAGGGGGCTGTTAGGGGACAGTTTCTGTTTCACCGACAGTTAGGGGTCACCTAAATGTTTAAACGCCACCTAAATATAGGTACTAGAAATAGGGGCTCTGACGATGGTTAAACGAAATTTAATTTAGGGGCTAGTTTAGGGGAACTTGTAAGCTAGGGATCCCATACGTGGTATAGTAGTAGTAGTAGGTGGTAGCTTATGGGATATTGGTGAAATCGGACAAGAAACCCCTTAATCTGTACCCAATACTATATGACTGATCAAAACTTACCTAGTCTGCAACGGTCCTTCCTCGGGGCGGTTATTCTTGAGTGCATCCAGCAGGAAGGCGGTGCACTGCTGCACCATGTTCTGCTCCATGAACACGTCCACGATCTGCTGTATATCTGCGAGGGGTGGTTCCTCGGCAACGAGCATGCCCGCGAAGCCCGCGCCCTGCTCGGGGTTGGTGCGCATCACTGAGCGGAGCAGGTAGATGTAATCCGGGGTGTAGCTCACCTGTTGTGTTGTATATAAATGGAAATTGTTAACAAAATGTATACTAATAATATTATAAATGGTAAAATGTGTTTGTTTGTTCTTTAATATTAAAGAAGAAGGACGGATTGACATTTTTTTATGTGTTGTTTTAGACGTGGAATAGTTGAAGAGGTGGAAAGTGACATAGAAAAAAGTTTTTGTCATAAAATATCTTATACCTACGGAAAAACACAGATTTATTATAGACATGTTGTTATTTTCATATTTTTAAACTTTAGTAAAATCAGTAAATTTCACTAAAATCGCAAAACTTTTTTTTTGATAAACTGCAAAAAGGATATAAACCGTAAATGATTATACATATGAATCTTACCTTCTTAGCATACAGCACAATTTTCTGGAATTGTCCCGTCTCAGCAAAGCATTGGATGACTTTACTTGCAACATTAGCCCTCAAGTAAACAGACAGAGCGAGAGTGGGGTCCACTTGCTTCACGAGGTCACCCAGTTCCTCTGAACACTCCAGTTTCTCCTCTTTCAGCCACTTCTCAAGTAACTGCTTACGACCTGATTGAAAAAAAATATATTTAGTTACATTTTTACTGCATAATAGCTACTTCCTGACTCTTCTAGATAAAACTAGTCTTAGCCATAGTTTAATTTTAATGATACAACAAAAACCCAATTGAAATAAAGTCTTTGACAAGGTGACACTCCGTAATATCTTTTTAATGTTAACATTCAATCATACAAACAAGTCACGTTTTATAATTTATGCAATAAACATAGATACTTTCAACATTATTGGGCAGCGCCATCTAGCGATGAGTTTAGAACTAGAGTAAGAAAGTTCTACTATTGTCTCAAGTGAAGACATACATAAAAATCCCGACTCACATAGACCATCTCCTTAAATGCTGAGAGACTCATAAGCATCTAAAGACCTTCACAAACGTCCACATTTTATAATACAAATAATAAAACGACCTCACTTTTTAAATAAAACTATCTTTTCGCAATTTATTGTGGATTTATTTATGAGATTTGGTTCTCGAAGTTTCGAATGCTTTACAGCAATCATGGTCACGGAAGATAGTAAGATTTTAAACGTCTCAAAGGTCATTTCTTTAGTTCTTACAGACAGTGCCTGCCCACAAAATTACAAAATGATTTAAAAACAACAATATGAAAATGACACCAAAGTACTTTACAATTTCTAGTACCACCATGTCTATCATCTAATCTATCTACAACCATCGCCGTGGGGCCCTGTAATTAACATAACAAAATCTAATAACAATGACATTAAAAAAACCGCGAAAAAAAAAGATAGTTTTATATAAGTAAATCTAAGAATAGATCGCTAACCCGCACTTGACCGGCGCGGTGGACTATGGCCTGATCCCCCTCGTATTGAAGGCAGGTCCGTGCCCAGCAGCGGGACGTTAAAAAGGGCTGTATGTATACAATAAGAAATTATTATAAGGACCTTGCAACAACACGGGTCGGCAAAGCTCGAGCGACTCGAACTTGTTCAATTGTGCCTGATCGAGCAGAATGCCGAAGTACTGCAGCAGCGGCGACGTCTGCCCCGGCTGCGTCGGCACCTGCTGGAACCGCTGTATCGTTTGCGGGGTCCTGAGTATACCGCGTGGCGCCATTGCTGCCACCTACAACATATTATATTATGATATTATTATGTGTATAGATTCTCAGCTAAAAGCTAATAATAATAATAATAATTTTATTAAAATACTTTAACAAAGTTATTATAATATTTACAAAGTAGAATAAATAACCAAGGACACAATACAATTTGAAACCTACCTGAACTAGTTAACAACCTGTGTTTCAGATTATAGTTTTACCATGCATTTCTCACCGTGACAAAGCTTTAGAACAGAGCAAATTTTGAAACTTACTATATGTACTACTTACTAACTAAGCTGAATCTGTAAAATCTTGATAAATATTTTTTAGAAAATCTTATTAAAATAGACATTATTTTCAATACAGAGGCCGAATCAATAGTTTTTAGAATTTTTGTCTCTTTATTTTGATGAAATTTGGTATGGTGATAGCTGGTTATCCGGGTCAACATAAAGGATGCTTTTTAGCGCGGGAAAATATCTCAATTCTAAGAAAAAAAAATACAAAAACTGCAATGTAAGAGTATACTAATATGTAAAACCTAAGAATTTGGTCTTTGGTCATCTGAATGAATGCGGGCGGAACTGTGGGTAATGCTAGTATATAAAGAAATATTGCCTAACGAATCCAGCTTATAGCACCAGCTTATAATCCAGCTTAGATAAAAGTTACAAAAATTAATTTAAAAATGGAGAAAAAATGAATATACATATTCTATATGGTGCAAAGTACAAACAAACAGTACTCATTTATTAATCCCATTAATACTATAAATGCGAAAGTTTGGATGGATGTTTGCTACTCAATCACACCACAATCATTGGCTGAACGGATCTAGATGAAATTTGGCACTGAGATAGATTAGTCTGGAATGCACATAGATTACTTTTTATCCCGGAAAAATGTACGGTTCCCGTGGGATAGATTTGATTTTGTTTTTCACTAGGGACAGTTGTGTATAAATAAAACTTTATAGTAAGTATTTTATAACTAATTGTACCTGTACTTCAAACTGGTTTATAGAGGTTTTTATCTTTATTTCAATTTTTTTTCTGTGTTCTTAAAATAGGAAGTAAAGCATTCTTTTAACTTAACAATGACCTTTATAACTTTTAGTAATTGGACTTTATTTTAATTTTGTAATAGAACTTAGAATAACAAATTGGGTCTTACCTTAGCAGCTTCTCCGTACTGTCCATTAGTGAAGAGCATATTAAACTTCCTAACAAACAGCTCTTCAGCACCTGCTAAGTTATTTCTCACAGCGAGACGTAAAGCCAGCTCTGGGTTTTGAAGTACCGTGTTGATGTATGGTACTATGGAGTCTTCCTCCACTGTCACTGAGAGTACTTGGCCTTTTCTATTAACACCTATAACAAGTGATTAAAATGTAATAAATTAAACAGCTGAGACAGAATGAAATTATTTAATATAATATCCTAATATATCTGTTGTATAATTTCAAAAGAAAGTAAATTTACAGTTATGGACAAATACTTTGCATTTTTTTAAGACAGGTTTTGTATTTTTGTATGTGTATCTATTTCTATTCCAAAGGAAAATGCTAATAAAAAATATTATATTTCACTATATTAGATCAAATATGGTAAATCCAAACTGAAAGTATTTTTTTTTTTGTAGATAAAGAAAGATTTTAATTTTAACTCATTTATTTTGATTAATTATAATCAGTTAATTTTATAATGTAACCATTATTATTATATTACAAATTTTGTTCAGAACCGTGTTTATTAACCCCCGACGCAAAAACGACGGGGTGTTATAAGTTTGACGTGTCTGTGTGTGCGTCTGTCTGTGGCATCGTAGCTCCCGAACAGATAAACCGATTTTGGTTTTGTTTTTTTTGAAATGTGAATTAGAGGGGAGTGTTCTTAGCTAAGTCTGATGAAAATCGGTCAAAGATGGTCGGCTTTTTTTTAATTTATCATTTAACTAGGAAATATCCATGTAAGTTTCTACACAAAGTTATATTAAGCAAAATATGATATATGCACAAAGCATCTATTATAAAAACAAATCTCTTACCAATAATCCCACCAGTGGACTCGTGAGGTGCGGTCACGAATATAGTATCAGAAGATATTCTATTCATGTATATACAGGTGCCAGTCTCGATGTCGTACATGTGTATGTATCCGTACTTGGTGATCAAGTAGATGACGTCATACTTGGGCGACACTTGCATGGCCACGGGGAAGTCGTTCTGGGCTTCGGCTGGGAAGAATACGTCTACTGCTTTCTTAGGGAACGGTTGGTTACCTGCTGGTGTTTGGCCGACCTCTGAAAATATCATGTTATGTATGAATTCTGTGATTTTTTTATAAATTTTTACATATATTCCCTTGTAGTGAAACATTATTGTACTCTTCTTTCACTTTATATCTATTTAGTGTAAACAAAACCTATTCAAATCAACTTATATGTTAAGATTTGTATGATCTCTACAGTCCACCCACCCACGCTCTTTAACTCCACGATAGGATTGCTCTTTATAAAATATAAAGATTATTATATACGAAAATCATTACATATAAGACAAAGTCCTTCGCCGCGTTTGTCTGTCTGTTCGCGATAAACTCAAAAGCTACGGCACCGATTTACATGCTGTTTTCTCCAATGGGTAGAGTGCTTCTCGAGGAAGGTTTTAGTATATAATTTGTTAAGTTTTTGCATACACTGGCTAAAATATAACGATATTTGTTGGAGGTGTCGGAAAGAAATTAGCCATCTGGGAGCTTTTAACGAAAACGCTGCCTAAACCCTTTGAGATATAACAAAATAATGTATGGTGGAATTGTGTATTTTATATAGGTCTACAGAAAAGTCCGCGATGGCATATGCCTATCTCTTAAGGATAACATACTATATCCATTTAATACCTAGGGACAAACCCGAGCTAAGCGACGGTGAGTCGCTAGTATATGTATTCACGCCATATTTTGGGACACTTATATTATCCAAACGAAACCTTTCTTATATAACATTACGTCATATACATTAAGTAACTCACCGATAATATGCAGCTTGCCGCCCTGAGCGGTCCTTACTGCGAAACAAAAGAGCGTTGATGGCTCCGCATTCCCCTCCGCTTTGAAGGTGGCAAAGGAAGCCGCGTGCCCTTCGATGGGCTGAGAGCACTTGCGCTCTACCGAGTACAGTTGCATTGCACCCACAACGCGGTTTTGTTGCGCTGAGATACCTATACAGTACAAGAAAAATAAAAATATTTTAAATTCTTTTAAAAAAATTATCTTTTCGGATTTTTTCGCAGATTTATTTTAATTTCGAAAAAAATATTTTTCCGCGAAAAAATCCGAAAAGATAGTTTTATTTAATATGTCAAATATTCGGGTAAATCTAATGAATGTATTATTTGAAATTCTATTTATATTGTAAATACTACACATACATAACTTAAACTTAATATAAGCTATAACGATAGTGGAGTAGATGTAGATTGTAGAAATATTGATTTATAACTAAATCGTCACGCCGAAATTTGTATTGAGTTAGAAAGCTTTCAATCATTAAGCGCGGGTGGCACTTTTAATAGAGGAAGATAAGTTCTCCCTCAAACCTCTTTCCTCCCACCTTAATGTCTATGATATGACTCGGACACCCATTCAATTTTTAAACCGGTTTTGGTCATTGACCCCAAACCGAAAGTCTTTTCTGTTTAAGGTTTCGGTTACGTTCTTTAACCGGTTAAAACCCGGAGAACGGTTTTTGAAGGATTTAGGTCCCATGATCGAAAATACCAGTTAAAAGGGGTTTTGGTATGTTTACATTTGTCGAATCTTTACTAATGGTGAATTACGTAGTAGAAGGGTACATGTACGTTTCTTAATTATGAATGAATTAACCGGTTTATTTCAGTATCAAATCTTAAAACTAACCTTTATTTAAGAATAACCATTAGGCATTATTATTTCGGTCTACTAAGTCGTTCGTTTTTATTGACCGGTTAATGAACGAGCAATGAATTGACCATCACATTACCGAAATTAACCGTTTTTTTAAACCGGTTCCAAGTTTTGGTCTATGAAAAGAATATAATTCAAGAGCCAATATATCATTTTAAAACTTACCAACTAACAGCAACCATTGTTGTTTGGGGTCAGTCCTGTAGTTGATAATTTGGCATTCGGCCAGTGATGAGTGTCTGTCGAACATCTTGACTGGGGTCGAATCACCTTCCATGGACCAGTGGTATACTGACATCTTGGTGACGAGGGCTAAGGTGTTCGGAGATATCCACTTCCAGAACACAACATCCTCAGTCATGGTGTGCGCCTTCATCTTAGATTTCATCTCAATGTTGAATATTTGCAGCGTCTTTTGCGCTGCTGGGACATCAAAATAAATAAGTATGCATCGTCTAGGATACGCCTACTATTGTATAGATAGCAAAGCAAACAAATTTCATTTAAATAAAAATCATTAAATTATATAAACCGAGTAGAAATAAACAAAGCAATAGAAATGATAATAAAAATGGGAGTATTATTTTTGTTCCACTATTTTAATAAGAACGTCGACCTGACGATAGTAACAATACAATGGCGTGCCTTAATATTACATTCCTGAGGTCAAACACATCATATAAATAAAAGAAGCCTTAGATATTGTGTATATTAAACTTTATTTATGTTGAAATTCTAGCAGTTCCATGTTGATTAGAATTCTTTTTGTTGATTAGTGTCTAAAGAAAACATTTTCGTAATTTCAATTGAATGAAGCCATGCTATATGCAAGTGCAGGTGTCGCATGGATCAATGACGACGAGTTTTTAGAAGTGTTTCTTGACTATTTGTTTGCGTATTATTTTACTTATATCTCTATCTTTAAAAAGATATCTATAATATACCTAATACTATTAATATTTTACATTTTTCCAATAAATATAATAAACTCATTAAAATCCGTCGTGAATCTACAGCATCTATTCTATAATAGCGGGTCACCCTCGCTTATCCCACGGGAACCGTTCATTTTTCCTGAATGAAAAGTAACTTATTGTTTGACCGGCAATATAAGGTATCAGCATGCCAAATTTTACTAAATTAGGTGCAGAAGTTGTTGTGTACTAAGCTGTTTAAATTACTATAGTTTGTTAACTATCCCACGGGAACTCTTTAATTTTAGAAAAATATCTAAAATGTTGACCGGGGATATAAGCAGGGCTGCCAGTAGAGACAACTTTTTTTATACCGCTGGATCACTCAAATTATACCAAATCAAATTTTATTATAGGTATGTACAAATTAAACAAAACTGTTGAGAAATTGTCTGTGACGAATAAAAAATTTCGATAAAAATACGTAATAACTTAAAATGAAATATACATAAAATAACCATATTTTACAATTTTCGTATACAATTATACGATCTGGCAGCCCTGGATATATGGTACTACCATAAAAAATTCCATTTAAATTGGTCCAACAGTTTCGGTCATTAGCCCGTACAAACAGACAGAGAAACAAAAAAATTGAAAAAATCTGGATTTGTTCTAATTCTCATCTTATATCCCCCTGACTCGGTTTTTAGCATTTTTTCTATGTACAGACATTCGAACTCTACAGTTTTATTATGTATAGATTATAAAAGTCGAGTTATTTTGTATGTATGTTTGTTTAAAATCCCTAGAACCACTATGATTTGAAAAAATCTTTTTGCATAAATAAACGGCGTAAACGATTCTACGGGCAAAGGCTAGTGTGAGAAAAGTAATCGATTTTTACATATTGATGCATATAACAGCTTTGAACTCAGCCATGCGTACTAAGCAATGCTATTTTCTAATAAAATTAACCTATTTAATATAATGAATAAGAATGTTTGTAGGTGACCGCTTCCACTGTTGGAAAATATAAAGGTTTCTGTTATCCATTTTTTTTTTATTATGTTTTACGATGACTTAAGACGCACGCGATAAGGATGAAGACGACTGATAAAAAAGGCGATGTAATGATATTCCACAAATACATAAATAATGTATGGAATACACCCCCGCTCACCCCCCTCCCCCCCCCCCTCCATTATTCATCGAATAAACCATTAAAAGTAAAAGCTACGAAAATATAGAAAAAACGAATTGTAATAAAAATAAATGATTATATTATAGGTAATTGACGGCTTAGTTGGTACTTTTTATTCCGGAAAAATGTTAGGTTAGATTTGTTTTTGTTTTTTGTTATCTAGAAGTATTATTTATAGTTAAGTAAAATTTATGTATACTTAATTTATATTATACCTACTGAACAAGTGTGTGCGCAAACTTATTTGCGCTATCTTTTCCTTTTACTTTCATTGTCTATACTCTATAGTCTATACTGTAGTGGGACGACAACTCGTCATGCCCACCGATGTAAAAGTGAGAGAGATTTTTTTTAATTAAAATTTATATAGAACAACCCTTGGAGGTTTTAAGTCTATACATATAATAAAATTGTAACTAAGCCGAATCTGTACATTAAATATTTTTTGGAAAACCTTATCGAAAAGACTTTATTATCAATACAGAGGCCGAATCTACAGTTTTTAGAATTTTTGTCTGTCTGTCTGTCTGTTACCGCATCACAGAAAAAACACTGGAGGGATTTTGATGAAATTTGATATGGTGATAGCTGGTCATCCGGGTCAACATATAGGTTACTTTTTACCGCAGCAAAATGTCTCATTTCTGATAAAAAATAACAAAAACTGCAATGTAAGAGTATACTAATATGTAAAACTTAAGAATTTGGTTTTTGGTCATCTGAACGCGGGCGGAGCCGCGGGCAATGCTAGTCTTTTCATATTTTAGTTAAAAAAATAATTATAGAAATCAATTGATTTCAATAGCAAAGATAAAAAAAAACAAACAAATTAAATACCTCCTTTTTTAATGTCAGTCAAAAAAATCCTAAATGAAGTGGTTTTTTCTTGGTTTTATAACCATTATATTAGTTATAATTATTTATAACAAGTATAATTATTAAAAATGAATATATATATATATATATATATATATATATATATATATATATATATATATATATATATATATATATATATATGGCAATTTACAATTTAAAATAAACCTTAAAGCTTCAAATATATTCATAATACGTTATTTCTGTGATGAGGTCAACACCATACATAAGTGTGAAATGACGAAGAAGTCGCAAGACCTTGTTATGTTTGCGACATCAAACGTGTAAAATATAACGAAACCCTTTAATTGTAATCCTGCCTTTTTCACTAACTTACATAATTATGTACATAAAAAGATACAAAATATCGGTCCTTTATCTGTATCTATACATATAATGAAATTCTGAGTCAAATCTGTACATTAAATATTTTTTGGAGAATCTTATCGAAATTGTGTCCAACCTTGTAATATTAACACTGTTTTTATATTAAGTTTGTAGCTTATTTATTTTGCCCAATAAATTAATTAAAGGACTAAAAACATTTGCATAGTATGCGAATCTAAAATGCAAAATGTACTTCATGTACCGAGATAAAGAATAGCATTTGCAAAAAAATCACATCATGTACCACTCGAAATAATTTTCGTTCTACTATTTTTTCTTTGACTAGAAACACTTATGTATGTAATATTAGCAAGGATTCGTTTAAATTATATTAATCGTATTATTTTGAAGTACCTAAGTCATTACTCATTAAAATAATCATGACAAAAGAGACATCCTATATATGTTAAGGGGAATGACATAGGTTCCTTAAGTTGACAAATGCTTTTTTTAATATTATTATGAGGTCGTACATATTTTTTTTGGATCCCATGCATGTTTCATTACGTAAGTAAGTATATATTGTATTAAAATAGTAGTAGTTTTAATCTAATAAAAAAAACCATTTGTGAGTGCATATAAACTTATAAAGTATACAGAACTTCCACAGAAAGTTTGATGGCACTTTTACACTCGCTGTTCTGTGTGCAACGTGGTGATTCATTGAATTTCAATGTTCAGAGTGGACGACGCTAATATGACGTAATCACGATTGAGATACGATATATCTATATATTAAAAAAAAAACAGAATTCACTATATTAGAATATCTTATAAAATATCCATAATATATGTAATGTACCTATAATAAACGGTAGCAGATAAAATATTTGGAAGATATTTTTTGGAGCTAAGTTTGGAGATAATATTCTATACTATTACTACAAATAGTTGATTCTACAAAAAAAGACGTTATTAATTTAAAAAAAAGGAAAAAAATTTGCACAAATAATTTCGCAATAGACAATTCACACGTCGTTGTCGTTTTTAGATCAAAGTATCACCTTATTTGAATTTTATTTTTACTTCGCAATTAATCCAGAAGACAAAGATATTACCGTGAATCATAACTGATAAAAATGTTTATTTTTAAAGTTTTGTCTATTCCAGCCGTCAATAATATAAACATTGCTAATCATAAATTTAATAAATAACACATACATACGAGTATGTATGTATGTATGTTGGCGAGTAAGACGATTAATTGCTTCAAAGTTCAATATCATCGATGATTTGATTCATGTTTTAGTAAGGGTAATTAAATAAATAATGTTTTTTTTATATTACTTAAATAATTTTTGAACGGATAGATCACGGATTCATATTCTTTTAACCTTGAACTTTCTGAGTAGCCTGCTGCCTGTACTATTATAAAAAAAGCATTTCTACATAAGTTTCGTCCAAAATCGACTCTATAACTTCATATATTTTAACGTTTTTTTCAGAAAGACAAAATTAAAAATGATATTTATAACATATAAAATTACATATCAACAAGGCTATACTTGAGCATAAAACATTTAATCTCTTATTTGTGTTTGTCTTAAGAGTATATGTAACGGCGCCGTTCAAATAAACTACTTTGGACCGGAGTCTACTAATAGCTGGCAATCTTTCGATTTCGATAAATAAAGTGAAATTAAATCAACTAAGTCAGTTATGTATCAACTGAAATATAGTTCTGGCCTAACTGGCGTACGTTTCCAAAAAGTTTTGGCTAAGTATAACGTACATGAAGGTCAATTATATGTAGGTGCGGTTAACGAAATGGGTCATCCATAACTCGTGTAGATTTAAATGTCACGAGAGAGAATTACAAATCAGCGAAAATGCTGAAATAAATAGTTAAGCGAGTTTGAATTTAGCACAATTAAATTAGTTTTGCGATTATAATAAAATTATTTTACAAAGAATTAAGTAAAACTGCCGCATCACAATGCACTGACGTCTGGCTTCTAGATTGGCATTAAGCCGATGTTCTACTTTTTGATAATATTCAGTAACTCTTAGGTCCAGAACTAGATGAAAAAAAGGCATTCTTGATAGAACACATGTAACGAATGTGAAGGTAATTTATTATTTCGGGGGTTTTAAGTAGTGTTTCACCGGATATCCGTATCCGTATCCGCGGATATCCTAAGGAGAAAAAAGATATGTATCTGTCAGTTTTTGACGGATCTCGATCGGATCTTTTTTATCATTATATATTTTCATGAAGTGAATGAAATTCGAAGTGTAGGTAGCAATGAAACACTTTTGAATACCATTTAAATTATTATGTTAATTTTAAACGTATCAAAGGTATACTTGTTAGGTTAGGTTGTATACAGACAGGTCTAAAACCTTCCCCCCCCCCCCCAACGTGCGTTCACCTTGTCGTGGTGAGGGGGCTCAGTAGTGCCCGGCAATCCAACCGGGCGCGAAGCTAAGAAACGCACAGGGAGGTTGCCCACTTCGGTGGGCGGTGGGAGGTGGCCCTCTTCGGGGGGCGGTGTACCATGCGGGTGGCTCCTGGTACTTCTCTGATTGCAGAGTGGACTGTGGAGCAACCCCATGGCTGTGGTGGTCTGTTTCGGCAGACCTGCCGTCGGGGCGTCGTAGTTGAATGCGTAAGCGATCCTGCGACGCCCCATTAAGACGGGGGAAGGTTTTGTTGGGTTTTAGTGGGTAGTACTGGCTGTATTACGCCGGTGAGTCCCACATGTCGTGCGTAAATGCATATCCCAACGTTAAAAAAAAAGGTCTAAAACCTTAAGTCTCTCCCGTGACCATGATAATGATTGCTGTAAACTGTAAAGCATTCGAATTATCGAGAACCGAAAAGATAAATAAATCCGCGAAAAAATCCGAAAAGATAGTTTTATTTGTAAAATATCAAATATTCGCGTAAATCGAAGAAAGTATTATTATTTCTTAAAAAGACACATTTGGCACATTTGTATTGCACAAGGTGAATATTAGATCATTTATTGTAGTGAGTTACAAACAAGCCTTACAAATATATGGTGTTCTTATTAAATAAAAAATTATGAAATATTTGAACATTTAGGATAGGTAGCTTAGTTATATGAGCTCCGTATCCGACTCCGTATTCGCGGATCTTCAGGCTAATGATCCGTATCCCCGGATATACACTTTTAACGATTCAACACATCACTAGCTAGGTTGCATGGCTAAAACTTGCCATCGACACGAGAAGAAGAAGAAGATGGCTAAATTTTACTTAGGAGAGTTAGTTTCACTCAGAAAATTATTTTAAATGTTAATTAACTTACCTGTGTAAAACAGTAAAATTTTAAGTATAAATGCAATATTTATCTAGAATAGTGCATAGAAATAAAAATATCTGCTAAAAAAAGTTTAAAGGGCCCACATCAATGCAATAAAGATGTACAGTGGAGCAAATAATACAAATTAATAAAAAGAAATTTCTCTTAAGAAGAAAAAAAAATAGATTTTTATTAAATTTTGGTTTTGCAATATTCACACAAATATGAACTAAAGCTAAAAGCATAAAAGGCCTAAATTGTTTAATTATGTCTCACCTTCCACTCCAGCCTTGCCTTTCAGTGCGATGACTTTGCTCGCTGGGTTCATTATTGCAGAGTCGGCACTGATGGGCCGTCTGATGGGATTGGTGGGGTCGGCCATGTCTATAATCACCACCTCTGAGGTCTCACCGACTTTCTCTCGAACACAGATAAACTTATCCGACTCCATGGTGAGAGTGTTGAAAGATATTGATGCGGGATTTATCCCGATGTTTGTGAGCTATTAGACAAAAAATAAAATGATAATTATATGTATTGAAAGACTTAAGCATTATATAAAGGAAAAAAATTAACAGTCTCATACAGTAACATCGGAATCCTTACACTGCTTGACATACTTGCTCGTATATCTGTCAAAGTCTTATCCTTGTTAAGCCTTTAGTAATAACATACACACTAACTTTATTATATATGTTTAAATACCCAAAAATGAATACATAAATAATTACATGAAAATTATCATCTATCTATCTATCATCACAATGAAACAAGCAAAAACTTTTGCACTTAATATGAAATTGTATTAGTAAAAAATTGGTTTAAATTTGATTTAAATAAGAGATTTTACAATATATTTTCTCCATTCCATACTCCTACATCCTTCTCTGATTTATGATAGTAATATGAAACAAATTGTTGAATGATATTCAAGTATCAAATGCCACACTCTTATCATAACTAGAATTTGACATCTATAAAAATGGATGCTATTGGTAATATTAAAAATAGCTGTATGAAAAACTGTAAGCTAGTATCTATGATGCTAGGTAGCGCCAGTCTCCCATTCGTTTTGTCTTCTTAAGCTATTCATGTAAACTTAATAATTTATGTCATATGTGCTTAATAACATATTGATAATGCATATTTATAGGTTTTTGGTGCATATTTATGGGTTTTATAACAAAACATATTACAAGATCCATATCTATATAATTGTTTTTAAATTTAAAAACCAAACATTGTTATCTATTTCAAGTTAAGGTATATTCAAAAAAATAAAAAAAAATTTCACCTATAAATTATTTCTTCCCTACCTAAAATATAACTTTCATTTGTAAAAGGTGATAATACTCTTTATGTTACAAAGATAAATGATAATTACCTTTGTTAGATTTAAGTATTGCAACTCAACCTCTTTCAATATAATGGCCATTGTTTTTCAGATTCAAGAACTGTGAAGTTGATGTTAAAGGCAATAATCTTCTTATGTTTGCAAGAAAGTCTTGGCACAATGCCCAATAAAATAGGTCTCCTGATACTATACTTTTTATTTGCATTTTTTATACTGGTATATAATATAGATTTATATTTTTATGAGTTTGATCATTAGTCTTAATTAAATTTAGCATAGTAACTAAAATCAAAATTTTCAATATATATTTTTTATAAATCATATCTAGCAGACATTTAAATTTATAATTATTTATTACACAATGTGTATAGTTTAATATCATACATTTTTATGTATTTCTTAATTCTTATAAATTAGAATAGTATACTCTATTCTTATTATAAATTGATGATTCAAAAGTGCTTGAAAAGTCTAATTAAACAAAGTATAATTTTCTTTCATTTGTTTTGTCTAAATATTTTAAGATAAACTATGTAAATAACAAGCAATTAATGAACTTGTTATCTGTTTTTTTGTTTTCCAAAAATCAATCAACACATCAATTTAAAAGTTTACTTATACTAATGTTCCTTTTATCCTAATTTAATAAAAAGATAGTCTTATTTATAGATTCGGTTAATATTTAATAGTAATCAGTGTCTAAAATTTATCATTTATTTATTTTCTAATAAAACTTTTCAAACTATCTAATATCTTTTCTTCGACTAGTATTAATTAATAATTTAGTGCGAGAGAAAAGCTGCCAAAATGCTGAATAACTCGTACATCATATGATCCAGAGGGAATGTGGAACAAATCAATACCGGCACTCTTCCGTGCACGGCTTAGGGGGTGGTATCTGTCAACGCATATAATTGCGCAATGTCATTTCTACTATCACCTCCCACTTTTACACAACACAGCAATTAATAAAACACTCTTATACCTATTTTGGGTAGATATTACGTCCCCTGTATTATCAATAAAAGCAAATCTAATAAAAACTGATGGGCGTACTCACCTGTAAATGCTCCTGAAAACGTATCGGCAACACTTGAGCCATGATTGCTGTTTGTATGCTCTAACTAAACCGAAACGGCTTACGAGCGATCCTCTTTAATCGCGGAGTCTGAAAATTTAACACGGTTATTTCAATTCACTGCTGTCTCATCAGATACGAAACACCTTTGACAATCAACATGGCGTTCATTCATGTTTGAAGGAATCAGAACAACGACCGGAACACTAAATCATATATACATATTTTTTTAAAGCTACTGTAGTTACTCACTATTCCAATTTAATTCTACATGAAGAAAAAATAGATGAATAAAATATTTTATTATTGGTATAGAGAAATGACGAACAATGCACCCGCGGCTGCCACATACACAAATGAATGAAACGAAATGAACTGTGAACGATTATGAGATAGAAAGAGATAGGTACATTAATCGTTGTCCAATCGGCAGATATGCACGAATACTCATATCAAAATATGTGTTGATTATTATCAAATTTTGTTTCTTTTTAAATAAATACATAATAGGTATTTAATAGCCTTAATTGTTTAGTTTTATGATACGAGATTAACAATTCAGTAATAAAATTAAAATATAAAAATACCTATATAATGGGAAGAATTTTGCCCTTTTGTTCCGCCAGATGTCATAATTATTCTCTTTGGTCATAATCACTAATCACTATGGATCTTAGTATATTGTAAAGCTCTATAGCGTGAATGTTTTTTTATTTTATTTAAACTTCGATTAAAATAACAAATTGTGCAGTGCCAGGATGCAAAGAAAATGGATATAATTTGCTCCCAAAAGACAGGAGCTCAAGAAATTGTGGGCTAAAGCAATAGGATGACTAAAATTGGCGAAATCACAATCTTTATATTTAAGGCCATCATTAATTATAGTAATTGGGGAAAGAAATTCGGAACGTAATTTAAAATTTAAAAAAACGTAAAAGGAACGTAATTACTGACATTATAAGGAAATTTAAAGCTCCTAAAGAACCATTAGCTTAAATATTAATAACATTAGCAGAAGTTCGGATCGTAAATTGGCAGGTAGTTGTGTTTTTTTTTTAAATACCGTAACTCTATCATTAAAATCATCGCCATAAGAGGCACATTAATTAAAATAATAAAATCTAATGTTACATTAAATAATAATAATTTGTGAAAATATTTAAAACCTTAAATCCAAAAAAGACCGGTGATTTATGGAGTATGTCAGTAAAATTGCTAAGTTATATTATAATAAATATTGCTCCTTATTTAGCTTTTATTTTTAATAAATGTGTAGATAGCAGTACATTTTCCGATTTAATTAATGAAATAAATAAAGTAATACCTTTGTTTAAAAGTGGTGATAGGTTTGAATCTAAAAATTCTAAGCATATTTCAATACTAGCAGCATTAAGCAAAATATTTGAAAAAATAATTTTAAACCAAGTAAGTAACTTCTTTTAACAGTATGGCTTTACCAAAGGTAAATCTACAATTAATGCGGGTGCTGCGCTTCTTTCGCACATTTACCATGCATGGGAGAATGCTATTGGTGTATTTTGCGATTTGTCTAAAGCTTTTGATTGTGTAGATCATCAAACACTTTTGCTTAAACTAAATCATTATAGAATTAAGGGTGCTGCGCTTGATCTTGTTGCCTCGTACCTCAATTAAAGAATCCAAAAGGACTAATGTAAATAACGTAAAATCCACTGGATCTCTTTTAAAAATGAGTGTTCCACAAGAATCTATTCTTGGTCCCTTTTTATTCTTATATATAATAATATTAATGATACCTTAGTTAAGATAACCAGATAACCAGATAAACTTAGTTAAGATGAAGTAAATAGTGCATTGTCACATAAGCTACGCTTGTTTTATTTAAACAACCTACTAAATGCAAAAAATATATCAAAATGTGTCGATTTTACATTGCCTAACTTAAAAAAGCAGAATTTTAGCCTGATTATGAATAATGAAACACAGGAAATAACTGAATTAGCAGTATTTTTAGGTACAACACTAGACTTTTAACTCCAGTGGGACCCTCATGTCTCACACTTGCAGGAAAAACTCAGCTCCGCTGCCTATGCGGTTAGGAAAGTTAAAAACTTAACGGATATTAATACTGCCCGACGTGTATATTTTAGTTATTTTCATAGTATTTTATCTTACGGAAAACTTCTTTGGGGCAGTGCCGCGGAAATTAATTCGATATTTATTCTTCAAAAAAGAGCAGTACGGGCTATTTATGATTTTATAACTCATGATTCCCTGCGAGATGTTTTCTAAAAAAGTGGTTTTCTTACGGTTGCGTCACAATATATATTGTACAGTGTATTACTTGTTTGTAAAAATTTAAATAAAAAACAGTGAAAGACACACAATAAATACTAGGAATAGACATAATCTTGTTACTCTAAAAGGTGAATAAATCCTTCATGGAAGTGAGTATACGCATATATAATAAGATTCTACCAAATGTCCTAGATATACCTCTTCAAAAATTTAAAGATAAATAAAAATATTTTATTAAGCAAAGCGTATAACACTGTACTGTATTACAAAATAAATGTAACTTCGATATTTAAAAGAGCAACAGTTGAGTTTCTTGCCGGCTCTTCTCAGCAGAACTGCTTTCCGAGCCGGTGGTAGCTTCCTCGCGGACTGACTACACTACCACTTACATTAATTTGACGACACGTTTGGCTCAGTTTGTGACCCTACATGCTGTGCCAGCGGTCGCGAGTTCGAGTCCAGCTGGAGGCATTCATTTTTGTGATGAGCACGAATGTTTGTACTTCATTCTTGGGTGTTTATATTTATAATTATTATGTATGTATTTAAAAGTTATATATGTGTAGCGTATCAACTATCTGGTATCCATAACACCAGCCTCATCTTACTATGGAATTAGATCACTGTGTGTTAATGTACCAACATATTCATTTATGTATTTAAGATGTAAATAGGCCATACGTGTGGCGTCCTCCTTCCGAGAAATCTTTCTCATTCAATAGAGACATTGACTCTGCTAAATTAAATCAATTGTCAAAGTGACAACTGACATTCGACGAATTTGTGTCTTGTAGTTGTCATCCATGATTTGTGTTTTGATTGCAGCCAGTAGCAGATGATTTGCAGATAATCTTGATAGCTTTCTATTGTTTAATAAACCAAATTTATCAAAATGGTAAAAAGAAATGTACATATGTAAGTTGCTTTTTGTCCTTAACAAATTTTATTATCTTGATTATATCTGCAGTTTCAGTTTGGGTTCAACATGTTTCATGAAATTACAAGACCATTTATGATGACATATCGATGTTACTCCGTTTCTATGCTGCCTGGAAATGAAAGACAAGACGTAGAAAGAGGAGGGAAAAGTAAGGATAATGTTAAATGTTATATTAAAAATGAAAGATTGATAATATAAAACATGTTTTAATATCCAGTAATCTTAATTTGTAAGTCTTTCTATTTTTATTTATTTTTGCTTCTTACAGTAATCATGCCCCCTTCCGCATTAGATCAACTCACTAGGCTGAATATTGAATATCCAATGATATTTAAGTTGACCAATAAAAAAACTAAAAGAATTACACATTGTGGAGTACTTGAGTTTGTTGCAGATGAAGGAAAAGTATATTTACCTCATTGGGTTAGTATTTTAATTTCTTGTAAATACATAAATGGGGAAATTGATCCCATATTTATTAACATATAAATTTATTAGTAAGGTACAGATTTCAAAAAATGAACTGATATATGTTTTCTTTGTAGTTATGCTGTTTATAAGTAAATTCCCATTTTAAATGTTCATAATATATAAAATAATATGTTAAAAAGTAGGAAAGCATAAACAAAGGGTCAACTAAACTTTATTTAATTTGGTAGATGATGGCAAATCTTGTATTGGAAGAAGGAGCTCTAATCCAGATAGAAAGTGTATCACTGCCAGTAGCCACTTTCTCCAAGTTTCAACCACTGTCAGAAGATTTTCTTGATATTACTAATCCAAAAGCAGGTAGGATTCCATAATTACCATAATAATAAAACAAGTTCAAATAATAAAACATTAGAAAATTTATTACTTCTCCTTAAGAGTCAACAAAATTCTTACAAAAGTTTTGAATTGCTATAGATAGTATTAGGTACAGAGTTAAGAAGATTTCTGTCAAAATCAGTAATTTTATTAATTACAATTATAAAAAGGGATAAATGTGCTGTAAAATAAATTGTAAAAGTCTTAATTTGTTTCAGTTCTTGAAAACTGCCTCAGAAATTTTTCATGTCTAACAACTGGAGATGTTATAGCTATCAAGTATAATTCCAAAGTATATGAATTATGTGTACTAGAAACCAAACCTGGTAATGCAGTTATAATTATTGAATGTGATATGAATGTAAGTATATTTTCAGTCCAAATAATACTTAAATGACTTGACAATATAGCTTAGTTGTACATCCAAGGTCACTAAATAATCATATAAAATTGGTAAAATAAATATTAAAGAAAAACTAAATTATGATTTAGCTATTAATTATGGGCAAGTATTGTGTTATTTACAGTTTATATGAGGAAATAACAACAAACAATTTGTAAGTTTTGTATAAAATTGTATTTATATTAAAATATAAAAAATCTATCTATGAAAACATACATCGATACACTGTAATGTTTATTGGGACCAGTATATTTTATTAATAACTAGCAACTCACCCTCCCTTCACTCGGATTTGTCCCTAATGAAAAACAAAAACATCTATCCCTCGAGAATCATACATTTTTCCGGGATGACAAGAAACCTATTTGCTATTCCAGACTATAATCTATCTCCGTACCAAATTTCATTCAGATCTGTTTACCCTTTCTGGTGTGATTGAGTAACAAACATACATCCAAACTTACACATTTATAATATTAATGGGATGGGATTTATCATATTAAATTTGTTACAGGTGGAATTTGCTCCACCAGTTGGATATAAAGAGGAGGACCATATTAGCAGAGGGGAAGGAAGTTCAGAAATGGGAGGTGTGGATGAAAACCCAGAAGCTATGATGCCAGAACCTAGTGGTTTTATAGCATTTAGTGGAGAGGGAAACAGGCTTGATGGAAAGAAGAAGAAATTGACCAGTGAAAGTGAATCAGAGCCTCAAGCTTCAAACTCCAGACAGGTAAGATGTTGTTGTATTGTGTTATAATTATAATTTTTGTAGTTTCAAATCATAGCTCCATGTTAAATCTCTTTGTACTTTGTACTACACAATATTACATTGAGGAAATCATAATAATTACGTAATATGTTGTTTTATTTTTAGCCTTATGTCCGTGGCATACCTGACTATGATTATGTAATCGGTACACTCAGATTTATCAGAAATTCAAGACCCACTAGTGCAAAGGAGGAGATACCGTCTGAGCCATTTGAAGCTTTTAAAGGAGAGGGATTTACTTTACGTACTGCTAAGTCCAAGAACTAATTATAATATATAACTATTTAGTTATATTTTATTTTTAGACTTTGGACAAAAATTAAAAAATAATATAACCTAATTTTTTAAATGTACCATAATATTGTAAAATCTTATAATTAATTCCAATAAAAAAATTGTAAGAAACCAAACTCTTTTTACTTCACCTTTTTAAACCATAATACTATTCGAAACAATATCAGAGTACCTAAATATTTAATAATAAAATATCCCAGATTATCAATGTTCAAGACACTATTGGATCTGGATAGAGTTGAATATTGGAAACCTATTCCTATAATGATAAAAGTAACCATTAAGAATTGACTTACTGAAATTCAACTATAAGGTTGCAGTTTGTATGGAAGGCAAATGAACAAAGAGCCAAAGTAGGTCAGGCGATTGATTGACAAAAGGTTTTTTTTTTAATGTAAGTAATTAAATTATACTAGATTATTTTTTTTTTTTTTTTTAATTTTGAATTCTGTTTCATGGCAATCTGTTTATAAACAATAAGCCAATCCTGTGTTAGAATTATAATTCTTGTTATGAGATGTTAGTGCAAAGAAGCATCCATTGATGTTTCCCTCGCAGTGTGGCTAGAAGCGATCAATAAGGCTCAATACACTATGTCTTTTCAGACGAAAGAATTGCGCTCTTTCGGCGCCCTGGAGTTCCATCGCTAATTTATTGATGTGTGCTGCCAGACGAATCTGATACTTTTTAATAGAATTTTTGATTTCTTGTTTGACTGTGTTCAATTTTAGATCTATGTGTATATATTTGTTTTTTACAAAGTATGGTATATCTAGCATAGTACGTAGCGTCTTGCTTTGAAATCTTTCTAATATTTCAACGTTGTTGTTACTTGCAGTTCCCCATAATTGGATACCATATGTCCAAATTGGTTTTATAATTGTTTTATAAATTAGTATTTTGTTGGTTGGAGATAGCTGTGAGCGTCTTCCAGTTAACCAGTAATAGTTTCTCATCGTAGTGTCGAGTTGTTTCCGCTTGGTCCAAATATGTTTACGCCAGGTGAGTCGTTTGTCAAGGTACATTCCAAGGTATTTGGCATCTTCTGACTGTGGAACTTCAGTATTATATATTTTAACTGAAGGACAGAGTTGTCTTCTAAGTGTGAATGTTACATGTGTCGATTTGTTTTGGTTTATTTTCATACGCCATTTATCAAACCACTCTTCAACTCTACTGACATGTGCTTGTAGGTTTGCTGATGCTAAGTTAGGATCATGGTGAACAGAAAGCAGCGCTGTATCATCAGCGTAAGTGGCAGTTAAGATGTCATCATGGGTTGGTAGATCAGCCGTATATAGTAAGTATAGAACCGGGCCAAGAATACTCCCTTGTGGTACTCCTGAGAGAGATTCGCACATGTTGGAGGTCTCGGAGTTAACCTTAACTTCAAAACATCTTTTGCCAAGGTATGAATTAAACAGTCTGAAAAAAGGGTGAGGAAGATGTTTTTTTTATTTTGAAGAGTAAGCCCTCGTGCCAAACCTTATCAAAGGCCTGTTGTATGTCCAGAAAAACTGCTGAGCAATATTGTTTGTTTTCAAATGCTCTATAAATGGTGTCGACAAGGCGATGAATCTGTTCTATAGTACCGTGTTTTTCCCTAAAACCAAACTGGTGTTGCGGTAGTACACAATCGAGGTAGGGTTTTAGTCTAGTGAGGATTATTTTTTCTAAAACTTTTCCAGGTACTGGTAGAAGGCTAATAGGACGATATGAAGCAGCCTCTTGTGGTGGTTTGCCAGGCTTTGGTATCATTTTCACCTGTGCAATTTTCCATTGACTAGGAAAGACTGGAATTCTAAGGCATGCGTTCAGTATTATAACAAGAAGGACTATACCTTTCCGTGGAAGCTGTTTAAGCAAGGTAGCGTCAATCTGATCGTATCCTGGTGCTTTATTATGTTCTAAGCTCATTAGTATAGATTGTACTTCTTTTAAGTTTGTGGGTTTGAGGGGTAAGCCGAGTTGTAGGGGTGAGTCTAGGTAGTTGCGTATTTCAATATCGTGATCTGGATGAGAACCAGGGAAAGGTTCAAAAACTTTCTGAAGATGTTGTGCAAATACGGCAGCCTTATCCTTGTCGGACCTAGCCCAAAGGCCTAAATTATTCCTAATTGGTGGTGTATGCCGAGTTGGTTTTTTGATTTGTTTAGTAACTTTCCATAGTGAGTGATCTGTTCTTTTAGATGGAGACACTCTCTTTCTAAAAATGACTTTAAGGATTACTTCTCAATTCTGGGAAATAAATTTATAAGTGGTGGTGACTGGAATGCCAAACATGTACTTTGGGGCTCAAGACTTGTTTCACCAAGAGGGAGACAGTTATACTTAACATCTACAGAACTCAACTTACAATGCATATCACACGGCGAACCAACTCACTGGCCCGCAGACAGAAATAAATTGCCAGACTTAATTGACTTTTTTTTATCACCAAAAGCATTCCAACTAATCAAATGATTGTGGAATCATGTGTTGACCTATCCTCAGACCACACACCTGTTATATTAAATTTAGACTACAAAGTCATCATGACAGATTATCCGCTAAGATTATACAACAAGAACACAAATTGGGACACATATAAAGATACCATCAATAACAGAGTTAACTTAGCGATTTCTCTAAAAACCACAGAGGATGTAGAATCAGCAATCGAAAAATTTAATATCCTTATTCACCAAGCAGCACATAACTCCACACCCATGGATAAAAACCCTGCTCCAAATTCTCATTACTATCCAAAATACATTAAACAAAAAGTAGAGGAAAGAAGAAGACTTAGAAAAATTTGGCATAACACTGGGTTCCCTAGCGATAAAACAGAGTTTAATAAAGCCTCTGAAAGCCTCAAGAATATGATAAGCAATTACATAAACGACAACCTTCAAAAGAAATTATCTAAACTAGATTAAATAAATAAAAGAAACAAGTATTATAAAAAGATTTTATTGATACTTTCCTATACAAGTTATTCTTTATTCTAAAGCATCAATCACATTTAGGGCATATTTTATTTTGAAAAGTTGTATATAAGTAGATATAAAGCTACATTTAAAGTATTATCAACTTATATAATTTGGATTTTTAAATTACAGATAGGGTTTTAAAATAAATGCATAACATTATGAATTGCGAAAATATATTTACAAGATCACTTAGAGTAGAAATTAAAGTCTTATCAGTCCAATATAAACTTCTTCCATGAGTTTGAAAACTCAATATATTGAGCACAAAAAAGTTAAAGCATGTTAATTAAAATCTCTTCAAAAATTCCTCGGAACAAATCCTAGCACGGGCGTTTACAGCCAATTTCATTTCGCTTATCTCCTTGTCAATTTCTTCCATAAAATATATTACAAAATCGACTAATTTATGTTTAAACATTTGCTCGGTATGAAAATTTGTAATCAGGAAACTGATATGATACCCGTCGACTGGTTTCCGCCTTAGTACGATAAAGTTTTCCGCTCGCATCATCATAAAACGCATAAACTTTTTACACAAGATTTTTTCAATCTCGTCCGCTTGTTTTATCATAATACTTATTCTTATAGAATTGATAGATGATTCAATTAACACTTTCTCATTAGCGTTCCGCGAAATGGTCACAGGATTCAACAACAATTCTTTGCTTGTGCCCACTTCAACCTCCGGTTTGTTATATCTTTCTACGACTTGAGATGAAAAATGTTCTAAGCACATCGCAGATGTCAGCGTATGGCGTACTGCTGTTAAATAAGGCTTTAGTGTGGCCGACATAATTGTAGTTTTATAAAAACTTAGTTATAATACCACACCTAGAGTTCCTACAATTTTTATCTCTCAACAACTATGATTCTGATTTCTGACAGTAAGTCAGCAACGTTCGGAAGTCGGAACGACAAACATGACATCGTCATGACATGAGTCATCCATATATTGTGGCCAATGGCAATAATATTATTAATTATATGCACAGAACACATTGTGTAGTATTATGTGTAGACATAAATATATTATTAGGGAAGATTAATCGAAAGGAGGGCGCCACACATATGGCCTATATACATTCAGTCTGAGGTTAAGCAATTTATTGTGATATTTGTTTTATACCCAGATTTTTTGCTTCTATTATGTGTGTTAAGTGTCTGGCATTGAATGACGTGATTTTTAATAATATTCTGAAGGTAATACCAAAAATCACACTTTATTATTTGACGAATTTAAATCAGTATTTTATACACCTTTAGTACCGTGTACCTGCTAAAGCCACCATAGCCTGAACTTCATAATGGTCCATCGTTCTTATCTGTGTTGGGAGCATGCGCAGACAAACTTTCAGTTTTTATAAAATGACGAAGGTCTGGCGTTCACTAGGGATGGGACATTTCACGAGTAGCAAGTGAAAAATCACGTGAAATGCGTAATCACGCGTCACACCTGCTACTTAAATTCATAGTGGCTGCTACAAATCACAACTTGGTGAAATCTAGAGCTGTAGCAAACCGTATGTATTCGTTACTGAGTAACGGGTACGCCATCTAGTACCGAGTACCTAAACGTTACTCACGAATGCATTTCGTTACTCGCATTTTCCGTATACATTTTCGTACTGATGTTTTTATTGATTTTTTATTCAACAAAATACAATTTTCAGTTAATACCGTTGATCAGTAAATTGGGGAGTTTATTTATTTCGAGTTGCATGATTTCGGATTCTTAGAAATATTGTTTAGAAATAATTTTAAATTAGAAACAACAATTAAATTTAGAGCACATTTTTAGTTTTTTATCCAACAAATACTTATAATTTTTACTGAATGATTATGTGTAATACGTACAGACATAACCACCAACGCTGAGAACGAGCTAGAAATGTTTATTAATGAACCAGTGCTTCCGCGCGATTCTTCGTCATTAGTTTGGTGGAAATCTCACTCCTATATGTACCCCAATTTGGCGGAAATATTTCATGAGCACTGTCACATCTTGGTGACATCAGTGGAGTGTGAGAGAGTATTTTCAAAAGCGGGAAATTTTGCAACCCAAAAAAGAGCACGATTAAGCAGAAAACGAACAGCGGAACTTGTATTTTTAAAAAGCAATGAAGACTATTGTATATAGATATCTCATAAAAAAATCAATCATCAAAAAAATCAAAAAGCAAAAAAAATGATTATAAACAAATTAAAAAAATTAAGAAAAACAAAAAAAAAGTGTATAAAATTCTTTTATAAAAATTCTTATTGTACATAAAAACAATGAACTTTTAAATACGCCAATGTAATTATGGAACTTAGCTTAATACAATTTTACCGTGTGATTACTCTGATATATTTAAAATTCATTTAATTTTACATTGTCATTCCCAAGCCTGTAGAAGTATGAGGGAAAGTTCATTGTTTGAAAATAGGTTCATTCAAAGCACCATGTACGTATGCAACTACGTCAGATCTATATCTCTGCTCCATATCACATCAGTAGCGCCATTGGTGACATTTCATACTACATTTTAATAGCAAATAATATAAAGTGTGACACCAGACCGTCGAAATCAAAAATCTATGCGTGAAAAGTAGCAGGTGAAATCACGTGAAAAATTGTTGTAATTTCATCACGTGATAATGATTTAAAAGTAGCAATCATTTCCATGCTTAGCGTTCACAGGCTCATAAGCCATAAAGCATGGATGACAAATAAAGTGCTAAAGTATTTGATTTAAAAAAAGTTTAAGAGATTTATATTTTATAGTCATGTCTTTTACGTAGTGTCTATTAAGTATATTTTTTTCTAAAGTATTTTAAATCCATACATAGTGTTTACTAATAAAATCAATGTATATATATAAATTAAAATGTTCGTAAAATAAATTAATTTTTTGTGTATGTCTATAGAGGTAATGTATCTGTACTCAAATTGAATGATCATACAACGAAACGATAGACAGATCACAGAACAATAATGGCGGACGATTTATAAAGTGACGCAAGCTAACGTTCTACGGCATGCGTTTATCTAATAATTCGGTACTAAAAGTTGTTGATCAATTATTATTGCTATCATTAAATACATGACCTATTAGGGGTGTAGTTGTATATATAATAAGCAATGGCTCGCGAGTTTGATCACCTCTTCAAACTGCTGATTATCGGTGACAGCGGTGAGTGGGCGAGGCCTGAGTTCGCGAGTGATGTTAAGCTTTTCTCTTTCTTCCTAGAGATAAACAGTGGGATGATGTTCTTGTGTTGCAGGTGTAGGTAAGAGCTGTCTCCTACTGCGGTTTGCCGACAACACGTTTTCCGGTAGTTACATTACGACTATTGGTGTAGATTTCAAAATAAGAACTTTAGAGATAAATGGTGAACGGGTTAAACTACAGATATGGGACACCGCGGGTCAGGAAAGGTTTAGAACCATAACGAGTACGTATTACAGAGGGACTCACGGTGTCATCGTTGTGTACGATGTCACTAATGGGGAGTCTTTTGCCAATGTGAAAAGGTGGCTTCATGAGATTGAACAGAACTGTGATGTCGTTAACAAAGTTCTAGGTAAGTCTTTTTTTTAACATCCAATAATTCATCAACAATGATAACTATACATTTTGGCTTTAAATATTGATAAATATAGGTACATAAAGGTTTTTTAATCAATTGATAATTATAACTTAGTATTAATGGGCAGGAAACTAATTATTTATGATGATTCATATAACATGATTGTAAACTATTATTATAATGAATAAAGAAAAATATTTCTCTGTGTAATTACTTGCAGTTGGTAATAAAAATGACTGCCCTTCAAGAAAAGTGGTTGTAACAGAGGATGCACAAAGGTTTGCCAATCAAATGAACATACCATTATTTGAAACCAGTGCAAAAGAGAATATAAATGTTGAAGAAATGTTTCTTACTATCACAAAAATGGTGAGCAGAAGTTTTAATCATATAAATGTTATAATTATAATATTAAAACAAAAATTTTGTTACTATTCTCTGTTTCTACTTTCTATGGATGTCTTCTAATTATGCAATATATGCTAATGTAGTTAAAAGTAAATATTAAAAAAATTAATTACAAAAATGCTTAGTATATAACACATATTAAATCAATAATGTTTAGTATTTTCCTGTTGGGCTTATGCTATTTATAGTACAGCTAATGACCAAACCTGGCTGTGTCCAAATGTCAAGTAATATAGTAGCATAGTATATACACACAAAGCATAAATAATGATTTGAAGGCAATACATGAATGATGCAGATCCGGAGGGCCTGGGTTCAAGTCCCAAGTTGGGCCAAGTTTAGTAACTGAAATTTCTTGTCAAGAAATTTTCAGTAACAGCTAGGGTTGGGAAGATTACAATGTTTCACCGTCATATCTTGAAGAGAATGTAAAGTATTTGGTCCTGCACTTGAGCTCTCACAGTCTCATTTGTGTCGAGTTGTTGTTCCACTATAGTATACTATAGAGTATAGAGTTCCACTATACAGTGACTGGAATATAAGAATAGGTTTGCACCCATATTTGTGCACTATAATATCTCCTCGATAGTTGGCCAGTCTCAGTGAACTTGGTGGCTGTGGATGAAATTGGTCAGCAAGACATTATTAAACAACTTAACTCCCCACTTTATGCTTTCTCATATATAAAAAAAGGTCACATGTTTTCTGTTTCCAGAGTAAATTACCTAATATCTGTGCAGATAAGGATGCCAGTAACAGCTAGTTACTAATAAGTAAAAAGCTATAGTAGTATTTCATATTATACATAGACTTAATGTTTATTGTAAATGACATTATTAAATAACTAAATACATATTTAATTCAAATGTATTTTGTGTATATTTCAGGTTTTGAGATCAAAATTGGAAATGAAAGAGAGACAAAATGTTACAGCGAATGATACAGTACACTTAAAGAAAAGTAACAAAACAAAAAAGAGATGTTGCTAGTGACCATGGACAGTGGCACTGAGCCAGGGATGTCACTTTTACAATGCTCAAATATTGAGAGACACTTGCACAACCCTAGCAGGACACTATGGGACCCCAGCCATGTAAAAAGTTGGCTAAGAATGATAAGTTGCAAATTCCATTATTGTATAAATAAAGATGGTCACCATTTATTGCAATATGTTTAAGGAATAATATGTCAAATTGTTTAGTTCATAATATATTTTTTTTCATATAGTCATATGATGAGATTTTAAAAATGTAAAATCTGGTGCAAAACATTTTAGATAAGAACAGGAAGCTTTTGTTAAGCATTTATCTTTTGTTTGTATGTACCTTTATAATTCGTAAATATTTGTTTTTTTTTAATTCTGGAGATTAAAACAAAAATGTGGAGTTAAAAACTTATCACTTTTAGTGAAGTGAAATAGAAACCTCTTTTGTCGACAGTATATTTTCACACCATCATATACAGTTGTAGATTATTATGAAAGTAGTGGTATTTTGTACCTTGTGTAAGTTGATCTCTATTGAATATTATCATGGCAGTGTTGGTAGGTTAGTCATCACTTGATGTTGAATTACATATTAGATAACAGCTAATATTATAACATTTATAATAATAACTTTTAAATGGATGTAGTTATGCAAAATAGATCTAACTACAAAAACTTACTTTTGAGAAAATAGGAGTTTTAGTAAAATTGGTATATCAAAATAACAAGCCTGTAGTTTTTTAATTGCTCTAAAATATTGGGTATTTTATCTATTTTTATAACTTGACATGTAGGTGCCATTTATGACAGTACCTAAAAAAAAGGTTTTCTTAGGCTGCAGTCCATTTTGCATCACTACATCCAATTCTTCATTTAACCCATTTAAATGTAACTAATTTAAATGAGAACTATATGAAGCAGGAAAATATTACCAAGAATAAGTCATCAGGCCTAATAATATTTAAATTTTTTTTTTTTTTTTATATTAATCTATAATATGTAATTCAACATTGTGCATCTTTTCTACAGTTATCTATGGATTAGTCGCATTGTATCTCTATATTTTGAAGTTAGTCTATGCTGGGTTGACCAACCTTGTCACGATGAGCATTACGGTTGATTTACTCCAAATATTACATTAGGATATTATGAATGCATAGTTAATGTGTATAATTGTACTCTTATAATCAAAATCTATGTGATTGGAGTGTTGTATGTGCTAGATAATAAATGTATACCATTAATTTAAATAATTTTACTTTATGAAGTCTTCAGGTCATCACATTATGAGAGTAGTATTAAAACCTGAATGAGTTTAAATAAAAGTATTAAGTTTTAATATTTAACATTATAATTCTCTATATTTATGTGTATTGCAATGATTGCCAGCAGGTTGCTATGGTGTAGTCTCTAATTTAATTTTTTTATAAAATGTTCACTATTTTCTAACTTTGGAATCCAGTGTGTAATTTATAAAGTGAGATCATATTTATATTTTTTTAATTTAAAATTTGGCAAAGTATACTCTAGGCATGTATATTGGAGTTGTTATGATTTATTTATACATTATTATTATATTTTATGCTTATATGCATTTAATAATTACCCTACAATTATATAAAAAATATTGCTTTAAAACATACGAGTGTGTGATATTTTAATTGAACAGCTTTTGCCTTTAATGTATTTTGATTTTCTAATTTTTATATTTCACAGTACACAATGCGTGTCATCATAATCGAAAATATATTTAATTTATGTATGCTATACAAAAAATAAGGCAGTGGTAGCCCAGTGGTAACACGCTCGCTTGGCAAACCGGGTGAAGCGGGTTCAAATCCCGGGTCTCAAAACTCTAATATTTTCATGTGCGAATCATTTCTAACTTGATTAGTATTTGCCTAACGGTGAAGGAAAACATTGTGAGCAAACCTGCATGTCTGACAGAACCTAGCAAGTTTTCGAAAGACATGTGAAGTCCGCCAACCCGCACTTGGCCAGCGTGGTGGACTATGGCCTGATCCCCCTCGTATTGAAAGGAGGCCCGTGCCCGGCAGTGAGATGTTAAAAAGGGCTGAACACAATACATACAAAAATATCATAGTATTATAGCAATAATATTTATAACTACACTGCTATGTTAACACTCAATGAAGAGTTATTCAAATGGACCATAGCTTGAATAAATTTTTGGGAGCATAAATAATGTATGGTTGGAAATACTACAATTTAGAATTAAACAAATAAACAATTTATTTTATTTGTGGTATTAAATTAATCCAATACCAAAACATTCTGTATATATCAATGAAGATATTTTAGATTTCGTATAGATTTATTTAGATTGGATATCTACTTGAAATGCTTCATTCGATATGGAGTGTATGAACCAATAAACTTTAATGTTGTTCATTCCGTACAATTTTGTACAATATTATTAGGCTGGCCGTTATTGTTTGAGTCTAATTTAAAATTTACCATTCAGTTATTTGAAAATTCTAGTTTTTTTCTTATTTTCCTGATTGATACTAATGAGTTAACCGTAAATTTCAGAGGCCACCAGTCTAGTAGTATACACCATTTTGCTTTATTTGAATTGGTACTCATGCTATTTTTAAGTTATGTATATTGTTCATACCAGCATTTTAAAGTGTAAATAGATATATTTTGCCCATAATTAACCCAGTGTTTCAATCAATTTACTCATCCTATATCGTAGGATAATATTACTACTACAGTCTACATACATAGAAACGGTACTGCCAAATCTATTTATATTTTGCTAGTTTTTTTCTATTTGGGCTTAGTAACCGGTAGATGTCGTTTACAAAGTAGTTGTAGGAACTACATAATATTTTGTAATTCACAAACTAATAAAACAGCAGTCATGACTGTTTAAAAACGGTTTTAACATATTAAAGGTCGGATTTTTCATTAAGTAATAGTAGGGGAGCCCAAGAGGGGATTTTCTGTAGTTACTCGAGCGCGGCAGATTAACATAAAAGAGATTACCTTGCACTCTATTGAGTACTTTCACCACAATATAAGTCTTCTATATAAAGGGGCGCGTCTAGGGAAGCCGATTGAAATATTTAAAAAATGTTTTGATAAGGTAGAAATACTTGAAACCGTCAGATTAAGGTGTGGTAGGCTAGTCACATCCTGAAAAGTGTCCAATTCAATAATCTGCCGATTTGCACAAGCCGAAGAGGCAAAAATCGACTATAAAGTTTATGATGATTTTTGCCTCTTAGGCTTGTGCAAATCGGCAGATTATTAAATTGGACACTTTTCAGGATGTGACTAGCCTACCACACCTTAATCTGACGGTTTCAAGTATTTTTACCTTATCAAAACATTTTTTAAATATTTTAATCGGCTTCCCTAGACGCGCCCCTTTATATAGAAGACTTATATTGTGGTGAAAGTACTCAATAGAGTGCAAGGTAACCTCTTTTATGTTAATCTGCCGCGCTCGAGTAACTGCAGAAAATCCCCTCTTGGGCTCCCCTACTATAGTGAATGGAAATTTTAAACAACTTTTATTAATTATATAACGCCATCTATAGAATTTTTTTTTGAACTATTTCTCAAATCTATTTTCATGACCTTTCTTCGTCGAGTTTGTGTGTATGTTCATTCGTGTGTGCTTTGTGTTAAGCAAAACCAATGATCGATAATCGTATGTATATATGAGATGTTAAGATGTGTTTTTGTAACTGATACATGGATAAAGTACTGAATGAATTTTAATGAAACTTTAGACATATAATTTATAATATACTAGCAACTCGCCTTCGCATCGCTTGGGTTCGTCCCTAGTTTAAAATAAAAACAAATCCCACGGGAACCGTACATTTTTCTGCCTCGATGGTGTAGTGGCTAGCATGTACGGCTGCACACCCGGAGGTCCTGGGTTCGAGTCCTGGGTCGGGCCAAGTTTAGTTCTTGAGTGAAGTGAAGAAGAGAAATGTATAGTAAGCCTCAGTAATAGCCCGGAGTTGGGAAGTTGGCGGTGTTTCACCCCCGTGCCTCGGAGAGCACGTAAAGCCGTCGGTCCTGCTCCTTAACTCTCACCGGTCGTGTCGAGCAGTCGTCCCACCGGAGTATAAGAGTGACAGGAATAGAGAGTGCACGTTGTGTCTGCGTGTACACTTGTGCACTATAATATCTCCTGCGCAGTTGGCTAGTCTGAATGAGATTGGCCGCCGTGGTCGGAATCGGTCAGGAGAACATCATCACATTTTTCTGGGATAAAAAGTAGCTATGTGTCATTCCAGATTATAATCTATCTCTGTGCAAAATTTCATCCAGACCAGTTCAGCCGTTCTGGCGTGATTGAGTTACAAACATCCATCCAAATTTCGCATTTATATTATTGATGGGATAGTTATACATAATTGAAATACGCGAGCGGAGAGAAAATGCTAGTAAAATTAATACTTAGGACTAGATTTTCATTATTATATTTAACGTTTTTCAGTGTTTTTTTATTGATTTCGAAATATTTACCTATCTAATCTACCTTTATAATACAGCAATTTGTAAGGAATTCAAAATTGCATTAGGTTTACCGCTAGATGTCCTTATCTCGTGAGGAAGGGGGGTAAAAGCCATTCTTACGTAATATTTTATAAGTCGAAATGTGTGATTTCTCACAGGATGATAGATATTTGAGAGCTAAGCGTTGGGGAAAACACCTCTGAGATCTATTTAGTATTTACTCTTTATAAAAAATATTTTTTTTATATACGTCATATTATGATTTTTGTGCAATTGATCCTTTTGTAAAACCACATGTAATCAGAGTCCGAGAAATCTTATGTGCTCTTACATGGTGATAGAAGAGAGGGGGTCAAAAGTAGCCAAAATTGTCTTTACGTAATTAATGAATGGTTCTTAGGATAAAACAATATACACAATCATTTTGTCGTCTCGTGTCTAACGCGTTTTCATAAATAGCAGTGATCACGTTTAAGGCAAAGCAGGTAAACGTTATTAAATAAAAAACAAAATATATCGTCAAATAAAAAAATATATTAGAGAAACACTAATATGTTTACTTATAATTTCATAACAACAACATGTTCAATAACTAAATTAAACAGCATTAAAAATAAATCACAGTAAAAATAGTCACTTAATATTATTTTGTTTGTACCTGTAAAAAAAATATTTTTAATAAACGTTCACAAATAAAAAACTTCATGAGATTGAAAGAGAGAGAAATATTTGAATTATTACAAATTGCAGCGACATTTTTTATTATGTACTAGCAACTCACCCTCGCTTCGCGTGGGTTCACCTCTAGCAGAACAAAAACAAACCTATTCACCGAAACCGTAATTTTTTTTGGATAAAAAGTAGCCTATGTGTTATTCCAGATTATAATCTATCTCTGTGCCAAAGGGTCTAGCCGTACTTCTATGACGAAAGTGCCCCCGATAGGAACTTATATCGTAACCAATGTTATATTGTAGAGGACACCAACAGTAGTTCATTGAGTAGATTATAGCTCTATATCTTAGTTAATTAAGGAGCTGTTTGAAAAAAAGTGTGCGGAGGCGACTTTTTTTCATAGCGATATATCTTAGTTAATTTCAAAGTTAGCAAAATAAAACTAAATGTTAGTGTTACAGTACACTTTATAGTTTATTTTATAGGCGTTTCCTATGGACCAAGCCTAAATGAAAGTTTAAAAAAAAATCAAATAAAAATTTTGTCAATCGATTTCTATCAGATCTAATTAAATTACCACTTTGAAAAAAATATATAATAATTGTATATATATTGTCTAATAGTATGCCAAGTTTCATTAAAATCCAAGGGGTGCAGCATGTCGAAAAAAAATCAAAAGTAAGTGAGCACGCACTTTACGACCACTATGTTGACACTTTTAACGTGCATTACATTTTTAGTTTTTCAATATTGGGCACGAAAGGTTTAAAAGGAAATGGAATATATATTTTTTCAATAGAAATTAAACCAATATTCATAAAAAAGTACTTTTATTAGTCATTACATCATCACTATCTTCATTAATTACAACGAGCTCGTTATTTATAGAAAAAACACTAGATAATATTTCTACTGGGCGAACTATATAAGATTTATATCTTGCACACATTCGATAAATAAACCTACTAATATTAAAAATGCGAAAGTTTATGAGGATGTATCGATATATAGATGTTTGCATGTTGTTATATTTTCACGCAAACACTACTAAATGGATTTTAATGAAAAATTAATCTTTGACGCACATGAAAATTATTGTCTTTCCCTATGAGTTCAACTAAATAAGAAATGGCACGTGAAAGCTGGTAGGTTCCAGTGACAAGTATTTTTAACTTCTTTTCCAGAAACTTCTAAAGCAAGTTGATGAAAAGGTTGTTCATTCCAGTTGTTAGTTGGCACTTTGTCGGCATGTTTTCATGTTTTGTCTATCATTAATATTTTTAATGATTTTATCGTGCAATGGTTTTGTTTTATATACTGGAAATATGTTTTGTCATAGGATGCATCTAATATTTTAAAACTGCAAGTAACATCGCATCAACATATCAATTAGCAAAACATATAGATGTTACATTGACTACAAATCCAATGGCCAAAGACACGAAGATATTCGGTGTTATTGCTGTGACTGTGCACATGTAAATCGAACAGTTGGGAGTTCCTCTTACATGGAGGCAATTATATATTACTAGACACAACAACTACCAAATATATTCCACTGGAACCGTACATTTTTCCGGGATAAAAAGTACCTTTTGTGTTATTCTGATGTATGAGCTACATACATATATTATTGAAATGTTTCATTAAAATTCATTTAGTAGTTTTTGAGTGAAATAATAACAACATCCAAACATCTATACATCTATACATCCTCACAAACTTTCGCATTTTTTATATTAGTAGGATTATTTATCGAATGTGTGCAAGATATAAATCTTATATAGTTTGCCCCAGTAGAAATGTTATCCAGTATTTTTCCTATAAATAACGAGCAGGTTGTAATTAATGAAGATAGTGATGATGACTAATAAAAGTACTTTTTTTGAATATCGGTTTTATTTCTATTGAAAAAATATATATTCCATTTCCTTTAAACCTTTCGTGCCCAATATTGAAAAACTAAAAATGTAATGCACGTTAAAAGTGTCAACATAGTGGTCGTAAAGTGCGTGCTCACTTACTTTTGATTTTTTTTCGACATGTTGCACCCCTTGGATTTAAATGAAACTTGGCATGCTATTAGACAAAATATATATAATTATTATATATTTTTTTCAAAGTGGTAATTTAATTAAATCTGATAGAAATCGATTGACAAAATTTTTATTTGCATTTTTTTAATACTTTCATTTAGGCTTGGTCCATAGAAAACGCCTATAAAATAAACTATAAAGTGTACTTTAACACTTACATTTAGTTTTATTTTGCTAGCTTTGAAATTAACTAAGATATATCGCTTTGAAAAAAAGTCGTCCCCGGACACTTTTTTTTCGAATAGCTCCTCAATTAACTAAGATATAGCGCTAATATTTACTCGATCAACTATTGTTGGTGTCCTCAATAATATAACATTGGTTACGATATAGGTTCCTATGGGGGGCACTTTTGCCATAGAAGTACCGTTCAGCCGTTCTGGCGTGAAAGAGTAACAAGCATCCATACATACAAACTTTCACATTTATAAGAATTTCCTTAACTATTTTAAGCAACACCTAACGAAATTTTCATTTTAGCCATAGCTTAGGGTAGGGAACACACCCCCCCCAACGTGCGTTCACCTTGTCGTGGTGGGGGGGCTCAGTAGTGCCCGGCAACCCAACCGGGCGCGAAGCCAAGAAACGCACAGGGAGGTGGTCCACTTCGGTGGGCGGTGGGAGGTGGCCCTCTTCGGATGGCGATGTACCATGTGGGTTGCTCCTGGTACTTTTCTGATAGCAGAGTGGACCTTGGAGCAACCCCGTGGTTGTTGTGGTCTGCTTTGGCAAACCTGCCGTCGGGGCGTCGTAGTTGAATGCGTAAGCGATCCTGCGACGCCCCATTAAGACGGGGGAAGGCATTGTTGGGTTTTAGTGGGTAGTACTAGCTTTGCCGGTGAGTCCCACACCTCGTGCGTAAATGCATTTCCCAACGTTAAAAAAAAGAAGGGTAGGGAACACACGCCTACACTTGTTACTCCTGTAATCGTTAAATTAGACTTTACAGACTAAGTAGTAACTTTACTATAATCCGTTCGCGTTAAGGATATAGTGAGTCATCAAGTGCAACGGCAGGTAAAGGTGTATACAAAGTGGGAGTAAAAATTCAATTCTAATTCAACATTTCAAAAGATTAAGTTTAATAGATAAAAATCAACTTAATTATCTTACTTATCTCAAACTTGATTTGAGATGATGATGACTTTATTTTGATTTGAGATAATCAACTTAATTATCTTAAATCAAAATAACGTCATCATTATAATGTTAATGACTTAATTTTGATATGCGATAATTAATGAATATAATTATCTCAAATCAAAGTAAAGTAATTAATAATATATTTAAGTCTGCCTTCTACTGGCCATTGTGAACTTTACTTTTAAAATTTTATGCAATCTAATTGGTCGAGGGGCGTGGCTAGGCCGGTGGACATCGATGACTCACTATTTTCTTAACGAGAATGAACTATAACTACATTTAATTTTGTTTGCTGTAATATGTAACATTTATTTAAATGCGAACTAATTTTAAACCTGTCCCAAGTTTCCTTTTGTCAGCCATTTTAATTTAATAAAAATTCAATACAATACCTATTTTAATTAACTAATTTTCTTGTATTTAAAATAAAAATATAATAATCAAGCAATTTAAACTACACCACAAGACCTTCGTATGTTACAGATTGTCGCGCAACTTCTATATTTTTAGCTTCCAGGCGAAAGGTCTTCCACCATGTAAATGCGACTCAAAAATCAACTATTAAATGCCAATTATACTAAGTAATAAATAACAAACCTATAGTTATGTTACTGGTTGTCTTGTTTGAACAGTGAAGTAATCTGTGACTTTGTTTTTACATTGAATCTCGTCCTTGTTGACCAGCTTGAAGGGGCGGAAGTATTCCTGTAACGAAATCATACAATTATTATTATTATTTAAATATAAAATATTGGAATAATGAAAATTATAATAAGTACGTTATGTAGAAAGAAAAAAAGCAGTCATGAATACTGCCGACAGAAGTGAACACTTAAACCTATAAACAAACAGTTGTTATTTTTGGATATTCAAATTAATTGTTTGATCTTAAATTAAAATTTGTAATTAAAACTGTTTACATTTATCTGGTTTTGACATCTATTGGCACTCTGACTACTTACATAAATTTACTCCCCATCCAAACCTGCCTATAGAAGTTTTCACTTCATAAAAATATTTCAAAGATATGAAAAAAAATGTGCAAAAGAATGTTAGTTTTGGGGCTTTGTCAGGTCATATAAAATGATATTCCAACGCCTATTTTTCGCAGATTTCGCTCTGGTTTTTAATGAGTAAAGAGTCTCGTAAGGAGTTTTCTCACTTTCTTACAATTTTTGGAAGATAAACACCTATATTTTAGGGTTTAAGGCTAAATGTTGTGCAAATGGAAATACCAGAGGTGCGAGACATGGGTTTAAGCCCGCTACACTCGATTTTGCAAACAAGTTTATAGGTACTAATGGGATACCACTAATTTACCAAAAAATCAAACCTAAATCTTAATATTTGACCCCTGACCGACTTTTGATAGGTATTACCACTTATTTCATCATAATAATATAATACAGATAAATAAAGAACAAACAACAAGTAAAACTGATAAGTTTATCGCTAAAATACTTGACCTGTGGCTTTAAAATTCCCTTCCGGTTTTAAAAAAATAATAACATCATGTACAGATGGTAGCAAATAACAATATATATAATAGCAAATCTATACTAATATTATAAAGAGGTAAAGTTTGTAAGTCTGTGACGTTGTAGGGGGTAATCTCTGGATCTACTGAACAGATGAAATTTGGTAAGATAGTGTGAGACCCTGGGAAAGACAAAGGATACTTTTTATCCCGGAAATCATCCCTTAAGGGGGTGAAAATGGGGATAATTTTTTTTATGGGGAATTAAGCTAGGGACGAACCTGAGCGAAGCGAGGGTGAGTCGCTAGTAAATAAGTATGTTGAGACATTAACACATATCACCATCTAGTACCATGGTAAGCTACGAGGCCTGTGTTATGGATACCAGATAGTTGATACACATATATAACTTTAAATACATACATATTGTAAATGTAAACAACCATGACTGAGTACAAACATTTGTGCTCATCACACAAATGAATGCCCCCAGCGGAACTGGAACTCACGACCGCTAGTACAAACTGAGCCAAACGTGCCGTCATCAAATAAAATAGTAACGAGGGCTTATTTAATATTTTCAGCCATTTAACATTTTCGGCAAGAGAATGTATTTAGGGTGAGCTATTTTAGAGAAAAAGAACATTACCTGAACAGATTCAATCCCTCCGGAGATATGGACGGTGGGCACAACTTGCTTAGGCCTCAGAAACTTCACGAATCGCACCAACTCTGAGAAGCTCGAGTGTTCACTATACGGTATACCTGAAAATGCATAGTTTTAAATATAATTATATTTTGAAGTTATACTTCTTTTGGGACGTTCGGAAAAAATTATGAGAGTAAAATTTATACGATGCGCGCACACACCGACAGCCAAAAAGCGACATGATGAAGTTAGCTGCATTCCTTTTACAAACAGAGAGTTGTGACATATAGGGTGAAATCTTTAGCTATTTTTGTTGTGTTACGCCAAAGAAGTATAACTTCTTACGTGGGTACATAAACACATAATTATTTTTTTTAGATTTATTCGCGGTTTCATTTTGTTTTATTTGTTCCCAACGTTACGAATGCTTTATAGCAAACATGGTCACGGGAGAGATCAATATTTTTAAAGAGATCTACCTACAAAATAATACAATAACAATTTGTTAGAAAATGGAAATGGCAGCTTTTTTACAATTTTAGATTCTTTTGCGTCATAACTATAACTATTGAGACATCAAAAATTTTAGTCTGTCCATTTTTTTAATATTCCACTGTTAAAATGGGCCACTCGATAGCCCTCGATACTTAAAGTATCAGGCCATAGTTCACCAAGCTAGCCAAGAGCAAGTTGGAACTACTTGCCAGGTACTCTCAGCCATGCAAATTTCCTCACGACGTTTATCTTCACCGTGAACCGAGTGATAACCATATTGATAAAATTACCGTGTATCGTAACACAATCCTTTTCAATAAACGAATTCTTCCCATTCTCCCAGCCGCTGGGCTTGAACGCTACTACTTCAGTGAACACACCGTTGAGACTGTTCAAGTAGCTTCGCAATGTCTGCAGAAAATACGAAATATGCTTATTTTTTTTTGAAATTTAATTATTTTGGAAAACTGGATACAGAATATTATGTTAAAAAGAATCTTTTCAATTTGAGAGGGAAGCCCTAAATCAATCATTTTGCAATATGGAAATTTATTGTGTACTAGCGACTCACCCTCGTTTCGCTTGGGTTCGTCGCTAGGTACGTTTTAAATAGATATAGTTATTAGCCAGCGTTAACTATATGACTAATAATTTTAATTTTTTTTGTTAATAGTATTGACAAATATTGACATTAATATTTATACGATACTAACGTCACTCAATTATTTTGACTCTTCACTAACACTTAAACTTTATGGTATGGTATTAAAGTTCAAATTGACTTTTAAGTATTATTACGAATCTTTTGCATGGGAGCATAGAAAAGTGTTGTTTTTAAACTTTTTCAGGCATTTTTTTAAATTTTTCTCTCCGTAAGAACCATTCTCGTACTTCAAGGAATATTCTAAAAAAAGAATTAGCGAAATCAGTTCAGCTGCTCTCGAGATTTGCGCTTCACACATTCAGCGATTCATTTTTATATTATAGATTAAATAAATAAGTAAGGACATATTGTATGGTATGTAACATGTATGTGTAATGCTACGAGATGTAATTTAAAAGTCTTTTTAAAAAAAGATATATTTATATTACACCAAATTACACTATTATAATAGTCAATAATATAAATTACTTCACTATATTTAAATTGAATTACAAAATTGTATTATAATAACCGTAGCTCAATAAAGACTGACTTATCTATTGAATTCTACGGCTATTTAACCTAACTGTAACTCTGTGTGAGGTACAGGGAAGTAAGGGGAATTATGATGGCGTAGACACCTCCATATACTAGATCAATATATAACAGTATATATGTGCATGTAACAAGCGCGTAGCGCGTAGCAACGCTGCAGCACCAGTCCGTCAGTCCATTCGTCTGTGCGTGTCTGTCCTTCTCTCACTTTGTGTATATGTATATATGTGTATGCAGTATGCGCATAGGTGTATGCACTCACGTCATGCGTGAGGTCCCGCATGGGCACGACGTGCAGCTGGCAGGCGGCGGCGGCGGCGGGCGCGGCGGCGGCGGGCGCGGCGCGGGCGGCGCTCAGCACGCGCGCCTTCTCCGGGCACGCCCACACCGCGCAGCCCACGCGCCGCGACACGCCCTCGTAGAACTTCTCTTTGCCTAACGAGTACCCATAATTCCACCACATCATAAATCATTCTTAAGTCATTGAGCCGACAATGTCTAACGCCGGATCCACACGCTCGCCATTTACCACAAACACACATTCTAATCGTAAGCATTTGCCGCCCTTTCATCTGCACTAAAACCGACATACAATCGGAAAAACCACAAGTCCTTTCAAACTTAGACCAGTCAAGAGAGCCCTTGCCTCTCCACATGTTTAAATTTTTGATAGCTTGTTGAGGCTTGGCAAGCGTGTAGAACCGACATCACAGTAGGCCTATATACAATAGCTAATTAGAATAAAAATTACATGACAACTAAAATTTAGTTAAAACCACAATCCTATATCTCAAAGAGGAATTATTAAATAAAACTATCTTTTCGGATTATTTCACAGATTTATTTTGATTTTTGGTTCCCGACGTTTCGAATGCTTTACAGCATCCATGGTCACGGGAGAGACTGAGGTGTTACATGTCTTAAAGATATAGTTGTTACAGACAGCCTACCCACAATTAACAAAATGAAAATTGCACCAATTACATTACAATATTTTTAACTTTAAACATTTTTTTTATTAAACATTAAACATTTTTTTCTGTGGGTAGGCTGTCTGTAACAACTATATCTTTAAGACATGTAACACCTCAGTCTCTCCCGTGACCATGGATGCTGTAAAGCATTCGAAACGTCGGGAACCAAAAATCAAAATAAATCCGCGAAATAATCCGAAAAGATAGTTTTATTTAATAATTTCAAACATTCGCGTAAATCTAAGAAAGTATTAAAGAGGAATTAAATAAGAAAAAAACCCAAATTAGATATTTTACATACATGTTCCACAATATCGTTGAGAATTAAAAATAGATTTTAATAATCCATTTATCGAATAAAAATCCATCCATCCATTTATAGAATAAAGTGAATATAATACTATACTAATAAATATTAAACATATTATCTAAATAAATAAATAAATCTCTTTCAACTTACCAATAGTGTATGTGCCACAGACTATGAGAACAGAAGAGAACTGCCTTCCAGCATCTTCCACCGCCGTTTTCTTTAGTCTCAGCAAATGTATCGCCATATCTATGCATTGCTCTTGAGTGGGGAAATCGTAGCGCGGGTTGCAATATCTGGAAAAGATCTATGAATATAATACAATGATCATAATGATGATGATGTTCTCCTAGTCGATTCCGGCTACGGCGGCCAATCTCATTGAGACTAGCCAACTGCGCAGGAGATATTATAGTGCTCAAGTGTACGCGCAGAAACAAGTGCACTCTCTATTCCTATCACTCTCATACTCCGGTGGGACGACTGCTCGACACGACCGGTGAGAGTTAAGGCGCAGGACCGACGGCTTTACGTGCTCTCCAAGGCACGGGGGTGAAACACCGCCAACTTCCCAACTCCGGGCTGTTACTGAGACTTACTATACAGAAAGACTCAATAACTAAACTTGGCCCGACCCGGGACTCGAACCCAGGACCTCCGGGTGTGCAGCCGTACATGCTAGCCTGTATGTATGTAGTTAGATAATAGTGAGTCATCGTTGTCCTAGCCAAGCCCCCCGACCAATTAGGTTGCATAAAATTATAAGGAAAAGTTCACAATGACCAGTTGAAGGCAAACTTAAATATAATTATTATGACTTTATTTTGATTTGAGATAATTAATCAACTTAATTATCTCAAATTAAAATAAAGTTAAAAAAAAAACTCACAGCTCTTTCTGAGATTAACCCGAACAAAACGCAAACACGGTACAAAATTTAATAAGTAATAAGTAGTACTATACTCACGTAGTATCAAGATATATAGTGTGTATATCCTTATTCCAGAACACGGGATACGACTCCATCGCGGGAGTAGCGCGGAAGTCGCCAGTGTGCAGCAGCGTCTTACCATTCGGCAGTGTGAACACCAACATTATAGCTCCGGGGCAACTGAAATGTAACTTTATAATTTAATTATATAATACTAACGACTAACCTCACCTCTAGGAAACCCACGGGAACCGTACATTTTTATTATTATAAAAGTAGTGTTATTCCAGACTATAATCTATCTCTGTACCAAATTTCACCCAAATCCGTTCAGTCGTTCTGGCGTGAAAGAGTAACAAACATCCATACATACTCACAAACTTTCACATTTATAATATTAGTATAGATAGACTAGTTACGTTTTAACGCTTAGCATAGATTTCTCAGAGACAAGATATTTTCCTGTAGTAAAAAGAATCCTATACGTTGACCCGAATAACTAGCTATCATCATCATATCAACCATCAAATCCCTCCAGTGGTTTTTCCGTGATGCGGTGACAGACAGATAGACAAAAAATGTAAAAACTATAGATTCGGCCTCTGTATCGATAATAATGTCTATTTCAATAAGATTTTCCAAAAAATGTTTAATGTACAGATTCGGCTGAGTTACAATTTCATTATATGTATAGACTAGCTAATTAATTTTTTGATTGGTTTAAGAACCCTCATTTTATAAAATTAATTAGTATCCTATGTATTACTCTAGGTCATAGTCTATCTCTATACCGACCAAATTGGTCCCGCCATTTCAGTTTGAGGGAGTAACAAACATACACATACATATATACATACATACAAACTTTTGCATTTGTAATGGTAATCCAAATGAATTGATTCAAATGGTAAATAATCAGTATTTTTAAATTTTTTGTCAATCTGTCGGAATTTGTGAAGATTTCACTATGAACCAAAAATATCAAAAACCGTAGGTACTGAATGTTACTTATATTAATATTTCGCACCCTATATGAATGAACACTAGGGAGTTCAGCGACAAAAAAGTATTCTATGTTATTGTCGGTTACAAACAGATCCGAATTTAGAAATGTGGGGCTCGGGACAGTTAAGCAATTAAAGAGTGGAGGCCCTTATGAATACTGTTAAGAGGTTTGTTGGCTTTTCTTTTTTAAATTAGTCAACAGAACCACTGATAAAACGTATTTATTAAGCATAACTTAGAAATTTCTATTGTAGAGTCCATTTTCATGTCCTCTAAATCCGACTCTGGCTACAAACAAACACATGTTTATATTTATAATATAAGTAAAGATTGGTCCATCCGGCGAGCATCCTTCCAATAGATTGGGTGTTACGTAGGTTTTTAAAAAGCAAAAAAAAGTGAGCTTATGGTAGTACACAAATGAATAGCTGTGTGCCATAAAAAAGAAAAACAAATGAATAAACATACTGATTAGCGTCCACCGCAGTTATCTCTACACCGTCGATTTTAATTGTTTCGTCGACGTCTATTATGTTAATACATTTCGGGTTCACTCCTAAACGTGACTTACACAGATTTGCTAAAAAAAATCAAAGAAGGTTCAATAATGTATACGTATAAAAATGTATTTAAAATTTTATTATTAATAGCAATATCATAAATAAGATGAAACACATAGCTTTTAATTAAAATGTTGACGACACATTGGCTCAGTACCAGGGGTCGCAGGTTCAAGTTCCGATGGAGGCATTCATTTGTGATGAGCACGATATTTGTACTCCAGTCATGGGTACATATTTATAATAAGTATATATTTAAAGTTATATGTGTGTAGTGTATCAACTATTTGGTATCCATAACACGAGCTTACCATGGAACTAAATGGTGCTGTGTTAATATCCCAACAACATACATATTTAAAATACCGTCTATCAGACTATTTTACAATAAATATGTACTCTAACTATTTACATAATGCCTTGCGAACAATCATTTGCCAATAGCATCATCTTTCATAAATATTTTAGTACCTGAGTGACCGAGCTTCTATATGTCACTGTCAGCATAAGGGCAGACAGAAAAGGGCTTTAATAAAATAATAGTGAAAAAGCGCTTTTTCAGCAAAGACACCTCTATAGATAAAATTAAAAATCAAAACCTATACAATATTTGATCAAAATCGTTAGAGCCGTGTCCGTGTTACAAGAAATAAATTTATTGACATTCCTAAAAGATTTCATCTAGAGAAACTAATGTTTGCTACTAGGACTAGAATTTGGAACATTTATTTTTATTCAAGTACATTAAGTAGAAGGATTAACGATATAAATAGTAATTATAGATAAGTATATTGTAAAAGAAATCTGAATTACATAGGACTTTATTGAAGTAAAAATTCTTTAGGCTGAGAGGTAAGTCAGTAAATTGGAAAAATGAGTGTTGCGGAAGTGAGAATCAAAGTTATTATTAATAACTTAAAAAATATATTATGTTTTTATAATATTTATTATTTATAAAAATATTTATTAATTATATTATTTTTTTATAATTATTATATTCACTAAAACTTTTGATTTAATTACGGTATCTGTAACAGCGCCAAAGGTTTACTTCAACCGCGCGTGAAGGTTACATGCACTCATTTTTTTTCTATAAAGGCGTGTTTACAAGTATTGACTTTAAATAATAATATCTATTCCAAAAAGAAACGATTTATCTATTGTACTACATGAAATATTAAGAAATATTTATTTTACATACGCATTTGGGGCCACTAATGTATTAAATATTATTAGTTTTAGAGATAATGGTTTAAGATAAGAGCCTAATTCCTAAGAATTGCCTAATCAATAGAAATGTTTTTATTTTTATAATAAAATCGATATTTAATACATCCATTACAATTGACGAGGCTCGTGATTCCCTATTCTCCCCTTTAAAGCCTACTTAGGCACTCATATTAAATTGTGTATGTGTCAATAATATTAAAAAAAACGATAAAAAAAACAACACAAAAACTTACCAGTTATTTTTGAGCAGTACAACACTTTATTGAAAGTCTTTCGTAGCCCCAAGTAGTGGTCGGAATGAAAATGGGTGAGGAAATAATGTTTAACATTCGGAATTTCCCCGTATGAAAAAGCATCGACGGCAAAATGCGTTCCTGTAAAAATAATTTCAATATTAATTATATTTTTTTATATGTATTGTATGTATTCAGCCCTTTTTAATGTCCCACTGCTGGGCACGGACCTCCTTTCAATACGAGGGGGATCAGGCCATAGTCCACCACGCTGGCCAAGTGCGGGTTAGCGGACTTCATATGTCTTTCGAAAACTTGCTAGCCTCTCAGACATGTAGGTTTCCTCACGATGTTTTCCTTCACCGTAAGGCAAGTGGTAATCATGTTAGAAATGATTTGCACATGAATATCAGAGATGCGAGACCCGGGATTTGAACCCGCTTCACCCGGTTTCCCAAGCGAGCCCGTAACCACTGGGTTATCACTGCCTTTTTCTATATGTAGAAGATAAACGGAACTACTAGTAGTTCCGTAGTACTAGCAGTTAGTGATTAGAGTGAAGTCAGTACGTATTTTTTATAACAATAATAAATTAATTATCATTATTCTGCAATTAAATATTTAGTAAATTGTCTAAAAATAGTGTAATATATATAATCATTACCTGCTACGATTTTAAAATGTGGAACATTTCTTGCGACAATTGACGCTCTATTAGATTTGGTATCCAATAGTTGATTCAACTGTATGGAGTCCATATTCTTCCGAGGCGAGTGTGAACCTGTACTACCCTTCTTCGATCTTGAAGAAGAAGCTCGCTTGTCTTCAGAAAACATAGGCTGAATGTCAAGTTTTGGTAATGTTTTGTGCGACTGTGGCGATTTTGAGTCATTTCTATTTAACTTATTTGGTGTTCTTCTAATAGCATCGCTCTGAACTGAATTTTTGCTCATGTCCTGTTTGTCATTATTGTCTAGTTTCACTTTATACTCATTATGCCACACTTGACTATCCCCCAATTTAGATTTCAAAGGGGTTTTCAATCGATTATTACATTGAAAGTATGAGTCTAGAGATAACTGCTTTAATTTAATACTTTTGCCATTTATTTCATGCCTAAATACTGTTTTTGTTTTACGTATTGAATCAATTGATTTATTTTTATCAATAATTGTACGCTTCAATAATTTATAATTTAATGGTTGCTCAATGACATAGACCAGTTTTTCATTGGCATTTGTATTCAAAAAGAGAACTTTAGATTCTGTATTTTTATCTGTGGCTGCTAATTTCATCTTTTTTATTTCTAAGTTGACAGCAACAGATTTCCTTTTTAGTGGACTAAAAAGAGGTTCACTCATGTTGGACATATTTCCAATTGTTATTTGTGATAACTGAGATCCTTCGCTTAGTTCACAATCTACATTTATATCATTTTCATTGACTTGGAATGAAACTCCTTTCAGAGTACTTTTCTCTGAATAAACATATATATTTTTACAGTTAGAGATGCCAAAAGAAAGAGAAACTGGAGATTTCACTTTATAAGAATCATGCTTATCTGCAGTTTTACTATATGTGACACTAGAGTTATTTACAAATGATTTATATTTTAGAGAGCTATTTTTATTTCCATTACAAATATTATCATAAACCTCTTTATAAGATTTATATTCATCTATGTTGATGGGGCTTGTTTCATTAATATTATCTTTAAATATTAAATCTTCAATAGCAGATGTTCCTAAGGAATGGTTTCCATTACTTTTATCACTTATGAATATATTTTTATCTTTTGTTGCAGTTATATTATCAACATTCACGTTTTCTTTCTTGTGTCTATAGACCTTTAATCAGATTTGAATTGATCAAATTAAAAAAATATATGATATTGTGCAAATGAATATGTACAATATTAAAAGCCAAACATTATAAATACATATTTACCTTGTTCTCTTTTATTTTAATATTATTAGTGAACTTTTTCTTCAAAGATAATGAACTGGTAGAAATAATCGAGTACTGGAAAAGATGGATAAATAACCCAATTTAATCTTAGTAAAATTTTATTTAAAGTGATTTTTCTAAAGTAAAATATATTTGAAAGTTTCTGAATGAAATTGAGAATGGTATCAAATATTGCTAATGACATTGCCATCTACCATTATAAATAACTAATACCATCATATATGTTGATATTATTAAAGTTCATATTTTTTACATTAGCTTTCTAAAATAACAAGACAAAAAAGTGAATTTTCAAGTATTCTAAAACTTTCGTGACAAATTTAATCATTCTTATAGTAAATGTGGGATTAAACTAACTTATTATTATGAATTAAAAGTAAAGTATAAATATTGTTAAATAAACACAAAAGTATGTTGTTATTCAAAACTTACTTGTGTAAATGATATATTTTCATTTCTTATAGTTCTTGGATTTAATAATGACGGTATATAATTGTTAATATTGTCATTTTCATTCATTTTTCATCATGATGTTATTTTATCACGAAATGAAAATAAATGGAAAGTATCAAATTTAAACATAAACAAATCACTTGTCACCAGGAACTTGCAATTATTGCTTTGCTGCTTAACTTAATAATAGGAATCTTAGATTACCTATAAACTAAGAACTATACGATATTATAATCGAAGGCGAATAAAATAAACACTTAACACTATTAATAATGTTACGTATATCAGTAATCTTTTTTTTAATAATATTTTTGACTAATGTCAAATTGAAATAGTAAATAACAGCCACAGATACACATTTTTTATAGGAAATCTAGGAGTACAGTGCGGGACATTAACATTTATTTGACAAAGAATTGATATTGATTATAGAAAAAAGATGGAAAATCAACAACGTAATGAAATCGTACATTCTGTGCTTAAATTTGTTTTAAGCGAGATAATTCATGCGTTTTACGTTCCATCAGCATTCTTTTTTTAAATATGCTCTTAGTAGCAAGTTGCAAGTTAAAATTAAGTTAACTACTTAACTACTAAATTAGAATGTTTCCTATTTTTTCGGTTTAGTTGGTGGGCGGGGCTTGTCACTTGACACGTTTGGACACTTGGACAGTACAATTTAGTTATAAACGCATAAGTAGTTTAGTAAAACGCATAAGTAATGACGAGCTAAGTTTAATTTTTTTTCGTTATTTTTTGTTAAGAAGCATATTTAAAAAAAGAATGCTTATGGAACGTAAAAAGCATGAATTATCTCGCTTAAAACAAATTTAAGCACAGAATTTACGATTTCATTACGTTGTTGATTTTCCATATTGAATGAAATAAAGAGCTTCAATTCAATTCTTTAATTGAGCACAGATTAGTCCGCCAATGTCACGTAGAATAGAGAAGACAACTAAAGAGCTTAACTACTTAACCACTAAACACGTTTAGACATCTACTAAAATATAAGTCACTTAAAATTAAGTTAAAATTTAGTTAACTATTAAACTACTTAACACGTGTAAACCGGCCATGACACACTTAAATGAGGTACTCAATAGATATCATAAATAGCATAGGTACACAATGAATACATTATACGGGATACGTCATACGAGCTTCATTCATCTGTGCTAAATATATAATCGGAGCCCGGAGGCCGGATCATTCAGATATATAATATAAAGGAGCGGTGATAATATGTTTTTCTCTGCCCTTACCTTCCTAAACGTGTTTGACTTTATTATTTAAGATTTTATAATATTCATTAATGTGAAAACCCAATCATGATAAAAATGATTGGGAAAGAAACGGAGGACTTGAAAAAATCGGAAGCTCAAACTACTGCCTCCAACCATTTTGATGACACGTTCGGCTCAGTTTGTAGTGACCCTACTTACTGTGCCAGCGGTAGCGGGTTCGAGTCCCGCCAGGGGAAATTGTTCGTGTGATGAGCACAAACGTTTGTACTCCAGTCATGGGTGTTTATATTTATAATATGTATGTATTTAAAGTATATATGTGTATCAACTATCTGGTATCCATAACACAAGCCTCGTAGCTTACCATGAAACTAGATGGTTCTGTGTGTTAATGTGCCAATATTATAATATTACTGAAGAGAAAAAACAAATTGGTTTTTACCTTACACTTTCTTAGATTTACGCGAATATTTGACATTTTAAATAAAACTATCTTTTTGAATTTTTTAGTGGATTTATAATTTATTTTGATTTTTAATCTTCCATGTCTAAAACAGTGACGATCACGTTTTAAATCCAGTCTGAAAAACGTGAGCACACACTTTTCAGCGGATTCGTTAGTCGTGACGTTGGCTACACCCTGACGACAGATTTCACTCCGCACGAGCGTAGTGCTGTAGAAATTCTTGACCTTTACTATGTTTTTTTGAAATGACCAGACAATATTATCTAGGCTATATTCTTAACGTATCATTAATCTTTAAACATACATATATTTTGAAGTCAAGTCGCCTTCTTTATAAGGTCACTAGCTCAATTCCCCATACAAACTATCATCCCCATTTTCACTCCCTTAAGGGATGATTACCGAGATAAAAAGTATCCTATGTCCTTCCCAGGGCCTCAAACTATCTTCTTACCAAATTTCATCTAAATCGGTTCAGTAGATCCAGAGATTACCCCCTACAACGTCACAAACTCACAAACTTTACCTCTATAATATTAGTAGGTATAGATTAGCAAAATAAATTGTTGTTGCTTAAACTGTGTTATGCCGAAATAAGGAATACCATTCACATTTCATATAAATTATGTACATATTTCAAATATCATTGTTCATTAGTATTTATTATTATTTTTTATAATATTCTTACAAGATTGTATAGTGATTCACATTACCTTCTATTATAAGAGTAAGAACCGATAGTTTCCGAGTAAAATGGCTATGACATACAGTCAGACGGACAATATGAAATTTTATGAGGTCCGTTTTTTTTCGGAACCCCAAAAATAAAGCTCATAATAATAATTTGTTTAGGATAAATAGGTATAGTGCAAAAGAAGATGAAGGTATTATTTCATGTTTCCATAATATGTAGATTTTATTGAGTATGTACATTTTTACGCATACTTCATACTATGTTACAATTTTACAAAAAAATACATAATACTTTCTTAGATTTACGCGAATATTTGACATTTTAAATAAAAGTCTCTCCCGTGACCATGATTGCTGTAAAGCATTCTAAACGTCGGGAAACAATGATGCAAAAAATAAAATGCAAATAAATCCGCGACAAAATCCGAAAAGATAGTTTTATTTAAAAAAAAATACATCATAATAATCACGTTTTATTCTCTTTTCATTCTCATGGCGAGCTCTTTTAATTTTGTCCTATCTATTTTTGAAGTGGCGGTTGTTGGAAATTCTTTTACAAATATCACTCCTCCTCTCAACTGTTTAGGGTCTGACAGCGTTTCTGTAAAGTTTAATTAGGTATACTTGATATTTAATTGTTTTAGATTTATTTAAAAAGTGATAGATATTTATACGCTATATGAGACAAAATACATTTTATAGCTAGAATGGGTTAGTTTTCTATTTTGTAATAAAGGGGGTTAGAATGAGAAAACGTAGCTATAAATATATATCACAAGCCAAAATTAACAGTAGAAGAGAATACATTATGAAAGTCAACACAATTGCCTTTTGGCAAGTTAGGTAGTTTGTTTTATTACATACTTTTAACCAAATCTTTAATATCCTGTGCAGTAAGATCGAAGTCATCGCGAGCAATTACGACCGCGACTGGTAAGTCCCCACATTCAGGATCAGGAATACCAGTTACAGCAACATCTAGCACGCCCGGGTGTTTCATAATCACTCTTTCTAGTTCCACAGGTGATATCTGAAATATATTACCTACATTATTAATCAGAAAACCCTTAAGTGATATATACCTACCTAGTGATTTTACTCTGATTGGGAAGTGAGAATAATAATGATTTTTCAAATATATCTACTATAATAATAATGTCCTCCCGACTGATTTTTGGCCACGGCGGCCTATCTCATTGAGACTACTACTACTCTCATAAACCGGTGGGACGACCTTCGACACGACCACTGCGAGTTAAGCGCAGGACCGACGGCTTTATGTGCTCGCCGAGGTACTGGGCTAAAATATCGCCAAGTTCCAGCTCCGGTCTGTTACTGAGGTTTACTAAACAGAAAGACTCAATATCTAAACTTGGCCCGACCCGGGACTCGAAACCAGGACCTCCGGATGTGCAGTCGTACATGCTAGCCACTACACCACTGAGACAGTGAGAGTCTACTATAATGAAGGTATATACGTTCTTGTACGCTTGAAGAGTCGCGGATACACCGGCATGTCAGTTAACAATTGATTTCCCGGAAGCTAACCACGGAGACGTTAAAATAATTTACATTATTATTATAATTTTAAGTTATAATATTTAAAATACCTGGTGACTTTTATATTTGAGTAATAATTTCAAGCGGCCTAAGAAATAGAAATTAGAGTATTCATCTCTGTATACGATGTCTCCGGTCTTGAACCATCCATCTTCATCGAAAGCTTCCGCAGTCTCTTCCGGTTTATTGTAGTAACCCTGGCATTTAAATAAAAGATCATCTATACTCTACTTATAATCTCTTATAATTACATCCGCCTTTACATTGAACCTTTTAAAACCACGCATATTTAGATACATGATGTCTCACAGAAACTACTTTTTTAGTTATCATTTTTCAAGTCTCTACTTAAAGAAACTAGCAAAATGAAAAATAATATACATATGTCATTACCGGCTCCTAAGCTATCTCTATAAATAAATCACGTTGATCTATTGCTAATTTACATAGATATTATTTAGTACGTACATTTTTACGGATGGTTGACATTATCAAATAATAAGATTTTATGTACCTACCAATATTCCTATATTTATTTTAAATAAAACTATCTTTTCGAATTTTCGAACCGACGTTCCCGACGTTTCGAATGCTTTACAGCAATCATGGTCACGGGAGAGACTGAGGTGTTAGATGTCTGAAAGGTTGTTACAGACAGCCTTTTTTTTTATCGCCGGGAAATGCATTTACGCATACCACCTGATCCCCCAGGTGGTGATGTGGGGCTCACCGGCTAGAAGAGCCGGTACTACCCACTAAAACCCGACATCCCTTCCCCCCGTCTTAGTGGGACGCCGCAGGATCGCTTGCGCATAACTACTACGGCGCTCCGGCGGCAGGTCTGCCTAAATACTAGGCAGACCACCAAACCAATGGGGCTGCTCCACAGTCAACTCTGCTACGTCAGAAAGGTACCCGGAGCAGCCCCATAAAACCAAAACACCGCCCACCGAAGTGGGCCACCTCCAATCGGCTGCAGAGGACAGGGAGAGCGGCAACGAAACACCGACACTCCTCTTCCCCTGCAGCCCCACCGCGTCCGCCATCAAACGGTGGCGGCCCCGTCTAGGCCGCGGAAGGTAGGGAGAACGGCGCACCGAAATACCGGCACTCCTCTCCCGCCGCGGCCTACCCCTCCGCCGAATGTGGGCCTGCGACCACAGTCCCGCAACCGGCACCCATCATCCGGTTGTGGGACCAAGCGGTCCCACCACCTAAACTAAAAAAAACTATTTTTTCGGTCTTTTTTGCGGATTTATATTGATTTTTGTTTCCCGACGTTTCAAATGACAAATTAAAAAAAATAGTTTAATTAATTATTTTATTTAAATAAAAAAAAAATATACCTTGCAAACACTAGGCCCCTTTAATCGCAGTTCACCAGGTACATTTGGTTTACTGATAGTTTCATTCGTTTCTAGACTAACAAGCTGGAAAAAAACTTTTTAACAAAATATGAAAACCGACTTCAAACAAAAGCACTAAAAAGTAAAAAATAACTGATTGGTAGTTTTCATTTACTATACATACCTAATCAAATATTTTCGAAGTCAGTGTCCTTTGCTTTGTATCGGCTGGCACCGACTTCGAAATTATTTGACAGTTTTTATTTTTCCCTTTTTAGTGTAGACAGTAGTAGCAAAGTAAGAATTCTGACGTATTAGGCTTGTCAAATCAAACAAAATAAGCCCAAACTCAAAGTATCTACTATTAGCCGTTGAAGAGTTCCACCTATCCACCTTCTAGCTTTACCAGATCAGATCAGGTCAACAATACCGAATCACTGTACTATCAAAGGAAATAGAAACACTTGTAAAGTTTCAAGACAATATGACAATTAGAAGTAGGTTAAATTCATCATTAGCTATTTTTCCACCCTTAGGGATGGTATTTTTTTTGAAATTTTTGGGACCAATCTAGGAAGTATACACTTTCAAACAAAACAAGAATTGTCCAAATCGGTTAATAAATGACGGAGTTCTGAGGTAACAAACATAAAAAAAAGCATACAGCCGAATTGAGAACCTCCTCCTTTTTGAGGATGTCAGTTTAAAATTGCAAATATTGCAAGTTTTGCCAATGAAATAGTTTTAAATAATTACATTGTACCCTCATTATGTGACCACTTACTTTGTAAAGTAAAACGCCCAAAGGTTGTCCGATAGAGTTGCAAGGTGAATGCACGCCCAATGTGAACATTCCTGATATTTCCGTAAGTCCGTAACCGATGTACATGTGTGTTTTCGGCGATAATTTCTAAAATTCACACACACACATTATATATATATATATATATATATATATATATGTATATTCTTTCTCTCTGTCTCTCTCGCTTTAATAAGGTAATGTGTAGAGTTTGAGAGTAAATAGCGTTTGTATGTATTTAATTTTAAATAATAATATTAAAAACCACCGACTTACCCTTTCTTCGCTTGGGTGCGTCCCTAGGTGCCTAACAAGCTCTTAGAGCTGTTAAAGTATTAAACGCTAAGTTTAAAATTTTATTATAGATTTCTTTGAGATAAGATATTTTTCCTCAGTAAAAAGTACAAAAGTACCTAAATCTTGACCCGGATAACCAGCTATTATCATACCAAATTTCATCAAAATCTGTCTAGTGGTGTGTTTCTCGTGATGTGTTCTCAAACAGACAGACAGAAAGAGACAGCCAGACAAAAATTCTAAAAACTATAGATTCAGCATCTGTATCGTTAATAATGATTATTTCAATAAGATATTCCAAAAAATAATAACAGATTCGACTCAGTTGGAATTTTATTGTATGTAGGTATCATGGACGATTTAGAGACTTCGTTCATGGTAGGTATGTATAGATAGATTTAATAAAAAATAGCCTATAACACTCGGCGGTAATATATAGCTTTCTATTGGGGAAGAAATTTCAGAATTGGATAAGTAGTTTTAGAAACTTTGCCTCTTTTTAATATTAGTAAACATATTTGAAACTAGTTTTTTTTACTAAGAATCAGCGTTTTCAGAATTTCCCAATCTTTCGTGAAGCTTATCCTTATTAAACTTTACTCGATCATTTATTTTTTTTCTAACCAAGCCACATCGATGCAGCCGTTCTTATATGATGTGCTTACCAATGCCAGCATTTCATTATACATAGATTTGATTGGTGTGTAATATTTGTAAATATTTTTATTAATAAAATACTACGCGTCTCTACGCCACAAAAATTATAATTTGTAAGCATATTATAAATAGAAAACGGTATAATGTACGTACGGTCATTTCATTCAATAGCTCCTCGGAAACTACGCTGCCCCCAACCAATATATATTTAAAAGAAGTAAAATCACACTTTTCCTTTAGTGAATATTTGAACAAGCTCGTCAAGAATGTGGGACTGATTATAAAAAATTCTGGCTGAAAATTTACCAAGACAGTATTAAATTATGTATATTATTAGCAGTAGTGTATGTTTAAATTTGGCGCCCTGCCCCCTGGGCCTAAAGAAGGCGAGAACCATCATCATCATATCACCAGAGAAAGACCATTTATGAGAATGAAGGTATTAATCATTCACCTTTTCCACTTTATATGATTCATTTATAATCTTCAAGTACCTGGGCGACCGAGCTTCGCTCGGAGTTTTTGGCCAAAAGGAGAATTTTCTTTTTAATTTTACTTAAAAAAAAAAAAAAAACAAAAAACTTGAATAAATACAAAAAAAAAACAGAAAAATACAAAAGTGTTAACTTTGTATCCGACCGGGATTCGAACCCGGACACCAGTGATTGCCAATTTTGCGCCTTGGTCGCTTCACCATGATGCTTATGCCCAAGCGTGCGAAATTAGCGACCACATTTTGCGTGCAAAACCGCATGAAAACTCGAAAACACGCTTTTTCCCAGACATAAGACTAATCTAGATCGACATTTCGCCCCCGAAATCCCCCATGCACCAAGTTTCAGCGAAATCGTTCGAGCCGTACCCGAGATCGCTTTCAATATACATATTAGATAAATAACATAATCATAATGAATCAAGCAAATGGAGAATATGCGTGTTTTGTTTTTTCTTAAATAATGGCTTACATCCTTATATTATATACCTAATTGGAAAAAAATATCGAACTCCAAAATACTAAAATTTTGTACAAAATAAAACGTGTGTGTTTGTACGCACGTAAGAAGTTATACTTCTTTGCTGAATAGAACAAAAATAGCTAAAGATTTTATCCCGTATGTCACAATCTTCTGTAAAAGGAATGATAAATTAAGAAAAATAAATATATATTTTTTTATCTCTACTGATATAAAACACGTCTTATAGAGTTATGAATATTTGTTATCAGCTAACTTCATCATGTCGCTTTTTGGCTGTCGGTGTGCTCTCGCACCGTAATTATTTTACTTTCATATCTTTTTCCAAATGCGCTTAAATAAGTAAAACTTCAACAAATTTAAAAGTACCATACAGATACTTTAAACGCCCAACATTTTAGCGCGCTTGGCGTGACGTCATAGTCTATGACAACATTACAATCAACGAATAAACAGGTCTAGATTCTTAGAACCCATCGCAAACACCAATCAACAGCGCTTTGTTATAATAGACTTTGATATCACATTCAATCTGACCAATGGCGTTGCGTATAAACTACTATAAATATCACACCTATTCTTGCACTTTTCAATAATTATTTGCTTCATATTAAGAAGAAATTATATTAAAAAATTTTGATGTAGGTTAAATTCAGAAGCAATAAATATTATAAAAAAATTTATTACAATACTTTATTTAAATCACCCGCATATTCCCTATTAATAAATAGACTTTCAATGAGGTTTGCGCCCGCAATACCGCGGCCTCCGAGTACGTTCATATATTTTGGAGTAGGTACGTACACACTTTCACGTAGGTACTATTAAAAAATGATTATTAAAAATGTATGACACATAATTAAATCTTACCTTATATTTATTTATAAGGGAAGTAACGTGTTCTGGGCTTATTGGAGATGACGTCTGTACTCGCGTGTATCTCAAGATAGGTGACATTATGAACTGAAATATTGCTGACACCCACTGAATGGGTGATATAACCAAACCAACTTTGAAGGGGCTCGGGAACTCATGAAGGCCACAGCTGAAATAATAAGCAAATATATAAATAAATCATAAACCTAGTCTCTAGTCAAAAAAATTGAATTGACTTTAAAAGCGTATATTAGTCTTACAATATGTAAGGAAAATTAATTGAAACATTTTCATGAGTCATCATAACGGCTTTCGGTAATCCTGTAGACCCACTAGTGGCAGCTAATAATAGATTTGTCACTTTTGGATCAAAATTTGACGGTCTGAAAATGTAAATTATAACAATTTATTCTATATTAAAATAATTCAGTTCTCTACATTCTTTTACAAATTATGCTTTTCCTACCTGTAAATTAAACCTGTAAATGTAAATTATCCATATTCCAAATAACTTTCACAATACCGACTTCAAAATCAATTAAAATCATTCTAAGTGGAGGAATTTCTTCAACATAGGTATGTACCTACTTATATAGTTTAACTTTTCAAGCATTGTTACTATATTAAACTAACTGCCTCGGTGGTGTAGTGGCTAGCATGTACGGCTGCACACCCGGAGGTCCTGGGTTCGAGTCCCGGTTCGGTCCTGCGCCTTAGCTCGCACTGGTTGTGTAGAGCAGTAGTCCCACCGGAGAATGAGAGTGACAGAAATAGAGAGTGCACGTTGTGTCTGCGCGTACACTTGTGCACTATAATATCTCCTGCGCAGTTGCCTACTTGAATGCCTCCTCCTTTTGAAGTAAGTCAAAAATGTGTAACTTTTACATACATAAAAATAAAATTTTCATAAAACCTTTCACTCCTTATTCCGCAGGAATAAGAATTTAGAAGTAGCATATTCACTCCTTGCAATTTACCTCCCAAAGTTCGTCTCTCAAAATCATTTGAAAATTAATTTTCCCGTTACGAAATCCTTGGAAATTTAAATAATGATTATGACCGCGTGAATAGCCGTGTCGAATAATATTATTACATAATTATAATAGAACTTTTAAATTATTTAATATGAATAAATTCACATTCATACTTGAAATTTTCTACGGTTGTGTTATTATCGTCGTATTTGGTCAGAAATTCTGAAAAAGACATGTGTTCTTTTTTCTCTCCAAATGTTACAATATGTGCCGACATGTTCGACAGTTGCAAGGCTTCTTGAACATTGTTTACATTAGAGTTCTCACAAAATATCATCTTTGGGACAACACATTTCAGTGTCTCTTGGAGTTCATCTGAAATCGAAAATCATATCCTATTCTCAATTTTTTTTTATCATTCATAATTTATTTATAAAATACTAGCATTGCCCGCGGCTCCGCCCGCGTTCAGATGACCAAAAACTAAATTCTTAGGTGTTACATATTAGTATACTCTTACATTGCAGTTTTTGTATTTTTCCTCAGAAATAAGATATTTTCCCGCGGTAAAAAGTATCCTAGGATCGCGCGCTACATCGCCCGGTTTATATAGCTTGAGCAGGCGGTCGAGCGATGCGGGGCAGAGGGGATGGACTCGCCGTAGGCATCTCAATGCTCGCCAAGCATTAAAAATGTTTCGCTACTAATTACTTCTAACAACGATATCTCAAAAACTATTCATCTGATTGATTTAGTGTAAAGAGCAATTTTAATCTGCATTAAATGACTAAGCTAACTAAAATATTCATTTGGATAAGGATTAATACCGAACTAAAGAAAATAACTTTGAAAATAACGTAATGTTTTTAATTAAAAATGTTAACATAAAAGTGGTTATTGTAAGTCAACCGTAAGAGATAGAGATATGCTATCGCGGACTTTTTTGTAGCATTTTTATAGATTTTGAATTCTCTAGTACATTACTTAACTGTATCTTTGCTAGTTTACGCGGCGTTCGCGTGGAAAGTTCCCATTTGGCGAGATTTTTTGCGACCTCTTCAACATTTGTCGCCGTATTTCAGCTAATTTACATAAAAGCATAATAAATTATATACCTAAACCTTCCTCAAGAATTACTCTTTCTATTGTTGAAAACCGTATAAAAATCCGTTCAGTAGTTTTCGAGTTTATCGCGTACAGACAGACAGGAGGACAGACAGGAGGACAGAAAGACGCGGCCGGGGGACTTATTTTTATAATAAGTATAGATTTAAATGGAATTAGGCAGTATGGCGTCATAACCGAGTGCGCCAAGGTTTTGACTTCAAATATTGGAGTTTACGTCTTATATCGACATCTGCTAAAAACAACAATGTAACTTATATTAGTATTGTAGCAATTTTGAATTGGAACTTAAAATATGTATATGCGGAAATAATTTCCATATTTAAATTATTTTAAGTTACAATGCTATCCGTTGTAATGGGCATACCGATATAGAAAATCATTGAGTTTTGTCTTTTTTTTTTAATTATATTTTTGAAGATAGAATTAACTTAAGCGTGTGGAGAAAATATTTAATTTATTCTTATTGTTTATGGGTTTACTAAGGAAAACTACGGGGCAAAATAGCTATAAAAAAAGAGTCGCAAAAGATCAAGTGATAAAGAATATAATTAATAAATATATAAATAATGTGTGTGAGTGGGAAAGAGAGATAATAAATACTGACAAATAACTAAAATATTGTTACGTTCTGTATTATTATGTTATGTAAAATATTGTTGAGTTCAGGGTTCGGAAATAAAGTACATCTTCTGCACTACAGATATTTCATTTCTTCTGTAACACAAAAGTTCTTTATGGCGGTTCAAAAACTCACGCAGTATATAGGTCGCAGCCAACTAGATTAATTAGCCGTTTAATTAACTGCCTAGTTTCTTAATTAAACGGCGCGTGCCGTGCAATACAACATTTAACTATAAAACATCAATTTAATTTCAACATTTAATTATATAAGGAAGAGTCTAATACAACGTTTAATAAACTGGCTGGAAGATGCTTAGGCCATTCATAGAATAGGGTAACCGTGTGATGAAAATAATAAATATGAAATATTTAAAATTTGAGCATTCTTTATTTATGTAAAGTAATTAAATTAACAGTTTATGTCGCACGGCTTATTCAGAAAAAAGGATATGTTAGGACAGGACTGTTATTGCTCGGATCATTAGGTTGCTTGTGACATGAATTTACATGTGCCTTAACATTCTTCTGTGCACAGAAGTACAGTCCACACCTCTGGCACGTGACACGTTAGTCCTACAAGCTGCTGACGATCATTCTTCAGGCTAGGCCCTAGGGCAATACAGATCATAACGCAATTTGTCAAAGCCCTCAAGCGTTGGCGTAATTCCAATAGACCGACACAGAAGAAATGTAGCAAACGTATTGCTATTATGCTCTTGAGGCTTCGGAATACATAAGCCACTGGACGACTGCAAAATCTGGTAAGGAGGTGTCACGAAGCGTTCCGGAAGAACACGTTCAAGAAAATTCTGCAAATGCCCACAGCAAGCGCGGTCGATGGTGATAATCTAAAGATATTTTAATTGTTTTGTGTTATAAAACAAATAAATGACAAAATAATAACAATGAGATTTCTACTGTACCTGAAGCAAATACTGGATCTCTCGCACATGCTCGCTATACCACTGTGGAGAAGTCAGGTCTGGAATAAAGCTTTTAGCTCTGTCGATAACGATGTTATTCCATACTTCTGCAAGAACTTTTCCAGCCTTCTGAATTCAACGAAACATACGTGATATATCACGACCTTACACACACTACTATTTGTTTCTTACACACGGAAATTTACGATTTACGTTCTTGCCTGCTAATTGTCATATGTTGACAACTGTCTGAGGAAAGCATGCTTCAGACGTGCCTTTGTAATTATTAATTATTGATGACATGACATTAAATGACATGTAAATAATAGATATGTAGTTATACTCACATACTCCATAGTTCATGTCGATAGTAGCCACACTTAAACCTAAATAGAAACCGGCATACATTGGTATTGTCACATCAAGGTGATTGGGGGCCATAATGAGGATGACATCTTGGTACTTTAGGCCTATGTTTCTAAAACTTGTGGCACACCGCACTGTACGCTCCAGTGCAGACTTTGAAGTTTCTTTTTTGCCGGTGGATCCATCTATCTGTTAAAAATAAGAAATCGTGTAAGGAGGAATGTGTTAGAAATCCGTATTAATATTATATCTGTATCGATTCCGTATTAATATTATAAATGTAAAAGTTTTTTGTGTAGGTATGGATGTTTGTTACTCTTTGTCTTGTCTCGTTGTCTGTATGAAATTTGGCACAGAGATAGGGTATAGTCTGGAATGGCACAGGCTACTTTTTATCACGGTACGGTTCCCGTGGGATAGGGTTGTTTTTTGAGTTTCTACAGGGTGAGCCGCAGGTAGAATTATAAATCGTTTAAACTTTAATAAAAATCAACGTGTAATGTTCGCAAAACTCATTATTGTATATGCGACTTGTTTTTAATAAGAATAAATATTTGGTGTACAATTCACATTATCTATAGAATGTGGCGAAGAAATAGAGATGAAATAGGATAACTAGCTATCATCATATCAAATTTCATCAAAATCTATCTAGTGACTTTCTCGTGATGCGGTCACATATAGACGGAAAGACAGACAGACAAAATTTTTGAAAATTATAGATTCGGCCTCTGTATCGATAATAATGACTATTACAATAAGATTTTCCAAAAAATATTTATTGCACAGATTCGATTTAGATACAATTTTTATAAGTGGCCGGTAGGTGAAGATCAAATTTCGACCTGCCGTATACCACCGACTTCGCGCGGCTGTTTGTGAATTTAATAAATATTAATAATTGTGTATATGATAATAATACGTAAATTAAATATTAAATAAACTATAAATATTATGAAATGAAAACTTTCATATATAAATATGGTAAATTAAATATATTGTTATAAGTCACCTACATATCCCAAAACCATAGTTATTAAAAAAAATAAAATGTCTGTATGTCTGTTCGTGTGTGCGCGTTTCACGAAAAAAGGAATAAACTAACCGGCTCGAGAAGCCAGTACTAAAACCCAACAGAACCTCTCCCGTCTTAATGGGGCGTCGCAGGATCGCTTATGCACTTAATCACGACACCCCGACGGCAGTTCTACCGAAGCAAGCCGCATAACCAAGCTTCCAAGGTCCTCTCTGCTGTCAAAGAAATAACAGGAGCAACCCGCAAGGTACACCACCCACAGAAGTGGACCATCTCCCGGTGTGTCGCTTGGCTTCTTGCCCGGCTGGGTTGCCGGCGCTAATAAGCCCCCTCACTACGACAAGGTGAACACATATCGGTGGGGATGCGTTTAAGTCCTGCCTCAACTACTACTATTTCGTTCTTTCCAAGGCCTATTTAGTTGTCCCAAACAAGACTTTCATACTGTTTTAAAAATATTCGAATAACTTTGTATTATTGTGCACTCACCTTTTAAGTACTTAGTCGAAATGAAATGAAATAAACTTTATTCAATTAGACTTATTACAAGTGCTTTTGAATCGTCTATTTAATGTAAGCGTCCGCGAGGAAGCTACCACCGGCTCGGAAAGCAGTTCTGCTGAGAAGAGCCGGCAAGAAACTCAACAATTCCTCTTTTAAATATCGAAGTTACATTTATTTTATTAACATAACAATTTGCGTGTATAGATAGCCCGCATATGAGTCAATATTTCTCAATAGTCAACTTTCTCTCTCAATCTCAGTTAAACCATTGGTTAGTTAGCGGTACAATAACTGTCAAGTATTATTTATATAATCTAATAAATAAACTTCACTAACAACGAATAAAATAGTTTTTCTCATGAAATAATTAAATCACGCTTTGGCATTTACAATATTGTTACTGAGTAAATGTAAGCAGAATGTAGAATACAAATATCTACTCCTTGTTTCCTAGTGTAAATACCATAAATTTAATTTGTCCCATTCTGAACTTGTTCCTTTCATAGCACTTTCCTTTAGTTAATAAAGCAATAAAATGACACCTAGGGACGCGCTCGAAGAAGCGAGAGCAAGTCTCTAGTGCTTAATATAGTAGTGACTAAAGGGATAAAGATACCTGCATTATCATGTCTGGAGCATCCTTGAAGCTTTGAAATAATATTTTGCCCAAATGGTGCCTGTCACTTGCTATACCCGATTCAGCCACCACTCGCGATGTCACCTCGTTAAAGTACCAGAAGACGGCATTTGATATGATCTTACTCATTTCTGTAAAAAATATACATCATAAACTTATTTACTTTATTGAGAGACAAATCGGACTGATGAAAGTATAATATGAACTGTAAATATGGTCTTAGTAAAAACAAATAAAGAAATTTCTTGCTATAGGTAAAAAGTATCTTACATGTTGACCCGGACCACCAGCTACCATCATCCCAAATTTCATCAAAATCCCTCCAGTGGTTTTTCCGTGATGCGGTCATAGACAAACAGACAGACAGACAAAAATACTAAAATCTACAGATTCGCCCTCTGTATCGATAATAAGGTCTATTTGAATAAGATTCCAAAAAATATTTAATGTACAGATTCGGTTTAGTTACAATTTTATTATATGATTGTAGTTGTTTTCAAGTGAGATATGAATTATCTTATACCTAATATCAATTGAGCAATTCTTGTATAAACATAAGTACCTGGGCTACCGAACTTCGCTCGGAGTTTTTAGCCACACAAACATTTAAAAAAAAAAACTAACTAAAAATTTCTCTAACTCTCTTTCACTTTAATCTATCTTTGCCATGGTAACCGAACCGTAAATGAACGTTTATTAATGTAACAAAAAAATCTTTAATGACTGGCAGCGCCCTTTGCAGCCACTTTTACATAGGCAGGCGTAGATTATCAGGTAGGTATAGAAAAAAATAGCTTTAATTTGATATATAAATAATGAATATACGCCATGAACGTATAAATGTAACAAAATATAACCTGCTTACATCTGGCTGCGAAGAGGTTGCAACCAAGTGCGCAAAGGCAGCTATCACTTTTCAAGATCTATACGTATATTTCTGTGAAGTGGAGTATAATTCATTTTAATAACAACTACATCGATTTTGTTCCAAAATGTCAATTATTATTTATTTAATTAAACAGACTAGCGGGCAAATTTTAATAGGTCCCTTTTATTATTGTGTAAAAAAACTGATTTTGATTAAATACGCTATGAACGTAGCAATCTTGCAGCGGGATCTTAGTCCAAAACTTGGCACCTGTCATTAAATAATAGAATAGAAATATGAAGAGCACCAAAACCAATACAAAGTGTCGGAGAATTTACATGTAATTGCATAATTATTATTATTTTGAAATAGGAATTAAATTCTAAGGAACTTTTAAAATCAAAAAATCATTAACAAAAGCGATTTAAAATTTAAAACTTACCAAATAAGAGTGTAGTGAATTTTGATTCTATTTTGACTAACAACTAGAAACTCTTCCACGCAGAACAATAACGCGGTAAATAAAGCTATTCGATGTGTTGAGAGAGTTGAATATACTCGAAGATGATTAAGAATCAAGATGGCGACGACTACGTACGTAAATTGAATTTAACATTTGTTATGAATATGTATAATACTTATATACAATACAAACATCAATAGTTAACACAATATTAACCACCTTAATAAAAACATAACACAGACCGACTGTGGAATTAGATGGCATACAAGGCACAGTTTATATCTGTCACTAAAAGAATGTTTTTTTACAAGTCTCTTTTTTAATGAAAGTGAGCCAAAAGAATAGAATTATGAAAATACACAAAAAGACAAATAAATCTCATATTAATATCGTCTGTTTATTTCAATATATGTACTTACTCCGTCATAGAAATCGTTGTGAGCTTATTACATTTTTTTAAGGATATCTATGTTTTTTCCGCAATGCGAGGAATACTTCTTAGTTCTTACCTACTTCGATAAAAAAAAAAGATTCCGATGAATTGAGAACCTCCTCGTTTTTGGAAGTCGGTTAAAAATGTAGCCTGTATTCATGATACAACATACAAGCTACGTATACATTTCATTTCATTCCGTTGAGTCATCACAGCTTGAAGAGATAATTAACTAATATATGAAGTCATTTATTAATTATTAGTATAAATTAATAATTAACAACTTGTTTTTATGCGTTATCTCAAGAACTATATCCGCATATATAATATATAAATAATCCTCCAGATAACTCGTATAATATATCTATACATATGTATGATGATGTTATATCTATTTTTTTTATTACATATAATAAAATTGTAACCAAGTCGAATCTGTACATTAAATATTTATTGGAAAATCTAATTGAAATAGACATTATTATCGATACAGAGTCCGAATGTATAGTTTTTAGAATTTTTGTCTGTCAGTCTGTTACCGCATCACGAGAAAACCACTGGACAGATTTTGATGAAATTTGGTATGATGATAGCTGATTTTCTGGGTCAACATATAGGAAACTTTTTACCGCGGGAAAATATCTCATTTTTGAGAAAAAATACAAAAACTGCATTTGAGAGTATACTAATATGTAAAACCTAAGAATTTGGTAATTGGTCATCTGAACGCGGGCGGAGCTGCGGACAATGCTAGTTATTTATATAATTTCAAATGTGCCTTACCATATATACTTTATTGCGGCGACTGTGATGGAAAGATTCCGTATTGACAAGTCGCAGAATTAACTTACGACAGTTAGTCACTATTTAGTCTGTAGATGTGTATAAAAGTCGTAGAGAGATTGCCTATTATATTATTTTCTAAAACATTTAAACAGCCATTAGAACATTATCTTATCGATATACGAGTACACTGAATTGTAGTTTACAAGTATGAAGAACTAATAGGTAATAATGTTCTACTATGAGGTTGGGTTCTGCATAAATAGATATATCAGATAAGCGGGGCAGTGATGAAGGGTAGCCTATTTTCGAACCCAGGATGCATTCTATATCCTTACCAAATTTTATTGAAATTATTTAGCAGCGTGAATAGATAACAGACAGAGTTACTTTCACATTTATAATATTAGTATGGATTACTTTAAAAATACTTTTGAAGTAAATAAACCTCGTCGTATGTTGCAACGCTTACGAACTACAAAGACACGACGTGTTTATTGTTAAAAATTATTATTTATGACTGAACCTTATCATAAATTATGTGTAAGTATCGTAACAAGTATCTTTACAGTACAAAAATATTTGTATTAAAAAGGTAATGTTATGCAATTACCGTGGCATTAATAAGTAGTGAATCGCGCACATACAAAAAATATTATCCGTTGTCCTCTGACTATAAATTTGAAAATTATATTTTTTGATCAATTTTGATACAGCAGACTTGACGCAAGTGTTACGGATCCCTAAATTTTATCAAATGAATTTGAGTAGGCAGGTACTAAATATAAAAAAGGCGAGTTTATCAACTCTCATAGTGTGTGGTAATAAAAATTATTGTTTTTGTTTACATATGTTCCCTAGTATTAAAATAGTAAAGAGGTCAAGTCTGTAGATTAAATTTTATTTGTAAATCTTTTATAGTAGATAATGGTGTTGTAAAAGTGCTTGAAACTGTTGCATTACGAGTATTTTAATATAATAATGTAAGTTAGCATAATTATTAATTACTTAATCGTATAAAATTAACAGCTATTCGTGTCTTATATCCCTAAACGAAAACACAACCACAATCAAACAATCCTTACAAAAAATTGATAACAACGACAATGAAAATGTTGTATGGACCGTTAGCATCATTTTTTTTCTTTCTCCTTTGATTGAAGTAGAAACCAATTCTCAAAACTGTAACAAACAAGAGTTATAGTGATTGCTATGTCTTTTTGTCAGGCGTTATTTTTAAATAAATACTACCTACTATAATATCTACTCAACCAGCTTACGTAGAGCGAATCGTCACTCTTCTAGATCATATATGTACAAGTGTTACTTCTATATTTGGATGGATAATTTTGGTAACGTGTGGATCCATAATTATAAGTTCTATGACTTTTCCTTAAAATCGAAATATACCGTTATGATGTTTACTTTCTTCATTTTAACAAAGTTATTTTTCTAATGGTATTTTGATTTGTTAAAACTCTACGAAAAATGACAGAAGATTGTCGTCTATCACCCATTGTGATGAAAATTAATTACGTATCACACACCACTTACCTACGATTATGCAGATAAAACTACAGTAATGAAATCTCATCATGAAGAAAAAAATTTGCTCAAATAAATCTATATATCCTGACTGATTCATCAACGTAGAGCCTAAGCCACGAGGGTTAAAAACTTGTAATTTTTGTAGCATTTTACGATGTAAACATCCACTAAGAAGGATTATAGGAGCAAAATAAGGGATGAACGGTTGTGAGGATATCAGTCATTTTCAAAGTTAGAAGCATGAAATTTCATTTACAAGTTTATGGTTAGAAATAAATATGTACTACAGCGTCTTTAAAAATCTATCCCCTAAGAGGGTGAAATAGGGGTTGAAAGTTTAAATTTAGGGTCGTGGTCACGCTACTAAGTACAAGTAGTAATATGAGAAAATTACGCCAAAATAAATAAATATTTATTAATTATTTATTTCTAACCAGAAGCTTGTATATGAAATTTCATACTTCTTACTTTAAAAATGACGGACGACCCAAATAAACTTTCAACCCCTATTTCACCCCTAACATACTTATGTAAAACTAGTTAGTTTTTTTCTTTATTTGCGCATCAGAATTATACATATAAAACTGATCGTGTTTTTATTGCCATATAGATTATAATTCATTTATAAAATGACATTGTCTATTAACATTTTTTTAGGGTTCCGTAGCCAAAAGTTATTTTTATATCTGTCACAGCCTTTTTACCCAGAGAAGATTGGTATTTTATAGCTGAAATTTCGCGGCCTAGTGGGGAATATAATCCTGGATTAAAGATACATATATTACGCCAGTTCATCATGTCTCAGTACTCCATACAACCTGTATGAACGAGTGGAGTACTCAGAGACGCACAAAAATTGATTGCTATTTTTGGATAAGTATTTCTATAACTTTTTAGTTTAGAAATAAAAATCAACAAATACAGCTAAAATTAAATAAATTATATTGCTATATTTTATTACAATACTTATTAAATTTTTTAAAATGTTTAGATATAAAAATCAACAAATATTGTAAGGTACTTTAGTGCCATTT